ACTTCTCTGCCATCTCTGCTGCCTGCTTCTTCGGTCTTTGGCTGGTCTCTGGTGTTGTTCGTTCTTTGGTTCTTCTATGGTGCTGGTGTTGCTGCCGCTGCTGCTGCTAATCCGGTCTTTCCTAGTCTACTCTATTTGTTGTAGTATGCTTGTTCTCTGGTCTATCTCTGGTGATTACCTATACTTTTCTGGTCTATCTCTGGTGGTGATAAGCAGTAAATAACTGCTTTGGTCTTTGTCTGTTCTTTGCTGATAACGTTCGTTCTATAGTTTTTCTATGGTGCTGGTATTGCTGCTGCAGCTCCTGCTAATCTGGTCTTTTCTGGTCTGCTGTATTTGGTGCATGCTCCTCGTTCTTTGGTCTGCCTCCGGTGATTGCCTATACTCTTCTGGTTTATCTGTGGCTGTGGTAAGTGGTAAGTATCTTCTTTCTTCTGGTCGCAATGATATAAAACTTCTTTGGACGCTTGTATTATTGCTTCCTTTCTCGTGATAATGCATTCATGATGTTTGCCTTGTTGCGCTTTCTTCTTTTTCTTTTCTTGGTAGTGTTTCCTCTGTAGCTTTACAGGAAACAACATTAGTCATTATGTTGTATCGTAAACTTATAATACCACTGTTGCTTTTGCAGTTGTGCGTATTTGTGTCATGTTGCTTTACATCTGACTATTACTACCATGCGCGCTGCTCGTGTAGCATGCATTTTTCTTGCAACAGCAACGAGCTTTTTAGAACATCTTTGATGTTGTGTTTGTTATGCTTTTCTTTGACTCGCTTCGTGTGAGCATTTCTTTTTTTTTTACTTACATACTACTATACTCTTATAGTATTATGTTCTTTTCTTCTTTCTTTTATTATTCTTATGTTTCTTTGAAGCATACCTTTTTTACGTTGTGTGGATGTGCCTATCCCTGAAGCTCAACAAGACTTTATCCGAGGCTAGGAGGTAGATAGGCCGCCTCCACTTGGTTATCGCTACTTACTTTAGTGATGATTGAGGGTCTCAATGCCAGAACTTAAAGCTAGGTGATGTAAGTAAGGCATGCTCTAGCACCTGAGGGAAATTTGATGATAGTAACAGCTATATTACTATATAGCGGAGCTTAAAATTTTGCCTCACATCAAAACAGGGGGAAACCCTCGCAAAATTTTTTTTGGGTCAGCGGAGTTTTTACGCAATCTGATTGGCTCAGAGGTTGAGGCACCGAAGGATTGCCGCTAGTTGCTCTTTTATTGATCTTTCCTTCAAAATCATTTTGTATTTGAAATAAAAGGATTATTCAAAGCGTCCACAACGCTTTGTAGCGTGTGTGGAATTTGAGGCTTGATAGACTAAAATTCACGAAAAAAAAAGAATAAAAAAAACAGTAAAGTCAACTTGATAAAGGTATGTTTTATTATCAAACTGACAGGTGTAAAGTAAACTGAAGTCTCTCTACTGGCCAGGTAGATGATCCTTCTCATATACTATAACAATGGATAAAAGTTCTATTAATTAGATTGACAAATAAGTCTACTCAGATCATCTAAAGTCTAATCATACTAAAAGACAACTCCAGCAAGCTAATCATGATTTAGCTCTGTCTGGATGAATAATTAGACTCTCATCCGAAGTACCCTGATCTATCCTTTCTATAAGGATAATTAATATCGATCTAGTAGCATGTATCCAATAGGTACAGTCTCCTTAGTCTATATCAATAGTACATATCTGAGTGTATATCGCTGAGCATACATCTTTAGCATGTATCTGGATATATGGCATGTCTATAGCATATCGTATGCACGTCTATAGCATGTCTCATATATAGTACAAGTCTGTAGTACATAAAGTATCTGTAGCTAGTATCACGGATATAAGCATGTGTCTTATAGCGTGGATCATGAAGTGCACATCTGAAGCAACAAGCTCATATTGCATTAATCTTGGTGCCTATCCAGATATGGTAAACATCCGTAGTCAATGTCGGAATACAAGTATAAGTCTATAGCGCCATCTATGTCCGTGGTGCCATCTATAGCCTATATCTTATATAGTATGAATCTTATAGTACTAGCGTATCTGAAGTCCATATCTTCTTATAATATAAATCGATATCGTACATCTAATCCAGTGTACATACAGTTTATATCTAAATCTGGTAACTGGATGAACTGTCGGAATGCAGATCACAGTGGATGTATTCCACATATTGAGCAATTTGGTAAAATATGAAATGAAGTTTTTGGCGAAAATAGCCATATTTCACATATGAAAACCTCAGAAAAGTAGTTTCAGAAGTTGCTTTGGATCAACAGAAACGTTTTGAATTAATCATAACATAATAAATGTTCAGTCCTTTTGCACTTTACAATCCTAATATGGAACCTGAGTTTCAAGGCATCTATCAGACCTGGCTCATATCATAACATAATAAATGTTCAGTCCTTTTGCACTTTACAATCCTAATATGGAACCTGAGTTTCAAGGCATCTATCAGACCTGGCTCATATCATAACATAATAAATGTTCAGTCCTTTTGCACTTTACAATCCTAATATGGAACCTGAGTTTCAAGGCATCTATCAGACCTGGCTCATATCATAACATAATAAATGTTCAGTCCTTTTGCACTTTACAATCCTAATATGGAACCTGAGTTTCAAGGCATCTATCAGACCTGGCTCATATGAGAATAATGATTTTACAATCAATCAATAAAAACCACTATTATTTCTACCCTCTTTCCTCTGCTCAATGCTACCAACGTTTTCTTTGAACGACGGCTCGGAGCCTCAGAGATTTCACTACTTACTGCAGACATTTTATGCAACCCATGCATCGTCAATGTCCAGACTAACGTTATTAAATATAGAATGCAATAAAATATCATTATGAACGATATAGAAGGCAATAAAATAGCATCATAAAAGATAGTGCTATGAACTGCCGCCTACTTTCTATACGCTTCAAGGGCATTTACTACTGTATTGCCTTATGAAAAGGGCATGAGTTTTCCAGCTGGCCCTACCAGCCAAAATTAATTCAAACCCAGAATCATAGTCTGTTCCAGATTGGACATATTTTGATAATTTTGGACTCGATCGAGCTATTTTTGCAGATTCGACTAAGTAAAAAAAATGATAACCGTCCTATGTTTCTTTAAGCTTTCCTGGAGTGCTTTTCAAGGCGCTTCCAATGGTACCAAGTAAAATAGATGTTTTGAATTCACTTATTGAATGATTTGTAAAAATATGAAAAGAGATTTATGGCCAAAATGTCGAAATTTTACATATCAAAGTCCCACAAAGATAATTTCAGAGGTTGCTTTGGATTGATAGAAACATTTTGATTCAAGATATACCATAGTAAAAGTCTCCATTATCAAGATAAAAAATGCGATCGTTTGATTTTCGATGAAAACCATGAGGGATACCTCATGCTTTTTGGTCGATTTTTGACCATGTTTTTTTGGTCCCCAAAAAGTCGAGCAAAAGTGTCAGAAAGTAACTGCCAGATGAGAGCAACCATTTGGGGCTATTCTGACGATCTAAAACGGCCTTGAACGCAAGAAAATGCAGCTCAAATGCACTCATTTTTTGCTGTATTAGGGACACTAAGGACTAAAAAGTGGGAATACCAGTATGCTGCTTGCCCGTATATGAAGTAGCTACGTGTATATGGATGTAGAACATCACATAAGAATCAGATCCACAGATAATAGGAAGGGTTACTATGTGTAAGTGGAGGGTCAAAATGAAAGTAGCAGTATTTTGATAAAATACGCAAGAGCAATCTATAGTACGAGCTGCCGCTGCGCAGGTTGGTTTTCTACCTTCGCTACGCTTCGGTGAGAACCATCCGAAGCATAAACACTCATATGATTAGTGATTATATATCAATCAACAATCAGGGTTCTTCTTCTAACATTTTAGCTATATTAATTTTGGGATATTAGCCAAAGGCCCGCGGCAGCGCGAGCCGTTTGAACGTAGGTTGGTTTCCACCGAAGCGAAGCGTAGGTCAGGAAACCACCCGAAGTGCTGAAAGGCTCGTATACCATAGTAAAAGTCTCTATTTTCAAGGTGAAAAAAGCGATCGTTTATTTCTCGTGAAAAACCATGAGGTACCCCTCATGGTTTTCAGTGGATTTCTGACCATGTTTTCTTTGGTCTCAAAACGTTAAGCAACTGTGTCAGGAAGTTGCTATTACTCAAATACAACAATTTGGTGTCATTCCAGTGGCCCAGAAAGGTCCACAGGTCAAGATATGAAGGCTTGAAAGCTGTCAAAATTGGTAATGGTTTTGCTTTACAGCTTTTATTTACACAGCGTGAACCACCTCTTCGATGGATAGCTGAAACTCTTTAGGAGGGCAGTTCTGCAGCCTGTGCAACTTCTAATTTGAATAGGAGGCATATTGATTTTGGTAAAGCTCAAAATCATTCTTTAGACTGCACAAATTTACAACTATTCTTCAGTAATGTAAATCAATAAATTACACTACAGCTCAAACTGAAAGCCTATATTGACGAATTTATACTTACTAGTAAGAACCAGAAAATAGCATTGTCGTCATTCATCATCGTCTTCTTGTATATATGTTACGTGCAATACAACAAGTTTGTAAGTCTACCAATACGTAGAGACGATTTGTTGTGGTACATTAGCCGTTGGTACGTTAGTCTAAACAAAAAATAGCAGGCAAAGCAAGCGCTACAGTACTGCTGGACAGGATGCGCATTTATAAGCTTTAATATATTGTTGGTACGTTAGCCACCTCCAATTTAACTTGGCACAAATGCCAAAAAAACTGGGCGGAATTTTCAAACATCCGGTAAATTGAGAGTGGAAGCACAGTATCAATCACGATTGGCTACATTTGTACCTGGAGGATCTGATAAAAAAAATCAGCAAACCTGGGGAGAAAAGGACTGTTCAAATAATTAATAGATTCGAAACAACAAAACAAAAATATACCTCTCTTTTACTGCTAGTTCTTCATGTGGAGGTCATCAACATGTATTCAGGGCAATTGCTCAGCAGCACGCTACAAAGCAAGATCAGCTATCTTATCCAAAAGACGGCCTTGTATGGCACCTGCATTCAACGTATGTAGACCAACTCTATACCCTTTGATTCAGCACCAAACAAGTCGATTTATCGGCACAGAACAGCCTCACAGTAGCCATATACATGCTGATGATTTTGCTTCAATGCTAAAGCACTCCAGTAAGATAGTAGAGGCAAGATCAGTTGATGCATCGCTAATGATATACATGTACAGGTAAAAAAGGGATGCAGGTTACTTGGATTGGATTTGTCTCCAATGTTGGACTGACAGTATCAAAAGGGGTTGCAGGCTGGTAAGCTAAAGTTGCGATACTTTTTATTCCTACGGGAAGGATTGATTCAATGATATATAGGTTTATGAACTCGGCAGCACTATTGGCGGATGCATCTCACTCGTTCAGTGGTAAAATGTCATGTAGCACAATACAATAATGTAAGCTAATATTACTTATCAGATCTTCTGAGTGATTTTGTTACATTGTATACGTTCAAAATGTCAAGGAAAGTACCAGACAGCACATTTCCATACGGATATGGTAACGCTATGCATAAAGGTGTGATACGCTACTTGACTCAATCATCCGGGTATAGGCAAATATGAAACGATAGGATCATTATCTGTCTCGGCCATACTAGTGGCGGGGAGTATCGGTATTAGTATGCATTCATTTGATCTGCTGTTGGATATATGGAGCCATCATCACAGCCAAGCAGCTCAAGCAATGAGTGCTACAGTTGCATCAACGGTGACAACAGCATCCGGTCATGCCAATCAACAACAGAATATACTAGATCCCAATGCTGCTTGGTTTGCATTAGCGAGTGTTGGCATTAAAGAGTGGCTATACCGTATTAGTAAGCATATATCAAGTTCTGCAAATGATTGTGGCTGAATAGAGTCATTTAATGTATGCTACCTGTACTGACTGTTTTGCTCCCTACGTTTCTGTTCTCCTCTTTCTTATATAGCTCTCAAAGTGGGTCAAAGTGAGCGCAGTGATGTCCTAGTTGCAAATGCATGGTATATAAATATCAATCGAGGGGCATCAACTTGACACATTAACATAAATGTACGTGAACAATAGGCATCATCGGTCAGATGCTTATTCTAGTTTCGTTGCCCTTGTAGCAATAGGAGGATCTTATGCTGGAATGCCTATCTTTGATCCATTGGGAGGAATTGTCGTTTCAGGAATGATATTCAAGAGCGGGGTAGACATCATGCGACAATCTACAAGGGAACTGCTCGACAAAAGCATAAGCGAGACTGAACTGGACGAAATCAAGTCCATTGTCGCCTCCGTCAAGGTATGACATTGCGCAATTGGCTCTAGGGGGGGCATTGATTGACGGATGTTTTAACAGAACAAAGAAGCTGACCTGCTGGATTTCTACTCTATTCGCGGTCGAAAATTTGGTCCATTCCATCATCTGGACCTTGTTATTCAATTGAATCCTCACTTATCCATCACCAGAGCTCACGATATCGAGCAAAAAGTGAGATTAGCGATCAAGCATCACTTCAGCCACGTCCAGGAAGTGATTATCCATATAGATGCTGAGAAGCAGCCTAGACATTTTTAAAATTTATGCGAAAATAGACCTTTGATTTATCAGATTTTTGACGTATGTACAAGTGAGCCCACAATCTGGAGCGAAACAACTCCCATGATCTCCTCTCCCCCCCTCATTTCTCTCCTGTGTCACTGGACGCATTATATACGGAATATCCGATCTATCGTTCTTTTATACAGCAGATTACTTAAAACAGAATACCCGAATGTTTCAAGGCGTTGAGAATCTTGAGATAAATGAGTATATTTCGATGAGTCAGGACACGATTTGTTTCAATTCATCAATTTATGTGATTGACAACATTTGTTTCAGACAAGAAAAAACATAAACAGGCACAGTGTTACTGAATTAGCAGAAACGATAAGAGGTAATTTTATTTTGTAATTAAAGAAAGATGAAAAAAAAAAAGGTATTCATAAGGAGAAGAAACTTGGTATAATGTGTATAATGAATATTCAAATAAATAATGTTAAAATTAGATATAGAAAATATTTCTGCGTATAGTGTGTGTGTGCTGCGGTTATATATAAATATGTGTATTGCATAGGATAAAGGCTGTTGTTTGCTTGCTTATATTGTGTAATAGGGGGAATCATTTTGTTTTATGGTGTAAATAAATAAATAAAAAGCTTATTTCATACAGAGAACTCCATCATTCTGAATAGTCAAATGGCAGAGAATCTAGACGCGATCGAAGCTCGAATAGAATATCAGTCCACTCTTGCTGAAATTTGTAAGATCTGTCTGAATGTAATGTCTGCATTAGTTGTTGGAAGCGGTTTAAGCAATTGTTCACTGCCTCTGTAGTTGTAATTAAATCGCCACTGTAGTAAATGGAGCCTTGAGATTCAATAGCATAGGCCATCTGCACATGTTGTTAGTCATTGAACCATTGTCAATTGGGATATAGTACAACATACCTCATCTACTGCCAGCCTGTACAAGTCTTCAAACTCATCAATTTGTTTGTCTTCAATCTCATGTATGTATTCTGCTGATGCTCTTCTACTGCTGTTGGCACTGCTAGTGCTGTTTTCATCAAAGAACGATGTGCATGATGATGTAGATGAAGATCTGCGGCGTATACGAGGGAACCATCTTGTAGGCGACAGGATGATGGTAGATGTCTCTTCTGAAATGTTGCTATTGGAGTGGTGATGATGGTGACATCCGCATGAACAGCATGATGTCTCTTGTGGTTGCTTGTTGCTTTGGTTGTGGTTGAATAAACGCGATGTTAATGAAGGCATGTTGAGTTTTGTATTTACAAGTGAAATCGAAAGATGAAAGAAAAAAGAAATTCTCAAACGTAAAGATGGCATGTATTTATATGATCTTTTTCATCCTCTCCTTGCCCCCCCAAAGCATTGATCCCTCCCCCCCCCCCCCACCTTTCACCACCACCACCACCACCCCTTTCTCTCCTCACTCCTTGTTCCGATCTCCTGAAGCTGACTCCTCTTGCAACTGTGCTACCATGCTAACAAAATCCAACTAAAACACCTGTATTTACCATATAGCTTGTAGTGTTTGTATTATTCAGAATACACATACAATTTGTATTAATATGGCATTGCGTGTTTATCACAATGATTGCTATTTTACATGTGATTCGCTATAATGGATGTTTGTTATTAAGCTATTATATTGTTCAAGGAGTATGAAGGAGAAGCAAAAATATAAAAGCTCCTTAATCTTAATAAACCACTTTTTCACTATTACTGCTGTTATATAGGTAGACAAGTGACAACAATTGTGAATATAGACAGAGAATTCAACATGAAATAAGCAGGGATTTCTATTTCTGTCAATAAAAAGCTCCTGGCTATCGTCTTTGGTAGTCAACAGTGTATCGTTTATATTTGCTCTTTGTGTAATTACCAATAAAACAAATGATGTTGTTACCGATATATGTAGATCAAAAAGAATAATAACTTCTTTTTGTAGCATGCCCAATCAAGCATATACATGATGGTATAACATCATGATTGTGCAACCAATGTGTGTGTGTGTGTGTGTGTGTGTGTGTGTGTGTGTGTTTATCATGTAGCCAATTTTATTTCACGTTATCAGTGGCAATCTTGTAATCATGGGTGTGTGTTTCAATATGACATGCTATTGATAATATGATAGGATGAATAAAGGGTATGTTGAGCTTTACTATGTAAAAATATAAATAATGATGAAACGGGTCATTACAATCACATAAAGGTCTCTCTCTCTCTCTCTCTCTCTCTCTCTCTCTACTAATGTGTTCATTCGTCTTGCGATCTAGCTTTGTTTGTTCTCTTCATTGTCTTTAGCATTGATTTGACTTCGTCTACTTCAAGAGACACACTTGCATCCAAATCCGCATAATTTCTACACAATGGACATACAAACCCGGGATGATTCAACAACAATGGACGCAGACACTTGTAATGGAATGTGTGAGAACAAGGTGCAACAAAGAGTGCCTGGAATGGTGCAATGGCAAATAGGCAAATGCAGCACTCATCCACATGAATATCCTCATCTGCCTCTTCGTTTTCTTCTTTTTGATCCTGCTTGTTGCTGCTGCTGTTGCCTAATGCGCCAAATTCGATCCGTTCCATCGATTGGGTAAGAGTGGAAATATGGTTGGGTGGTGTGGCTAAATTGCGCAGAGAATTGTAGGTTTGCAAACTGTGCACGTAAGAATCTTTTGTCTGAATACCACTGAAAACCCCCTCTCCCCTCTCCCTCCCTCATTCAATCTTACTTGTATCGGTTCATATTTTCAATCTGATGTTGATTCTTGTTCAGTTCCAATCGCATCTTTACAGCACGGTAAATCTCTACATGGTTGTTGGATTGTGTCAATATCGCTAAATAAAGACATCAGTTCTTCTGAGTACCTTGGGTTCCTCCTTGATAGTCCACGCCGAGTTGAATTATATCATTGTCATGGAGCTGAAATGGCTGTGATCTTTGGTTGGGGCCACACAGTCGTCTGCTATTGAGAAATGTGCCTGAAGAAGACTCCAAATCACGGATATAGACCTTTATATGCATACATACAATGAGCTCAATGCTCTCTACCTACAAGCCATTTCCAACTGTACCTTGCTTCCTTGCACAAATATCTCAGCGTGTGTTCTGCTTACAACCTTACTCCTAAAAGTCATTTGCTTTGCTGATGGTGGTTGCGGTCTTTTATTGTTTTCAACAGCAATGGAGCGTCCAATATGTACAACTGCTGAGCCGTTCAGCGTAAACTCCATGATTGGAAACACAAGTGCGCTGCTCGAATCAAGATGTGGTACTATACGCAATTTATGTTGATTTTCTTCCATCTGTTATCGTTCGAATATGGTACTGAGGAGAGAAAAAAGAGTGCAATGCGATGCGTGATAGAAAGAAGAAATAAAATAGCAAGAAAGGAGGGTAAAATGAGGAGGATATCAAGGATAAATAAAAAGTGTGCTATCAAACTGTTGTAAAAGAGTATAAAGAGAATGTTTGTGGTGCGAATCCTTCTCTGTTTATTTGTTTATCGCAACAATACAGGGAAAAAAAGTCTCTAATTCAATTCGCCACCTTAAAAACCTTCTGTTACTGAAACTAATATGGGGTAGTAGGCAGTAGTAGTAAAGAAAAGCGATGCTAGAAAGCGTAGGAAAAAGTGCAAAAAGAGATACAACATGCTATGTATCAGCTTATCGTTTCTTTTAATAGAAATCAAATGCCTTGCTACATGAACACCAGCTAATTCTTGTGTAATCTCGTTTTACTCTGATTTTGCTCAGTCAAGATGAAATTGGCCATTGCTCGCCTTGACATGAAATGTCTGAGCCATTAATATGGGATTCCTAATAAGCCTTATGCTATGCATTTCCATTCCAACCAAATAATGGCAGATCCTTTTGATTGCCTAATTGTATTTGACAGGTGCTCTATTGCCATGACAACACAAAGCTAGAATTTCAATAAGCCACTGGGTGAACGAGCAAGAGATCCCCGACTTCAAACAAACAAAAATTCACGGCAGGGGAGAGACGATGGAAAAAAATCCTTGTTTTCGTCTATATCTTTAGTCCATCAGTCAATGAGCAACACATTTGCTAGCTTATTACGTAATTCGAGGCTCGCATCTTATGATCGCACCATCAGCCAAGTTTACACAACACCTTTGAAGCGCAAACAAATTGGTGATTGGGGATTAAAGCGTAATTTACCAACTGTTATTCGCACTCGCTATGCTACAATCGAAGCTTTGGACACAGCAGAACACCAAACACCTTGGCAATCAGGCAATGGTAAAGTGTTGTTTGTAAAGCGATGGAAGGAGAACTTCCCCGAGTCCAAGAGACCAGCACCTCGTTCTGATAAACAAACCTACAACATTGCCAAAATGACCCCTGTTGACTTTAGACGATTCCTACAACAATGTGCCAAACGTGCGCCTGAATTCCAGCAGTTGCTCAAGCAGAAGGATCTGGTGCCTGATCAAGTGTACGAATATTTGGATATTTCATTTGCTGAAACAGATAGCCTCGTGGGTCCTACTTATTCTGATTACACATCTGATGAGCCCTATTCTGTCGAAGGCCGTATTCTGAATGCAGGACGTCATGGCCATGCAGTTGGTGTTGGTGGTGTAGTGGCTCACTTGCCCAAGCGTCATTCATTGGGATTGCGTCAATTGGGCGATAGAAGAGTGCGTACATTCTATGTGGAGAGTGCTCACATTGACGATGAGGGCAAGCCAAAGGTGGTCCTCACCATGACACCACCTGGAACAGCAAGCTTGCCATTCATGTTGGCATTTGACGACGTCGTGGATGATCAGCACCAAACAATGACTACTTCAGAAATGTTCCTGACAAGAAAGCAATCAATAGGCAGAGTGAGAGATGACCAAGATCAAGCAAAGGCCAATCCCAACCACGATGAATTAATGAGTAGAATCACTGGTTTAATCAGCAACACTAAATAGAAGAAAATGTATTATATCAAAATAAAAGAGGCCCATCGTCCTGCAAAGCAATCCATGGCTGTATCAGTGGAACAACGGCGAAAATGAGTGTCGGATTGTTGATTTGCTGGTGGTGTGCGTCCCAACTGTCCATACGCATTACTACCGCAAGACCACACATGGCCATGATCTACAGATTTCTTAGATACAGTTGCTTTTCGTATGCTTGCATTGTAATTACCATCTAATACCAATGTATGCGCTGATCCGCACGCTATTTTGGTTGCATTGATCTCTATAGGTTGATCATTGACGTCCAAAAACACAGCCAAAGATATGATATCGTCGTCTTGTTTTGTGGATCCCCATCCTAACCTTCCGTCTTTGGACCAACCAAATGTATATACATCACCTCCTAGTATGACAGCAGAATGGAACGGACCACAAGCAACGTCGGTTGCATCTCTTAGTCCACAGAAATAGTCAATCGCTGTGGGTGTTTTCAGCTCCTGCTGCTGGTAATCTATGCCGCATTGTGATAAGCGATTGGATCCAAAGGCGAGCACAGGTGCATCTAAAGAGTCTGTCAAAAGCAAGATGTGCGTGTGGGCAGCGCTCATCTTTGTTATCTTACAGCCAGGAGGAAGATCAAGTTTTTCAGAATTCAATGTGTTTATGTTGTGTTGCTCCACTTGCCCAGACTCCTGCTTTAGCACAAAGATGGCGCGCTGACCTTGACAATAGGCAGCTTGTTCAATGTGTGTCATGCAGTCCATATGCTCTGATGTCTCGGTTACATATGATAAAGTGTGCTGTTCGTCGATCAACCCCATCATACTGTTAGGATCACCAAACACACTGATGATGTTGCGCTTTTGCTGACATAATTTCTTGAATGCAGATAACCATGGCGGTTGAAACCCCCAAAATTGGAGCACACCTTCATCTATACAGTCGTGTTAACTTTGCCAAGCGCGACAGATGTCATCTCTTTACCATCAATGACAATGGTGGTTTCCCAACTAGTGAACAAGACTCTGCTCGTGTGTGTATGACAGTAAGGAAATCTTATAATAGCTTCGTCAGATTCTTTTGTTTGTCCAAAGGCGTTGAAGCCAAAACTGTAAAGTTTATTCTGCATTATCGCTACAGAAATCGAAAAAGACGCCTGACTATAAACCAGAGGTTTTATCTACACAGAGCGACGACAGTCCGTGCAATTTCAATTCTAAGAGTTTCATAATAGAGCCTCGTAAAAATGCTGCAAAAGAGATCAAATCTGGCATTTTGCATATATGAAGGGTCAGTATGGCCAGCAATATAATTTCAATGCATTATTGAAAACCACAAAATACGTGTTGATTGTAAATGCAGATCCCTATATCAATCAGGCTACTTCTAAATCTTCCCATCATTTCTTCTCGGATGATACAACTTGAAAGCCAATATAGATAACTATATTAAGTTTGATTGAATAAACTAGTTCACGCAACGTGGTATCAGATATTTAGGCAATAATGGCGTAATCATCATCATTCTAATTGTGCGTACTACCTTTAGAGGAGGCAACGAGCCTGCTAGATCAGATAACTATCACAAAAACTAAAAAAATGACCCAGCCCCTCCCCCCCACCCGAATTCTCTCCATACAAGTTGCAATGCTGTCGATCCATGCTTCTGTATGACCTAAAGAAACTGGTTCAACCATTTCAAGGAGTATTTTTGTGTAATTTGTGTGTCTATTCGAAATGATGTATGTTTATTGATCTATTACTCTTCTTTATCGAATGATTTCCAAACAGCGTTCTCATCATTATCCCTGTCATCGTCAAAAGCACCACCACGCTCTTCTTTATCAAACTGAGAAGCGTCCACAGACACATCGCCTTCATCCATGTATTTAGCATCAGACAGGGCAAGTGATTTATCTTGTTCAAACAGCTGGCGACCTGTTAACTTGCCCTTCAACTCCTTTGCTCTTTGTGCTTTCAATACTGCGTCCTTTTCCAACATCTCGGCATCGAATTTCTTTTTCCACTCCATGAAATTTTCAACTGTAACCTTTGTGCCGACAAATTTAGCTTGTTCAGCTTCCTCTTCCTTGCGTCTCTTTTCATTGATAATCTCTTCCTCTGCTCGTTGAGCATCCAACATGATATTATCGAGCTCATCCTTCATTGTCATCACCATGGTGAAGATCATGGCCATACCAATTGAATCCTCGGCCTAGTCTTTCAGTGTTATGATAGTTGCTATACGCGTTCTTTTGGTTCAACTTACCACTTGCTTCACTGATTCTCTGATTTTATTGTAGTAGCTTGATGGGATTTGTCCTTCAATTGTTTCGATTTCATATTCTGGTAGTTCTTCAGGGTAGTTGGGTGTATAAATTACGTGTAATGAAAGACCACCTATTCAGATACTTTTAGCATTTTGGATTGAATGATACCGTTTGTCTCTGCTTACGGGGATTCTCCTCGTCTTGTTCTTCGGGATATACAGCAATCTTGAATTCCTTTTCACTGATTGCTAGGTAAACATTGCTATACAGTGAGCACGATATATTGAAAATTTTTACTCTGTAATTACCTTGAAATTCATCAGGGTAGATGGACTCGAGGGCTTCGATCTCATTTGCTTGTTCCTCGGCGTAATCTGGTCAATAAAAGCTCAAATAAGTTCTCGATCTTCTTAGTGATGCTCTCTCGTATTCACCTGTCATAATGTGTATAAGTGCTTTGTGAAGAGTGTGCTTTGTAAATTTTTTCGAAGCTTGGAAATCGAGTTTAAACTGACTGGTGTTTAAACAGCCAATAGTATCCTTAGAGGTTGCCCTGTTCAGTTGAGTGCTCAATGCTGTTGATGCAATGCAAATGAAGTACTTTGATAGCATTGAATTTCATCTCACCCTTATCATAGATTAGGCTCATTGCTAACAATTGCTTTTGAGTCAAGTTCGGTATGTATAGTGTAAATCTCAGGGCAGATTGAGAGTGGACTTTGTTCGATGGGTGTTATATTTATGTAGGTGAAACAAAAGACCCAACTGAAGGAGGATTCATTATCACATTGCATAATGGTATTCAAAAGAAATCCGAAATACATAAAGCCTGTTCATAGGTACCACCGTTTAGCCTCTACGGAGCATCTGCAATGCACTCGGGAAATGTTGGTGGCATTACATCTTCTTCCAAGAACTCTCAAGCGACTAACACAAAGCACATGTGCTAAATGTAGAGGTAGACGCTGTGATATCATTGCAGAGTACGTGTGATTATTCTCCAGGTAATCAGTTATATGACACTTTTGCAGTCAAGTCAGATGCTGTCAAAATGACAGCTAATTTGGTCAGAGAACATGGGTTCCGCAGAGCTGGTTAAAGCATATAAAATTTTCCCGCCTTCACTAAAGCTTCTTTTCCTTCTCTTATCTTTTTCTTTTTTTTTGAATATCATCAACAAAAAGCAACATCTCTAATGGTTCTAAACGGACAAACTGCGTGTGAGTTGCAATGGCTGGCTGACATGAATGTAGATGTCACCACAGCAGCCTCAAGAAAGACAAGCATCATTGGCACCATTGGTAAAGAATATTACCAAATACATCTTGATATAAACAAATAAACTAAGCTAAAAAAAAAAAAAAAAAAAAAAAAAAAAAAAAAAACTAGGGCCAAACACAAACAGCATCGAAATGATCACTCAACTTCGTAATGCAGGTTTAAATATTGTTCGTATGAACTTTTCGCATGGTTCTTATGAGGTGAGGTACTCAGATAATGCAGGCATAATTGCGGAGATTTTAACTTTTGACAATGCATCCATAGTACCATCAATCTGTCATTGATAATACACGTCAGAGTGCAAAGAGTAAGTGAATTGACAGGATAAACAACAGACAACCAATCTGAAATGTAGTGTATCCTGGCAGACCGACTGCCATAGCATTGGACACGAAGGGCCCTGAGATTAGAACAGGCATTATGAAGGATAATGTCGAGGTATGATGTGATATGATGACTTTTGAGCAAAGTGCTTATTTTCTTGTCAGCAGATACCTATCAAAGCAGGCCATGTATTTGTAATGAGCGTAGATGACTCTTATAAAGAGGCATGTGACGACAAGGTCATGTACATTGACTATAAGAACCTACCCAATGTGATTGAGGTCGGCAAGCTGATCTATGTCGATGACGGCATCTTATCGCTTCAAGTTTTGGAAATTTTACCTGACGGTGTTCGAGTCAAGGCTTTGAACAATGGTAAACTTTGCTCTCGTAAAGGTGTCAATTTGCCTGGAACTCCAGTGGATTTACCAGCCCTGTCAGGCAAGGACAAGCAAGATTTACAGTTCGGCGTTGAGAACAGAGTGGACATTATTTTTGCGTCATTCATTCGTCGTGCTCAAGATGTCAAGGATATCCGGAAAGCCTTGGGCGAAGAAGGCAAATCCATCAAAATCATATCCAAGATTGAGAATCACCAAGGAGTAGACAACTTTGATGAAATTTTGGAACAAACAGACGGTATCATGGTTGCACGTGGAGTAAGTAGAATGGGTTCGTAGTTTGTTCCATGTAGATCTAATGCGTCAAGCAAAGGATATGGGCATTGAAATCCCCTTGGAAAGAGTGTTTATCGCACAAAAGATGATGATTGCGAAATGTAATTTGTCTGGCAAACCAGTAATCTGGTAAGGTTTCTGCTGATGGCATTTAAGGCATTGATATTTGGTTAACTAGCAGTATATTTTAGTGCTACGCAGATGCTGGAATCAATGACTGTAAGTAAGACTATGGGCAACATAATGATTTTACTTAATCAGCTATGCTTAATATCTAGTATAACCCTCGCCCTACGCGTGCGGAAGTCTCTGATGTTGCCAATGCTGTTTTGGACGGTGCTGATTGTGTCATGCTTTCTGGAGAGACCGCAAAGGGCAACTATCCTATCGAAGCGGTACAAACAATGCATCAAACCTGTTTACTAGCCGAATCTGTTCTCTGCTACCCCAAACTCTTTAATGAACTTCGCAGCTTGACTCCCTTGCCAACGACAACAACAGAAACGATTGCTTGTGCGGCTGTGAACGCTGCTCATGAACAAAACGCAAAAGCTATCATTGTGTTGACAAGTTCAGGAATATCAGCACGTCTCATCTCCAAATACAGACCCTCTGTACCCATTATTGTGATCACTCGCAATCCACAAACTGCTCGCCAGGTCCACCTTCATCGCGGTTGTTTTCCTTTTTATTACCCCAAGGCATCATCCAAAGAAGCCAGCCGTTTGAGTGCCTCAAATAGCACAGATTATCTTAGTCCTCTTGATCTTTCACCATGGCAAGGTGATGTTGATACGAGAATTAAATGGGGTAAGCATCTAGTTTTTATCAAGATTTGGCTCCACTAATCTGATTTCATGCATGCATTGTAGGAATTGAACAGGGTCTCAAGTATGGGTAAGTTATCGCTATATACTGTATGCCACTCAAATTACTAACTTGATTATTAGTTTGTTGGGGCATAACGAGTCAATCATTGCAATCCAAGGCTGGAGAGGTGGTTTAGGCAATACCAATACACTTCGAATTTTGATTTCTCCATAAATTTGCTATAAATAAAGAGTTGATGGTGTGTATGAATGCTAAATGCTAAATCTTAAAAGTTAAATGGTCTAGTAAGGAAGCATTGGCATTCTCTTTGGACGTTTTTAGCGGTTGATTTATATCATATGTATACTGCATCTAATTCCGCATTTGGTAATATTAGTCTTAATGGGTTTTACCGTAGCCAAGCAAAGGTGTAAAGCCATAGAGTTCAAGCAGCAAATTCGGGTATTCATTTACATTGTTAATTAGAAGTTGTACAGGCTGCAGAGCTGCCCTTCCAGAAGACTTCAGCTACCAAAGATGTAATTCATGTCGTGTAAATAAACTCTACAAAGCAATACATAACCAAATTTGACAGCTTTCAAACCTTCATATCTTGACACGCAGACCTTTATGAGCCACTGGGATGACGCCAAACATTTGTAGTTGAGTGGTAGTAACTTCCTGACACCTTTGCTCAAATTTTTGGGGATCAAAAAACCATGGCCAAAATTCGACCAAAAAGCATGAGGAGTACCTTATGGTTTTCATCGAAAATCAAACGATCGCTTTTTCACCTTGAAAATAGAGACCTTTACTATGGTATATATTAATTCAAAACGTTTCTGTTGATCCAAAGCAACTTCTGAAACTACTTTTCTGAGGTTTTCATATGTGAAATATGGCTATTTTCGTCAAAAACCTCATTTTAAATTTTATTAAATTGCTCAATAACTTCAGTTGAAACACGTATTACAATTAGCACCATTAGAAGCGCCTTGAAAAGTACTCCAAGAATGTATTAGGAAGCATCGGATGATCATCACAGCTTATATAGTCAAATATCACAAAATAGATTAAAGAGGTCGAAGAAAGACAATATCGGTCCAATCTTGAACAGAAAAAAAATACTGAGTTTGAACTAATTTTGGCAGCGGCATTGCTGTTGGCTGACCTAAATGCCTTTCTGTTGATGGCAATGATGATTGCGGCACTGATTAAATGGGAATCATGGAATTGAAAGGACAATTGCTTAGCGCAAATATTTTTTTTGGGGGGGGGGGAGTTTTGCCTCATGAAGGCATATTTTGCAATGAAACTACCTGAAAAAAATCGCTGTAGATTTTACACAAGTCCTGTATTTACTTAAGGCCAACTTTATGTCGCCACCTTATTAAGAGCATCAGCAACAGCGAATGATATGCCAGTTCTATTATCAGAAAATGACAATTGTAATGTACAAATGCTGCATAAAACTTGAATTTTCTTTCATATCGTTTCCATAATAGGTTTCGTTTGATATCAGTGTAAGCAAAAAGGGTGCTGAGGGAGATACCTCCTCTCCTCCTTCTGGTGGCTCTAATATAACCTTCTTTCTTTTGCCAGCTAATAATAAATTGTTTAAAATCTACTTGATATACCAAAAAAAAATTATATCTGATTTAAAATGTCTTTGGAGAGAGCCCATAGGACGATGCTGACATCGAGCGTAGCGAGATAGATCTGCTAGTGTAATGGAATTCACTAATGTTATCTGATATCATCTCGTCACATCAGTCCAATTACCTTTTGACAAAACAATTACTTGAAATCCACAGGCGCTGACATACCATCTTATTCAACATCCAACATATCATAAACAAATGAAGAAAGCATGGTAATAAATTTAAAAATAGTAATTTTTATTTATTTACAAAAGTCTTACAAACTTTTATACAGTACTTGAGCATAAATCAAGTAATTTATTTCTTGGAAGCCTTGGCGGCGGCCTTGGTGACCTTACCAGCCTTGTCAACCTTCTCAACGGACTTGATGACACCGACAGCGACAGTTTGACGCATATCACGGACAGCGAAACGACCGAGAGGAGGATAGTCAGTATAAGCTTCAACACACATGGGCTTGGAGGGAACCATCTTGACGATAGCGGAATCACCAGACTTGACGAACTATTTACAAAGATAATTAGTTTTGTGTTTCAGTTGTTTCCTTTTCTTAAAACCAACCTTAGGAGCATCTTCCATCTTCTTACCTATTATACAAAAGAGACAATTGCGACGTTAGTAAATCATTTTAAACAATCAAGAGACGCCAGAAATTGAAAGAAAAATCAACATTTTTCGATCCAGGGACAAAAATCAAGCAATTTAAACCCAGATTCCAAATATAATGACCGGACTTTCAATTTTGACGATTACAAGTACTTACCGGAACGACGATCAATCTTCTCAATGAGTTCAGAGAACTTACAGGCGATGTGAGCAGTGTGACAATCGAGAACTGGTGCGTAACCAGCAGAGATTTGACCGGGATGGTTCAAGATAATAACTTGAGCGGTGAAAGAGGCAGATTCCTTAGCGGGATCGTTCTTGGAGTCGGAACAGACGTTACCACGACGGATATCCTTGACGGAGACGTTCTTGACGTTGAAACCGACGTTGTCACCGGGAAGACCTTCAGAGAGGGTTTCGTGGTGCATTTCGACGGACTTGACTTCAGTGGTGACAGCAGCGGGAGCAAAGTTGACAACCATACCAGCCTTAATAGTACCAGTCTCAACACGACCAACGGGAACTGTACCGATACCACCGATCTTGTAGACATCTTGGAGGGGAAGACGGAGAGGCTTGTCGGAAGGACGGACAGGGGGCTCAATGGCATCGATGGCTTCGAGGAGAGTCTTACCAGTCTTGGAACCGGCCTTGGTCTCCTTGTTCCATCCCTTGAACCAGGGCATGTTGGTGGATTCATCCAACATGTTATCACCGTGCCAGCCAGAGATGGGGACGAAGGGAACAGACTTAGGGTTGAAACCGATCTTCTTGATGAAACCGGAAACTTCCTTGACAATTTCGTTGTAACGATCTTGAGACCACTTGGTGGTATCCATCTTGTTGATAGCAACAATCAATTGACGGACACCCAAGGTGAAAGCAAGAAGGGCGTGTTCACGGGTTTGACCATCCTTGGAGATACCAGCTTCGAATTCACCAGTACCACCAGCAATAATAAGAATGGCACAATCGGCTTGAGAAGTACCAGTAATCATGTTCTTGATGAAATCACGATGACCGGGAGCATCAATAACGGTGACGTTGTACTTGGGGGTTTCGAACTTCCAGAGAGCGATATCAATGGTGATACCACGCTCACGCTCAGCCTTGAGTTTATCAAGAACCCAAGCGTACTTGAAAGAGCCCTTACCGAGTTCGGCAGCTTCCTTCTCGAACTTCTCGATGGTACGCTTATCAATACCACCACACTTGTAAATCAAGTGACCAGTAGTAGTAGATTTACCCTATGGTAATGAAATATGGTTAATCAATCATATCGCTTTTACCATGTAATATAGAGCACTTACGGAATCGACGTGACCAATGACGACGACGTTAACGTGAGTCTTCTCCTTACCCATTGCGACTATAATGAAAGATAATACATGTAAGTATATTTGATGGATGGATGGATAGCAATTTGCTGTTGTGTGGCATGGATGGATCCAAAATTTACCTTTTTAAAATTGGATGTGTTAAAAGGGAAAGATTTTCTCGTTTCATCTTTGAAAAATAAATTTATACATTATTTTTTTCTCTGGATTTTCCCCGAGTAAACTAAATTTTGCTCCAATGAAAAGAATGTAGCATGAAAGCTGTGACCTTTTATACTCTTGATGTATACCCACTCTTCAAGATTCAGGACACTGGAAGGTATGTGTTATTGGCAGTATGCATCGAGAATCAGATGAAGGAGGATGTAAGCTGGCCGTTACAATCTATTCAATCTGGTGCTAGCGTAAACCTCATGAAGAAGCACCTAGGCTTATGCTTTGGAAATTGCTTTAAGAGATGCTCTCTAATGTTCAGATTTCAATGGAATTTTGCAGGACAATACTGGACATTTGGGAGCTGTCTTGAGTGGAGTATTGCCTTAATAATGGTTCCTTACAAGAAGTCCGTAATGCTAGCATAGTATTAAATCACTTTTGAAGCCGGCTATCAACCTTGATGTCCGTCAGGGACGTTATTTTGACATTTGCACACAAAGCGTTGGTATATTACAGTGACATGAAATGGCAGTAGGGCCTAATACCTGTATCAGGCAATACCATGGTCATATACAGTATCGAGAGGTCTTTATTACACAAAATTTAAAATGCACGGCCTCTTCCTCGTCCTGCTATCATACCACCACGGCTACCTCCTCTGCCTCCGCCTCTTCCTCTAAATCCACCTCTCGCTCCACTATCTCTCTTTTTGTTTGAGGGTTGGTAATTGATAATGGCGATTCTTGTCAAGTTACCTGGCCATCCTGGCCATCCATCAGGTGTAGCTGGATTTCTCATCTTGGGATCTACTTTGATCTTGCCTGCCTTAACAGCCTTTTCAAAATCTCGGCATTTTTTACTCTTTCTTTTCTTCGACATCTTCTTTTTATCAGCAGCGTCCTTCTTTGCTTGTTCTTCTGGTGATAATAAATGCAAAATACGGTGTGGAAAGGCTGCTGTAGGACAAGGAATTTTGGATTGTGTCAAGATAGTATCGTAATCAATTGCGGCCTGTTCAACTTTAGCTACAAAATCTGGATCTGTTTCGTCAAACTCATAGACTTGTTGATCAGCAATAGCTTTTGATAAGTCGTCTGTGTTGTCTGTTCCTTCAGCAATGGTAACGTTGGCAACTGGCTCACTGGCGAATAATCGAAAGGAGAACTCCTCTTCTTGCTCTGTTTCCATATCTAATAGAATTGTCAACTAGATCCATTGAACGAGGCCTCGATTTATCTGTACCATTGCTCTCTTCTTGCTTGGATTCGTCTTCTTCTTCATCGTCAGCATTTCCAATCAAATTACGCATGAGCATATCCATTCTCTCAGCCTCTTCCTTCACCACGTCTTCATCCATAGTCTCTTGCTCAAAGATTTCATTTCGAATACTCGACTGAACTCCAGTCGGCACTTCTTCTTTGGCTCGGCTGGATCTATACAAAGAAACAAGTATTAATTGTTGTATGGCTTCAAAAATATCAATGCTTATAGTACATACACTTTATTTTCAAATTTCATTTCGTATATTTGATAGATGGTCTAGATAAACGTTGAGGTCTGTCAGATTTTTTTTTTTGCAACATCTTCCTTAATGTGACCGTATATACTTGGTTTCTGTACATTGTTGTTCCTGAGCGATGAATTGGAGCATCTAATGTTAAATGCATAAATGAGGATAGCGATGAGCCTAGTGAAGCATTGATTGCTTTATTGAACAGACTAGTTCGGCTATATGTAGTTAACAGCCAATAGTCATAATTTAATAATCTTATGCTTGGTAGAATAAACACAATCGTTATGATACATTCATATTTGCAATTGAAAATTGGCGCAAACTTCGAACATGGCTCAAAAATACCAATAAGCAAAGAGCCTCTTTAAGGATGATTTTTGAGAATCGTACTTCTCGAAAACCCCAAGCGATTTACATCAAAGCCTCGACGGTTTTGATACATCTGACTCTTGTTCCACATCTCAAGTCCTCCGAGTGTTTTACAGCTTCCGCTTCCTGTTTATTCTCTCCACTGCTTTACTCTTCATTCGCGTTCCATTTCTTTCGAATCTACATTTAATAAAATCATTAATGGACGCTTTACAAAACACTGTTCAGCAAGCTAATTTGGCCAGCCTTTTAGGCTTACATTTGGTAAGTGAACAAGAGCGCCATCGCTGTCTATATCAACGGCATAATGTAACCAATATTTCAGGGTCTTTCACTTCTTGGTGCAGTTGCTACCAATCCAACATATAATATCCCCATCTTCTTTTTCGGCATTTGGGCTTACAACTACCGAGAATCTACTTCACCTCTTAAAACTGTATGTGCTCATGGAACGTATTCAAACTTTAGTTAACATTTTTGTAAAACGCAAAAAAGTTTACAGGCATATTAGGTTTCAGTATCTTTTTGGATTTGAGTTGGCTCTATCTACATGGAGGCAACCCACAAGAAGAAAGCGGATTTGGTTTTGCAAAGTTGTAAGATTAGGTGGCATACATAGGAGACCGCGACATTGGGAATTAACAGCGTTTCTATAGCTTCACAATCATCAGTTTGCTTGTCAAGGTAAATGCATAATGATGCAATCAGTGGTGGATTCTGATGTGGTTATGTAGCCTTTATCCGTTTATTCCGGAATAAACAACCTCAAGGAAAGAGGGGATACATTAAACGCTGGAAGTTAGTAGACAGAAAGAACTCATGCGTGAAACTTGTACTGATCCTCATGATTTAGATTGGTCAGATGCTCCTGGCGCTTTCCCAAGTGGTGGTTATCAAAATGTCAGAGATGGAGATAGTGCTGAATTTGCATAAAAACAATAATTAGATTGTTATGATGCAAATCCAGTATAGGCAAATCGTGAAATAAATAAACCCTCCTTGATACCATTGTTCATGAAGAAAACTGTATGAATATATCCTTGATTCAGGCTTGATTGAGAGGTTTATAAGCCATAGCCTGTGATAAAAGTTATTTAGCTGTTCATGATCCGCCTTTAACCAGTCGTCATGACAAGAACCTTGAAGAGTTCTTGGTTTTTACCGGCCAGTTGATGTATAATTGACGAGATTGGTCTACATCATAGTGTACTTAAACGAGCGTTTATGCTTCGGATGGCTCTCTACCTTCGCTTCGCTTCGATGAGAGCCAACCTACACAGTGGAATTTCGCGTTACCGATTGCTCTTGCGTATCTTTCCAAAATATTGCCACTTTCAACTTGACCCTCCACTTACACATTATATTACCTGTGGATCTGACTCTTATATAATGCTCTACATCCATATACACGTAGCTACTTCATATACAGGCAAGCAGCACACTGGTATTCCCCCTTTTTAGCCCTTAGTGTCACTGATACACCAAAATTTGAGTGCATTTGAGCTATGTTTTCTCGCGTTAAAAGCCGTTTTAGATGGTCAGAATAGCACCAAACAATTGCTCTCATCTAACACTTACTTCCTGACACCTTTGCTCAACTTTTTAAGGACCAAAAAAACATGACCGAAAATCGACCAAAAAGCATGAGGTACCCCTCATGGTTTTCTTCGAAAATCAAATGATCGCGTTTTTCACCTTGATAATGAAGACTTTTACTATGGTATATCTTGAATCAAAATGTTTCTATCAATCCAAGGCAACCTCTGAAACCACGTTTATGAGGTTTTCATTTGCAAAATTTCGACATTTTGGCCAGGAACCTCTTTTCATATTATTGTAGATTGCTCAACAAGTTTAATGAAACCACCTATCTTACTTGGTACCATTGGATGCCCCTTGAAAAGCGCTCCAAGAAAGCTTAAAGCAACATGGGATGATCATCACCTTTTTATAGTCGAATCTAGTTGAATAGTTCAATCAAGTCGAGAATCATCAAAATCTGGCCAATCTTGAATGGACAAAAATTTTGGGTTTGAATTAATTTTGGCTGTTAGGGCTGGCTGGCAAACTCAATGCCCTGTTCATTATGAAGGCAATGCAGTAATAGATGCTTTTGAAGCGTATGGAAAGCAGATGGCAAATTACGTAGCACTATCTTTAGCCATGCTATTTTTTTGTGCATTCTATTTAACAACACCAGTCTATCAAAATAATTTTTAGATCAATTTCTTTCCTTTTTGAGGCTTTGAAAGTGTCTAGAAACCATAAATTTGCTACGTTACGATGAGTATTTCGACTCTTCGGTTGGTTCCCTGACCTACGCTTTGCTTTGGTGGAAACCAACCTACGTTCAGATGGCTTGCGCTGCCGTGGGCCTTTGGTTGATAAAAGAAACTTGATTGTCGATTGATAGTAATTTAATATAAAATCTCTAATTATATACGAACCACGCCTGACAAATGCCTGGCAACTCATTTTCCATATTAAAATTGTCAAAATGTCTAGGGACTATAAATTTATTATGTTATAACTAGATATTTGATCTCGTTAACACTTAGTGGAGTCTCCTCGCTCAATTCTGTAGTTCTATCATCGATGATTCTAATAGCGTTGAGCATATGACAGCAACTGAGCCTACCAGACATAGATATACACAATAGATACTATATAGAGCGCTCAGAATAAGCTATGGTATTCTTCAGTTTGTGATTCCCTTCCAATTATAGTTATTAAAATATCGATTGCCTTCATGCAGGTCAGATGAACTGTTGATTAAAACTTTGGTTTACATCTGCTCAAGATTGGCCAGATTTGATCTGATTCAACTCCAATATCATTTATTTGCTAGATTCGACTATGTAAATTGGGATAATCATCCTATACTTTTCTATGCTTTCTTGGAGTGCTTTTCAAGGGGCATCCAATGGTACCAAATAGGATAGGTGTTTTGAATAAACTTATTGAGCAATTTATGAAAATAAGAAAAGAGGTTTCTGGCCAAAATGTCCAAATTTTAAATATCAAAGTCCCAAAAAGACGATTTCAGAGGTTGCCTTGGATCGATAGAAACATTTTGATTCAAGATATACCATAGTAAAAGTCTTCATTATCAAGGTGAAAAATGCGATCGTTTGATTTTCGAAGAAAACCATGGGGGGGTACCTCATGCTTTTTGGTCGATTTTCGGTCATGTTTTTTTGGTCCTTAAAAAGTTGAGCAAAGGTGTCAGGAAGTAAGTGTTAGATGAGAGCAATTGTTTGGTGCTATTCTGACCATCTAAAACGGCTTTTAACGCGAGAAAACATAGCTCAAATACATTCAGATTTCGCTGTGTTTTGCATACGTTTGACTATTAAGAAGCCCTGCGCGTACGCTATCTTCCTGTATGTAACCTTTTCTCGTTGATACAGACATAGAGCGTCATAGAAAAGTCAGTTCCAAGGCTACATGTATCAGAAAGTAGCTACTTGAGAGCTCGGGTGAAATTTATGGAATATTATGTATTATTTAAAGCGGCTACTGTGGCTATAGCTACTATACAGTAGAGTGATGAAGCAATTAAAAGTAATAATAAAGACTGATGGACTTGATCTGATTTTTTTCAGCAATGTCGCTTTACACAGATCCCAGAATGATCCAAAGGGGCAAGTGTGATTTTCAACAATCTGCTACGTTTTGAGTGGGGGCATTGTACATTGTGTATCAGTGCAAATAGCGTACTACCAGTAGCATAGCACTATGCTATCCACATTCCTGATCGCTTGTTGGTTCACATAAATTGCAACTTGCTGTGTGTTCACAGCAAGGGACACGAAGGTTGGATTGTGCAACGGCATGAACCTCGTATTCAGGAGTAAACAAGGCTGCATGAAACCCAAAAATAAGAAAGTTTGGCAGCATGAAAGATTAGACTTTTAGAGCTATGAGAAGCAATGGCCATGATGAACGAGGCTTGTTTATGTATGACTAATAATCAAAAGGTATACATGCTCAACCACATTTATAAATATAGTAATCATTGGAAACACCTTTAACCGCAGTGAAATATATTCTAGAAACCTTGTTCTTGTTTCTTTGCCAAAGCATTATTGAAAACGAAAATAATCCATCAGATGATCCCTGAGAAGTGCTTCAAGAATGCTAAAGAAGAATTTACTCTCGGAAGTTTATATATACGCAACAAGAATGAATGAAATGATGTAAGGAAACGATGATATCAGTTTCGATGCTACGGAAGATGGGCCGTGAAATCTCTAAAAGAGATGATACAACCGAGCGAGGGAATAAAAAGCTTGAGGTTGCACACACCATCGAACTAATTAACTTTTTTTTTTTTTTTTTTTTTTTTTTTTTTACAATTGATGATGGCCACAACTTGGTATTGACGTTATGAAATCGACATTTGTAACTGACTGCATGATGACAGAGTTGGATACATGTCATTTGTGGCACTTGTGAATTTGATTTAACGATTGCCAAACGGCATGGTGCCTAGTTTTCTGTTGTTGTTTCTTTGCTCCTCCTTGTTTGTTGTTTCTTTATGGAGACATCAACTAAGCTATATTATGTGCTTACATGATTAACTTTGTGCTGTATTCATGTTGACCATATACAAGAGCTTGTACCCATTTTAATGTACAAGCCGAGATTTGAGGTTACATTTTCAGGCTTATTAAGGCAATCAAAACATTCGTATCTTTTTGAGCAAAAGACGGGTGTTGTACATCCGCAGCATTTCGCTCTCTTTCGCGTTTTTCCTTTTTACTAGTACCCCTTGATTTCTCTCTCCGGATATACTATTAAATGCCCAAAGCAATCAAAAAAGCAGCGAAAAAAGAAGACAATAAGGCCGGTGGCAGTGCTAAAAGTAGTAGCACCAAATTTCCAACCTTGGCACAAAAGAACTTTCTTCGTGTGGACGAACTCGAGCCTGATCAAATCTACGTGATTCCCAAATTCTTGAATGCCAAAGAGTGCGATCAATTAGTTCAGTATTTCGAGACTCATTTGCCGCCTATTGCTAGTGCCGGTGGAAAACCTAAACGTGGGTATGCGTTTCGCAACAATGATCGACAATCAATTCAAGATTCAAGCGTCGCAAACACATTGTGGAAAGGAATGCAACAAGTGGTCCAAGAGTCGCCTATCAGCCAAGCAAAGATACCCAAAGGATTGAATTCTAACATCCGGATATACCGTTATAGGAAGGGTCATTCATTTGGTGCTCACTACGATGAAAGCGTACAAGATGAAACAACTGGTTTATGGACTGATTGGACGCTACTGATCTATCTGAATGAAGACATGAAAGGTGGCGAAACAGTGTTCTATAAGAATGATAATCGGAAATCCGATCCGATAGTGGTACAGCCGAAAAAAGGGATGGCTTTGCTCCATCGACATGGTACACACTGTTTGCTACATGAAGCAATGGAAGTCATTGAAGGCAGTAAATGGGTGTTGAGAAGCGACGTCTTGGTGTAGATTTATCATTCATTGTAGGAAATATAGGATTCAGGGGTTTGATAATAAATAAAAGCAATATTTGCAGATCTGTAATTATTAATGATGTATCATAATAAACGCACGTACACTTTTTGCCATTGTTTGTATATAGCTATATATACATCCAGCCCTTGTTTTGGTCTCAAGGCACATAAATGAGATTAATGATTTATCAACAGAATAACAATGGGCCCATCCTCGTTCTATTCAAATAGTAGGGAGAAGTATATACTTTATCATACAAATCACTGTGGAAAATGGGCGTTCCATGTGGTACAATAAGCATGAACAATTTTGGTAGTATGTTATTATGAGGTATACATGAAACAAACAGATGATTCCATCTTACTACTTCCCAGGATCACCCTCTCGTACGCGTATAGATTTAATATAACTATATTGTCCATGGATATGATCACATCTAGCCTATGTCTGATCCATACAGTAACAAGTAGATGATCATATGCTTGGCCTTTTCTCTCTCTCTCTCTCTCTCTTCCTCTCTCTCCCTCTCTCTCTCTCTTTCAATAAAGGAGCAGCCAGGGGATGCTGAAAATACAAGTGTATGATGCTATCTGTTCCACTGTAACGTAACACACAACTGCACTTGTTTCCTTCACTCTGTCATCATACTGTGTACACACACACACTCTATAATCATAGTGTGCGTGAACTTATCGGTAGCCAAGCGACAGAAAAAAAAAAGTATTTATAGGTACTCTGTTTATTTCCTTTCTTTTCTCTTTTGTTTCCTTCATTTCATTGTAATCCCATTCTACTATATATATATATATATAACAGCTTAATAAATATACCCTTTTTTTTTTTCTTGTCTTATATATCACAACATGTCAAATAAGAAACAGCTACAACAAATGTCGCAATTCTCAATTATTCGTGAATCACCTGGAGACAAGCATCTGATCAATAACAACAACAAAAAGTCAAACTACAACAACCACACGAGAGAAATCAAGTTTAAGTATGAAGAGCCTATCGGTATCAGGCCTGAAGATGACGATGATCTCGAGACCTGCCCTGCTAGAACAAGAGCCTCTTGGCCCCATAAGATTGTTCCTTGGTGGAAGCCCACGGATCGCTATGAAAAACCACCTTATTCTTATGCAACACTGATTGCTCATGCCATCTTGACTAGCAAAAACGGCCGTTTAACTTTGAGTGACATTTACAAATGGATCTCGGAAGCATATCCGTACTACAAAAGAGGCCAAAAGGGCTGGCAGGTAAATAACAAGCACAAACCATCACAACAAGCATTGTGTTGACCATCCATCTCGCTCATTAGAACTCTATCCGCCACAATCTCTCATTGAACAGAAAGTGGTTTGTCAAGGAAGACCGTCGTCCTACTCAAGCGCATCCTGGCAAAGGCGGTTACTGGACTCTCCGTCTCAACACTGAAAAGATCTTTGTAGACAACTTGTCTCAAACCGGCGGCCACAGCAGAAGACACCACGACATGGGCATGTACACTTCTCTCTCCACTCGTCATTACCGCAATACCAGTTCTGAAACTGGCGCCATTAGTGGTGAAGACATGATGAATTTGGATGACTTGTCAATGGATAACATGTGTCCCAACATTCACATTACTCGCCCTGAAGATTACGAAGCCAAGAAGAACAAGGCTACTGCTGCTGCTGCTGCTGCTGCTGCTACTGCTGCTGCCTCTACTGCTTCTACTACCTCACCCTCTGTGGCTGCTCCCCGCATCAGAAACATGACAGCTCAGGAAAAGAAGAGCAAGATTGCGCCAAAGCAAGTGCCCAAGACTGATCCCAAGAACTTCATCATTCGATTCAATCCTCTTGACCCTGTCAACAAGCGTCGCAAGTCTACTGATCCTCAAAGACCTCCTCCCAAGGCGGGTAAACGCCGCAATCCTGTTGAACCTGGATCATCTACAGCTGAAGATGACGATGATAGTGCTGTTGATGTGGGATCGTATGCTGACGATACACACACTTCCAAAAAGAGAAAATCAACAACAACAAACTCAATTGACACCATCGCTGCGTCACCGTATGTATTGAGTTACCCTACAGAGTCGTACAACAATTTGACTAGACCATCGGATTTGATCGGTACTATGCCTGCTCTTCCTCAGCAACCTCTGCAACAGCCACTGCAACAGCAACAACAAGAAGGCAATGACTTTTGGATGTGCGATAAAGACCCCAACCAGATGCTACTCACTGCTGAATATCCAATGCTGTTTGATGTGGAGGCGCAGAACATCCTTGATGGATTACAAGTTCCTCAGCAAGTGGTGACTCAACATCCTGATATGAAGACCATTGATCTCCAGTCCTTCAGCTTGGAAAAGAACCTCCACTTTTCGTCCAACACATTCAACGCCGAGTCCTTCTCTGACCCCAACAGCAATTGGTATGTGCCTGACTTGGCCACTTACAACTTGGATCAATACGTTGATTTCGAAGGCACAACCACAGACTTGCTCATGGAGGATGATCCAGCCACTATGAATACCTACTGGCCTACGGATGCCAATAACTGCTATTTCAATATGCCATCTACCCTTTCTACAACTAAGTATGAATAACTTTTTCTTTCAAATTTGTTTCTATATATCCCCCCCCCCAAACATACTCAATTACATATACCTCTTTCGTGTTCTTTCTTGTAAATTAATTATAAATAAATATATATCTCCTATAAAAGGCATTCTATATCAAAACAATAAACCCCATTTATCAGATGATGGATCACACTTGCAAATCTATGCGCCCCATTTAGTCCGTTTCATCCACAGTCGGCGGGGTAAAGCAATATAGTGTCTACTTAAGAGGGTCACACTAAGCTATAGCCATGACCCCTTCTTCCCGCCCTCCTTTTATACTCCCACACCCAACAGAAAATGGACCTCCAAAGAGCTGCTAGTATGATAAGGGCTCTGCCCTACATGTCCAAAACGATTGTAGATGATACGCTATACGAAAAAGTGCTTTCGTTTCTCATATCGGTCTTGTCGACGCATTCCATTCAGGCCATAGTCGAGTTGAATAAACAATGTCAAATATTTCAACAAATCAAAGAAGCGTGTTTGCTGGTAGATGAGCAAGATTATCGTGTCACTACGCTTTGTCTTCGCTTTTTGGGCCAATTGATACACTATGGAAAAGACGAATTGTTTCAAGAATTAGAGTCTGATTATACAGATGTGTTGGCCATGATCACTGCTGGCATCAAATCGAACGAAGCTGCTCTACGCTGTGCTTGCATTGAAACATGTCGCCTGTTCTTACGGTGCGATAGTGGGTACACGTGGCTGCTCAGCAATGACAAGGCAACATCCTTCATCCCATTTGCGCTATTGGATCAGAGTAGCTATGTGGTAGCTGAAGCGTGCCACTTATTTGCCGCCTTGCTGACACTTGAATCAAATGAATTGCTTCAATCAATGGATCCTTCAGAGTTGATCCGCTCTATTTTGCTTCAGTCTGCTCAGGGAGCAGGAGATCAGAAACAAATGCTCTCTGCCCTGGATTTTTGCTGGGCTGTTGTGGCCGTTAGAGATCAAAGAACGCTTCCTTACCTTCGATCAAAGCAGCTGGTAAACCAGATTTTAAGCAAATTCTTCCACATAAACTGACTGTATTGATAGTTACATTCCTTCATGCCTTCCCTATTATCATGCGATCGGATGATCAGAGCAAGAACACTGGAGATTACAAACGAGCTGTTTACGTGGGATCCAGATCCACTTCTCACGTTGAACCTATCCAGCAGTGGAAGCAATGTGCACCAAGGTGAGCGTCATGTGTGTTGGCTTTGCAATGAAGACTAAAATGAGGAGTAGCTTATCTGGCCATATCTGAATTGGCATTGAGCATGATCAAAGAGTCGACTGCATTAAACGACACGATGACAGCAGTTTCGTTACTGGACGCATCATTTACCTTGCTTCAGCATAGCTCAGACACTGAAACTTGTTCATCTGACGCAGCGTACACTACACTACATCAGCTTTTGCATGTCTGCATGGATAGCGACACTCACAACCAACTAGCAAATGTAAAGAAGTCATTGAAATCGGTTCGTATGAAGAACAACCTACTGCAACTTGTGGTCCGCACCGTAAACAAGCTCTTGGAGATGGATGCGACTACTATGAATGTAAGTGACCATCACGTTTAATGCATAACCGCCAATGCTTATTCATCGCCATGACAGAATCCCGGCTTCACTGATTTTTTTGACGTCTTGAAACACGACATGCTGTATTCGGATTCTCGCGTTTTGAAGGCCTGTTTAGAGTTACTCACGAGTGCCATGTACAAAGATCAGCAGCCAGCAATATTAGCGCAGTGCACTCACGCATTAGTCAAAATTATGATGAATGATGATACTGCATTGGATTGCAAAAGCCTCTCTATTGTATTGGCATCATTTGACAACCTTTTAGGTCACAAAGACATTGGTGCTCTTGTGACAGAATCAGTGAGTAATTCAAACAGCCCAAACAAACAAAACACTCATAAAATAGTGATTTTTCAGGGCAACGGTTTAGCAGAGGCACTCGAGTTCAAGTTTCTTGATACAGAATGGGACATTCGGGATGCCACTGTCAATTTCATTGGACAGCTGTTCACCGATAACCCAATTAGGCTGACAAAGGTTCAATTTGCATTGACATATGATTTACCCTTACTCGTATTTGCTCGTATCCATGATGCGGAACCATATGTGAGAGCTTCAGCTGTACAAGTCTTGCAGGTAATAGGCAGCGCTTTTGTTGTTGGATTATGTATATTGAAGCGTTTGTTTCCTCCTAACAGACGATGATGACTTGCAGAGAGGGATGGGATTACATTCAGCAGCACAAAGTATCCAGGGATTTGGCTACAAAACTGCCTTGTTTGCTGTATGATACAGAAGCATTTGTGAGAAGAGCTGCACTGGATGCCATCAGTTGCTTGGCTGAGAACAGATCCTGTCAGGGGATGCTGATGGAAGTGGAGGATTCAAAAAACCAAAATTCACTCAAGTAAGTACCATGGTTGTCTACCTGTCTGGATACTGACAGTTGCGATAGTCCCGACATTATACGCGACCTGGTGAAGGATGAAGATACGGATGTGCGTATCAGGGCATGTAAACTGATTGAAAGCCTATGGCTACTTTATATCCATGAGAAGCAGCAAAATAAGAAGACTCGAGAGCACGATCACCTATTCACACATTTAGGGGCAGGCGAATTACTAGCAGAAGCTGTGAGTCTTTATATATTAAACACAACTTTCTGCTAACACCTGGGCATAGGCTGTGGACACCAATAGAGTGGTTCGCATAGAAGCTGTCCGAGTCATTGAACGCATCTTGTCTCAGTACTCTTCTTCCCCGTCGAGCACAGCGCAAAAGAGGTCCTTTGATGACAAGGATCAAAAAGACGATGATTTCATACGAACGTTACAAACAGTAAATCTAGCTCAGCAAAAACAAACATTAGATCCGGAACATCTCTATCAAGAAGCATTTGATATCAATGCAGACATGATGACTCAATCCATCATCCCAACAAATCCTGACGATGATATCAATATGCTGGATTGTTATTAGCTGATGATGAAATATACTGTCGAAAATGTTCCATTGCAGACAAGGCCTTTCTCGATTTAGTCCATGTAGCGATGTATAATAAAAGCAGCTTGATTATCAGATGCTAATCTGTATCGTGTCTTTTAATAAAATTGCATTTCATCCTTGGTTTGAGCTGTGGTTGTATCTGTATGACGAATCATCTATGATTGCAATTCAGGAACGAAATCAGCTCAAATAGCAACGGCGATGGGTATACGTGTCATGTATGCACGCATGAATTTGCTTTGTAGATGGTGGCTGCGCGGAACGTTTGGTGCGCAATAACGTGATAATTTAAGGTTTTCCCTGGATAGCAGCATGAATTTCACGATTAATACTTTTACCGTGAAACCTTGGTTGGATTTTCATGTATACAGAACGCTGACAAGCAAGAGCGAGATTAAGAAGCATGTAGAGCGTACTGTGCATTTCATCTATCACTACTCTGGTATCCATTCCGTGTCTGATTTCAGGATTTTCAGGCACCAATTTTAAATCGCATTTGTAGATATATGATTGGACAACGTTTTCATAGATGTCTAAAATTACTCACACACAATACTCAACGCATGTCTCTAGTTGCACAGACAAACAGCAGGCAAATCAAGAAAAAGAGAATATGAAAAAAAACAAATGAGCCTATTTATATTATAAATACCCAAAATTATGTTTTAGCGTATCCTCAGATAAACATATGCAAAAAGCAAAAAGCCATGTGGCAACATCACTCAACCGGTAAATGAAATGTAAATGGTGTGGCAAATCTGTTGAGAGCACGCGGTAGTCCTGCTTGTACATTTACAGCACTGTTAATAGGCGGAGTTGCCTCTAATCAACCCCCCCCCTCCTTGTTTCTATTTGTTTAAAGCATTTACTGGTCTCTCTCTCTCTCTCTCTCTTTTTCCTTCATCTTTACATCCCCCCCCCTTCTCTTCTACACTAATTATTCAAATATGAATATGACCGATCACTTTAGTAGCAACTCTCAACCCAATTCTCCATATCAACCTCAACAACAACATCAGGAAAGAAGACCCTCACTTATTGACCCAACATCCAACAGAACATTGTATCCTCTGTCTTCATTCCGTCATCCGCATCATCACACTGCTGGTTATTCAGATAGTGCACATTCAAGCCCTTCAAACTCACGCCGAGGCTCACTGACTGACCCAGCGTTGCATTCATCTTCTTTCCGTCCTAATCATTCACTCTTATCGTTCAACTCTTCTTCTCCTCCATCTTCTCCTTCATCTAGAAGATCATCGATGGTAACTACACCTGAGCATCTTCCTTCATTGCCGCAGCTTCCAACCCCGCCTACATCTACAACGACCTCTCCCTGGCGAAGAGAATCACTGCCTTCAATTACACATTTAACAAGCACTACTACATCCTACAGACCTTCTACTGCTGATTATCAGTTCAAACAGATGCACATGATGGTGGATGATCACCGTCGCCATTCGATTGCTATGGGATCTTCTTCTGCTTTCAATGGAGTCAACAGCAGACATAACTCTATATCTAGCTCGGGCATGGAGGAAGACATGATTATCACAGCAGCAGGGGGAGAGGATGAAAGACCCGTCGTCTCAAGGAGAGGTAGTGAAACACCTTACAGTCGATCTCCAGAACTTCGAATAAGTCACAAGCTAGCGGAAAGAAAGAGAAGAAAGGAGATGAAGGATTTGTTTGATGATTTAAGAGACTTACTACCAGTGGATAAAAACCTAAAGACGAGTAAATGGGAGATTCTGAGCAAAAGTAAGTTTTAGCGGCTTTCTCTTTATCTGTGAATGACTAACTTATTGCATCCTGAATTAGCTTTGGAATACATTCGTATACTGCATCAAAGAGAGAGTATCATGGAGAAGGAGAAGGCTGACTTAATCAATGAATTGAACGCACTGAAGCGATGAATTGACTAAAAAAAAAAATCAATAGCAATACTAATAATAGCAATAATAATGCACCTAATAATACAACCACAATGCGACATTCTGCGCAGACGCACAACCATAAATATAAAACGAGACACATTTATATTGATTTAATGCTATATAAAATGACAGTTGTTATATACAGTTGAATAAACATTAAAAAAAGACACATTCGTAATGATCTTTCTACTGTTGCTGAATGTTTGAAGGATGCTTCATCCAAGACCATGTACAAGATGGTCAGGGCATGGCAATTCGGGGTTTGTCGTCCAAAATTTCATGCAGGTTTTGTCAGATCAGTAGGGCTGTCATCATGTCTCTAATAATGCAGATCATAGGGAAATTCGAGTTTTTCAGGTTCCAGTAAGCATACTATATTCATTCGAAAGCCCTTGAGCTTTAATGAGAGCTATTGTATGCGACGACGACTGGCATTGACTATCGGATTCGTCCATCTCATTACAAAAGTGTGAGTCTTGTCGAATAGCCAACTAGTATGGGCTTCTTAGCACTCGACTATCGCCTAAAAGACCTCTATAACCGTGAGTCTTCTGCCTCTTCTACAAAGCCCTACGGCTGTATGAACGAGGAAAGCTCTTGAACAGGTTCACAATAGGCTTGCATTACCTTTTACTGCTTAAAAATACGCACATCACAGCATAATTCGGTTAAATTTAAGCCGTGATTTCTCGTGTTAGAAGCCGTTTTAGATGGTCAGAATAACATCAAACAATTGCTCTCATCTAGCACTTACTTCCTGACATCTTTGCTCAACTTTTTAAGGATCAAAAAAACATGACCAAAAATCGACCAAAAAGCATGAGGTACCCCTCATGGTTTTTCGTCGAAAATCAAACAATCACGTTTTTGACAGCAAAAATGAAGACTTTTACTATGGCATGTATTGAATCAAAATGTTTCTCTTAATCCAAAGCAATCACTGATATCACTTTTGCGCGACTTTGGTATGTGAAATCTCGACATTTTGGCCCAAAACCACATTTTGAATTCTTCAAAATTGCTCAGCAAGTTTGTTCAAAACATCTCTTATAATTAGCATCATTGGATGCGCCTTGAAAAGTGCTCCAGAAAAGCATAAGGGAACACGGGATGATTATCACTATTTACTAGTCAATTTCTGCAAAATAGATTAAATAGATCGATTTTGCTCAAAATTTGTCCAATCTTTGATGAATAAAAACAACGGAGCTTGAATTAAATTTGGTGGTGGTGGTGGCAGTGGTTGCCCGCTGCCTCTTTGATAAAGGCAGTCAATGCTTTGAGGTTGATAAAAAGGGAAATGCGAGTTGGAAAGCACTATAATTCAAGTTGTTTACTGATTTATTGCTTTTGTTTCCTGGTTCAATGTCTGGTAACGCCAGTCTGAAGGATGTTATCTGAAAATAGTAAATATCAGCTTGCCTTAGGTTGGATTGGTACGGTCATCTCTGTCAAAGTTACACTCAAATCAGTGTGTAACTGAGCAACTTTCAACATGCACTTGTATATTTACATAGCGAAGCAAACTATAAGCAAGGTGTAAGCTGCTTGAGATAGTTGGAATCGCTATGGTATAAGATATAAAACGACCAAATCAATAGCTTCTGCTGCCATTTCTAACGAATAAGTGTCTGGATGCTATCGGTTTCTGCCATATATGATTCAAGCCGTACACAGCATCTGTCGTAAAAGATTCCTTATTTTGCTCAAAACCGTAGATCTCACAAAGCAATTAGAACACAGAAACTTCATGCTCAACGTATATTTTGGTATTTGATGCAGGAAAAGTAGGCCGATATATTATACTAATATGGAAATCCGAAGTATATTGGCATCTGGATCTCTGTCATCTACCTAGAGCCATACACGGATAGCTACATCAATGTAAAAAGTTCTCATTGTATAACATACTGCTAGAACGTGTTGATTTGACTTGTAATTAACTAAAGCTGATAGTTACTTGAGCAGCGAGAAAGTATAAAAATATGTCTTAATTTATCCTCCCTGAAATTTTCGTTTTCTTTCAATCTTAATCATATCACATGAAGATTCAAAAGCTTTTTGCTGTAGTGGCATCTGCCGCATGTATTCCCTCTGCATTCGCTTTCAGATTTCTTGTAGGCGTCAAGTATGCAAATGTATCTCCAAGATTGGTTTGTCGTTATGTTGCTCTGGACAATTCGTTCGCAGATGAATGCTCAACTCATGTCAAATGCGTAGACGGTGAGGGCATGACCTCATTTGAAGATGACCCAGGATACAGCCGGTCTAACCCCAGCTTCGAGTACCCTCATATGAAGCTCTACTTTAATCCTGAAAACTGGACGCCACGCATGGTTTACACTGCAGAATATGATTATCCATGTGTTTATTGGGGAACGAATCCCTCACAACAAATTGATATTTTCATCTGCGAAAGGGTTGAGCCTGCTAGAACTATAACCACTACTACTAGCACTACGACGACAACTACTACAACAACTACCACAACGACAACTACTACGACGACAACTACTCCAACTACCAGTACTACGACGACAACTACTCCAACTACTCCAACTACTACTCCAACTACTACTACTACTACTACTACTACTCTGCCTGCAACCGCAACATGTATTGGTAACTCCAAGGGCAAGAAGAAGGGTAATGGCTACAAAGGCTATTGTTGTCTCTCGCATCTGGACTGCTACAACAGCTGTGTGAAAGGTGTATGCGATGGCCCAGCATTCCCTTTATCCACGGCAACCGCTACTTTGCCTGCTGGGTGCGCTAAAGGTCTGCAAGGAAAGAAGAATGGCAAAGGCACACCTGGACGCTGCTGTTACTCCCATGCTGACTGCAAGAACAGCTGCATCAAAGGCAAATGCAGCTAATCATATCATAAATTATAATATATCGTAATTTAGTGCCATTTGTATTCAATAAACTGTGTCCTTTTAGAAGCAGTGCATAATAACCATCTCGATAATTACGTAGTCGATCTAGTGTTTATGTAATCTGATGGGGACCTGTTCGCGGCTGAAAAGAGAGTCCATCGTAAGTCTACTTGTTCACAGCATAATGAAATGACCAACTTGTCGGGTATTGGCCTACTCAATCAGAGCCGAGGATTGCATGCGATCGACGCACTGCATTACGAGATTTCTGCTGAAAAACTCGCGAAACCGCCAATTAAAAACTAAAACCATCGGTTTGACATTTGAAAATCGAATACGCATGAATAGCCGTTTTTTCCGGTTTTATCCATTCTCTTCTTTTTTTTCTCTTCTTTTTATACTACAAACCATACAATGGACACTAACAGTCAAACAGAAAGTACACCACTCACTAGTTCTACGACCAGAACGTACAATAAAGGTGTTCACGGTAGGCATCCAGTCGCATCGTTTTGAACAGTTTGATACTCATGCTCGTAAAGGTCAAAGAAACGAAACGACACAGCGCATTACAGCTGAAGTCCTTCGTATCTGTAAATGGGAGAATCCAGGTCGTTCTGCCATCCTACTTGTTGGTTTAATAGCTTCTATTATCTTGACCCAGCGCCACTCTTTATTGCAAATTATCACAGGCTCTTTGACTATTGCCATCACAGCTAATCTCATCTATGTATTTGGAGCCCAATTCATGCAAACTGTCGTCTCTGATCGCCCAAGCTCTCATCCATGGAGGTAAGAGACAAACGCGTCTGCCTGACAGATCTCTGATCAGTTTGACTAGCAATGTACTGGAAGACAAGGATACGGATTTGCTGAACAAGGAATCTGCTGTGCACTATAGCTCCATCGTTGTTGATGTAGCAGAGACTGTAGCCAGAGCTGTTACTCGTATTGTGTTGATTGAGGATAGAAATACAAGCTTGAAGGTAAGAATGGAGTGCAAGTGTACGTTGACATGATGTCATATCAACATTGTGCAAACGTCAATTTACAGTGGTTGGCCATCTTCTTCACAACATGGAGAATTTCAGCTTACGTTCCAAGCCGTATTCTGATTTTGTTGTTTATCATCTCCGCGTTCATTTTCCCTCGTCTGTACATCAGCAACAAGGATTTGATAGATGCCCGTCTGCACCAAGGTCAGGCCATTTTGAACAGCCAAATCCAGCGCACGCAAGAGTTTGCTTCTGCCAAGATTGCTACTGCTAAAGAAGCTACGCAGACCTACGTCGACAAGACCAAATCTGCTGTTGAATCTAAAACCAGCACAAGCTCAAATGTTGGTACTTCTACCACATCAGTTCCTTCTCAAAAACTTGATTAAAAAATATCGTTTCTCCTCGTTCTTGTGTAGCGTACAGCAATAAATAAGTTGATTTTTAAAAAAAATTAGTCTTTTTCATTCTTTCTCTTTCTCTCTTGATCAATCATCTCACATTTGAAACTACAGATATGCCGTTATCTGAGGTCATCGACACTCGATCTACCATCAGCGCACCGGCAAGAGAATCAATGTCCAAGCAAGAAGATGTGCCTAGTTTTCAAGAATTCAAGCTAGAAGGGTTCAAAATGAACTCCTCGCCCGAGATCACACCTGCACCTCACAAGTTGCGTGAGGCTCGTCGATCACTTGCTTTTTATCTAGAGCCCAATCCAGGCACTCCTATTCAAGCGTCCTTCCAACAATTTCAAGAAAAGACATTTGTACAGTTCGGCCCTAATCAAGCTCATAATACACAACCTCACTTGTCGATCATTGGAAGAGTGTTGATCGAAAGAGGTGCTGAATTTTCAACGAAATGGGATACAGTGGACGAGTTCATCAAAGTAATCGATGCAGAGATAAAGAAACAGCATTTGAAACCACCCGAATTCATTGGATTTGAGATATTAGACAAGCCCACAAGGTCGTTGGTGATGAACGTCAGATTAAACACAGGCTATGAGCAATTGGCAAAGGAAATAGAACGTCAAATGGGACCTAAATGCAGCGTCTTGGAGCCAAGCCCCATGAATAGGATTCATCTTGCTTATAACGTATTAAAAACCATCTCAAAACAAGCATTAAAGAGAATGAAGGAGAAGGCAGAAGAGACGATTGACATTTACGATTGGGTTAAAACTGGAGGATCCTGGCGATTGACAGTATACGAAGTGATGGTGGAGAGCCAAGTTGTAGGCGTCCAGCATCAGCTTGTTGAGCTCAAATCATGGCCCATTCAACCCAACAGCACAAATTTCAAACTGTCATCCACTCTGCCTGTATCATTGCGCATCAAACTGTCGTTCCTCTCATCCTGGTTCAAGAATTCCACGTTTTCTTCTGCCAAGAAAGTCATCATTGCAAATCAACCCAAAAATGCTGTTGTTCTGCGCAATAATAGATCCAAAACTGCAGGCCATCAAACACTTTAATAATAAATCCCCATCCCTTTTTGATCAATCAATAAGTATACACATGATATTTTATTTCGTTCTGCTGCTTTTCTTCTGAAATGATGACACTCCATATTTCTGCTTTTTCTACTCCATTTTTACATCGTCGTCCACTTCAACTCCACGAATATAAAGCACGTTATTACATCTAGTGCAAATCGAGTTAATACAGCACATTTACAATCATGAGAATATATGCGTACCTAATCAACACTTCACCAAGTGTGCCAACGGACTCGCCGTTTTGGAATTCTTCTGTATTTGCCAACTATCAAAGCAAACAAGTTATTACAAAACGCGTATGGTATTATAAAGGCTCGTATCTACCTGGAGATTCATATAATTATCGACAGAAACAAGATAACCTTGGTATTCACCACCCCACTTCAACTTGACAGCGACAGGTTTGCCAGTGAGTTCATTAAGGAAAGGTTTAGGGTTAACAGGAACAAACTAGTAGAGGTTTAGAATGAGGTCCTTTCAATAGAGGTACTCTAACTTACAGCAGACATAATAACGGTTTCTTTAAAGAGGTGCAATGAATTCAAAAGGGAAAATAGCTATTTCAAGAAAATATTTTTTGTCTAAACTCCTTCTACGTCACTTTTCAAGAGCAATGCTTGATATGCCAGCTGGATGTTTGATCTACACCTACAAGACTCCAAAGGACATCTCCCGAGACAGATCATTGAGTGTGTATTTGAGGCTAGACTAGTACAATATAGAGCCTGTACCATAATAAACAGCATGCTGGACTGATTGCAACAGGTAGTAAATCCCAGTCATTGATCTACTTGAGCTCTACACGCATTAGGTCTCTATCGTGTGCCAGCTGCTACTTGATGCTCAGCTGTGAGATGCCATGTATATTATAGTGTTGGGATTTCAACGCCTTTTAACATTGTTGAAGGTTCAAATTACATCCAAGACATCAACATTTGCAGACTAAAAGGTAATTTCTGTGTTGTTTTACTGTCCAGCGAGATCACCATGTAAATCATTGGTGCTTGTCAGAGGCAGATATTTAGTCATACTATCATGACCTGCTTTGTTTGGGTTCCAGCTGTAATATATTACAGTTAAAGATATGGCTAGATATGAGGATCACAGTGGGTTGCAACAAAGTATACTCTGTACAATCCATTGAAGACGTTATCTTGAGACATGGATAGACATAACACCAAGCCAATACTTGTCAGCAGAGGGCAACTATCGCCAGCATCATTTTACACAGTTGTTATTCAAATTCCTGTATGATCTCTGTTTTGATGACATCTAGTACACTTTATGCAATGTCAATCTGGTTGACAAACACGCAAACATAAAGGCATCAGGAGGTTTTGCCCCAGCCATTGCAAACCAATGTCAACATTTGACAATTCAGATCCATCGATATACACCACAGAATGAATTTAAGCTTCAATTCTTTTCAAGCGAGCAGCAATGCTATTTAGATGGGTGCATTTGTTATTGAACGAGGTATGCATTGGCATTTTATACGTATATAATAATAAATCAGTGCTCTGCTGTGTAGAAAGAGATAGAGAAACTTCATGTAGAATCTGTTTGTATGTTTGCTTGATAATTAAGAAGGAAAAAAAAAAGCTCCATACCACTAAACTAAATACAATGAAATCTTGCACTTGATCAAATCTCCTATTGAGATGACAGCGTGAATCAGCATTTAAAGTGATTTCTGCCTGTTGCAATACGCACACCAACTGTGGCCTATGTGATGTGAAATGAGATTGATCTTTTGTCTAAGAATGCACTTCAATTTTTGTATATAAGGTGAATCCTTCTTTTTCTCTTGCTCATTTCTTTCTCTCTTCTCATTATACTCTATTATGGACAGCAACTATTACCAAAACCAACTGTTAAGCGCAATCTCTGAAGATGATACCGCACCTTACACAACACTGCCAGCAGATGGCCTCGTCTACAATCATTTGCAGTTGACATTGCAGGTTCAGACAGACATCAAAAACCATCAGCGTATCCAGGACTTTTTGAACTGTGCCAGCAATGATTCAATTCTAGACTTTGATGAACTGTATTCCTCAGTAACAGCTGAATCAGATCTGCCCTACTTGCAAATGATGGAGCAACAATCAGCAACAACTCCTTTTTATACCCCAATTGGCTCTTTTATGGATACAACAGCATTTGATATGGCATGTCTACCACCACACAGCAGCATAACAGGACTTGACACTGGTCTAGGTGTTGAGCAACAATGCCATCCGCTATCGCTATATCCAGAGAATACCACTCATTCAGATATGTTCCCCTGCGACTACCCTCTTCAGGATCAAGACATGCCGAATGAATTTAATTGTAACAATACTTTTGTAAGACGCTAAGATGCTCTGATTATAGCAAGAAAACTCATTCACCCATGTACGTAGGACTCGAATCATTATTTCGATGAACCACCATCGTCTGCCTTTATGCCATCTCTCATGCCATACCCTGTACCTTCCATTCACAAGACAGCAACTCCAATTTCAGCCTTCTCCAACGAACATCATTTAGCATACCGGAGCAATTCAACGCCTATGCTGTCTGCATCATTTTCATTTTCATCATTCTCATCAGCTTCATCGAACGAGGGAGAAGCGTCACTGCAAAAAGAAATTACCTTAGATCAGGATGAGCTGTCAGCAGATATACAGCTACCCACAATGCCCAGAAAATCAGCATCTATGAGTTACATTTCAGAACCAGGAATGGCCAAACGAAAGAAAAGAATGTCAATGGCTCAAAGAAAAGGAAGCATAAACAATCTCAAATCAGAGCAAGTATCGAAGCAAAAGAACGTGAAGCACAAGAAAGTGAGCCTATCATCATCATCATCTGATAGTTTATCATATTATCTTGCCAGACAACAGCTATCTGATGCTGATGAATATGAAGACGAAGGTGATGAAGAGCCCAACAGTACATCAAACACATCCTCAATCACCGGAACCACATGCAAGAAAGGTAGAAATGTCGACAAGGCTTGTAATCATTGCAAAAGATCCCATTTGCGATGTGATAATGTGCGTCCATGTCGTCGTTGCGTGGCAACTGGTAAAGTGGGTTGTCAAGATGTAAAGCATAAACCAAGAGGGAGACCTCGCTTACAAAAGAAGCGTAACTCTGTGCCTATACTGTAAACTATTGAAATAAAATCATTTCGGCTGTATAGCTGATGGCCATCATCAGCATGTGCTTGTTTATGTATTAAAAAGTGGCATCATTTATTAAATTTAGTGTATCAGGAGAAACGAAGAAGGAATAGAAAAAGGTTATATAGATTACAGATTACTTGTCTGCACTCATTAGTTGGCTATTTTGATCATCATGAAGCACGCCATCGGATTTGGGCACCATGGCTTTAGTTTCTCTTAGATCAACAGCAGAATGGGAGGTACCGATGGCGGGCCTTTCGTTGATAGTGTGCTTGAAGGAAGACATGGCTTCTCGAAAACCAAAATCGAGGGAACTGGATGGCGATGAATTGTGCTGTTTATCAAAAGCAAACAAACGCAATGCTGTTACGGCTTGTACACTCTGGCGATCCACAGCCAAATCTAGTGGAGTCTGCAAATATATATGAGTTTGGCGTGTGTCTTGAATAAACGTTTACAGAATACTACCATCTCGTCTGCATTTTTTATATCTGATTTAGCGTGTCTCTTCAATAGTGCTAATACAAGTCGAACATTGTTGTTGGCAGCCGCATAATGGAGTGCTGTCCAGCCATTAGCATCTTGTTGATTAATGTCGCTCAATCTTTGTAGTAAAAACTCCACTGTAACTTCATCGTCTTTGTCTACCATCTTGTGTAAAGCAGTTCTTGACTCGTCTTCAGGATTTTTGTAGTCTACATGGGCTCCTTGTGCGAGCCTTTTCAGGGCACTGTCTAATTCTCCCTCAATAATAGCATTCCAAAATTCCTGTTGCATCCATCGTGAGACACTTGAATGACTCCAAGTGCAATATACTTTACCTTATCCAAGGAATCTTGAGAGAGATTACAGGGCGTGACAAACGATTTTTTGACATACTTCTCTATGATCCATAGATCGCGGTCTCCTCTATCTGACGTCGGTATAATTCTGAATGATTCCATGTCGACAGGCACGGATGCTTCGTAAATGCTATTTCCAACCGTGTTACCTAGACGCAGCATCACCTCGATGGCATCTGGCTCCCATTTATCGAGTACAATGGATCGCACCTTGCTGACATGAACACCCAGACTGCGATGAATTCCCGAGCATTCAATGCACACAATGATCCCTAGATTGGTGCAAGCCCATTCAGGGTCCTTGACTCCACAATCTGCACAGCGGTCGTTTCCAGGTATCATTCTAATCTTTTTCAGTGCTTCTCGTTGTGTTTCTTCGCTTTTTTCGTTGTCTTTTTGTGTCCGATTCATTGTTGATGTCTCCAAAATACTCTAAAAGCATGAATGAGTCTATCATGCCGTTGCAATCAGTGCTGTATGACTATACCTTTCGAAGATTGGGTGATTGCTGTGTATATCTTGGTGCATTGTTTGAGTTTAGAGCCATCTGGCTGGCGGTTCGAATACTGGAAACCCATTCAGTCATGTCTTGCTCATTCTCTGCTTGTAAAACTATAACTCTACAAAGATTGCAGAATGAGTATACGTTCTCATATTAAAGTAGAAGCTATTACCTGTTGGGTGAAATCACTTCAAAGCAGAATCTTCGGTCATAGTTATCAGTTAATTTTACGCTACACACTCGCAAATTATACACATTGTTGCCATCGTCGTCTTTGGTAGACGGCTATAATGAGGGATGCTGAGTAAACAATCGACATGTGTGAATTGCACAGAACTACCTTGGGATTTCGAGTAGTGCAAATCAGTTCCCCGTCAAAGATAGAGTAGTATTTTCTGGACCAAGTTTGGTATACTCGTCCGTTTTTTCGCTCAAACAAATAGCCAGATTTATGAGGGTTTGATGCCGCTTCACCTCCTACATTGATTTTGGCACTAGTAGTGGGCTGTAAGGGATTGTATTGCTCGGCTGCATTCTGATTTGAAACTGTAAATATAACGCATAATTGCATAGACTGCTGGCATATCGTACCTGCTCGCAAATTTGCTGGTACACAAGACCTTCTTGAACCTCCTCTTCGTATCTTTGCCTAGACTATATAGACACTATTAATTCACCCATATGATAGCATATACATATTTTATATGTACATCATGTAATAGTCCTATTGAAAAAGTTCAGGACAAGATCAGAAATAGTAATGCTGTAACATACCTGTCAGGTCCCGCATGTAGGGCTCCAGATCTTTTAAAATTTCGTAGCTTTGATGGTGGAACGCAGATTCAGAGTACATGTATGCAAGTACCTGTTATAAGCATAGTATTAGATCAAGCGCAGCCAGCCAAAAACCACTACTTACGTTCTCCATGTAATCCACCTTCTTTTTCGCCTCGATATCGTTCAATTTCGATACATACTCCATATAGAATTTGTGGAATGTCTTTCGATTATCAGCAAGCTCCTTTGCAGACTATTCTAGAATATAAGCTTGGTGATATAACTCCACACTCTCATACACAATCAAACCTCGGGTAATGTTGGATCTCTAGGTTTCTTGCTCATGTATTTCGATAATGAAGAATCCACATCGTCACTGGATTTCTCAAACCTTTTCCTCAGTTCCTGTTTGATTGAAACTTTGGTTTGCTGAACTATGGGCTGACTCTGCACTCTGACTCACCTTTAATGGTGCAACTGTGTTTCTTATAAATGCATCTAATGGTGTGATGAATGTATCGACGACATGCGTATTCTAACCACACAATTCTATTTTAGCACCTCTTTATGATATGATGTACCGAGTATCCTCTTACAAGCATATTTCGACTCTTTTCTACTTCGAATACTGATTTGCCAAACTTATCCAAAGCTTGAGCTAGTGAAAGAAATCTCGTTGTTAACAATCTACGGCATAGATCCACAACACAAAACCAACATTACCAACAATAGGATCATCTTGAGCTTGAGCAAACGACATAAACTCACGAGCAAGGTCGCTTTGTTGTTGACTGTAAGCTAACATTCATCAAAATGTGTCAATATACATCGTCTGCTGGCAAAATAAGTGTCGTTACCAGTGGATATCTCGACCTGAGAGCGAGTCAACTTTATTAATGATTTCAACGAATGTTCGAAGTTATGGATGGATTCTTCATGAGACTGAATACGCTTTCTGAAGGTTGGAGAATCCTCTAAGCAGCCTCGTATATCCAGTGCAGGCATAGTTGATTTATATAAATATTTAAGAGAAAACACAGATTCAAGATGAACGTTGTTGTTGAAGCTCACTTTGAATGTATATGTAACAATCGATAATACACACACACACACACACACACACACACACACACACACAGGCTCACAAGTCACGATGCATTCGGTTTATTACAATCAAGATGATGCATAATCACTAGTGTCATAATATTCAGGATATTTCTTGATCAATTCATTCAACTCCTGCTGTTGTTTGATCAAATTAGGTGGTAATTCATCATAGACATCTGTGAAGAGTTGCTTCACTGCGGGCTTCTTTCTCTTTTCAGCTGCTGTAAAGCTAGTCATGATATCCTTCTTGACCTTCTTGCGATAGGCATCTTCTTCTTCTTGACTCCACCAATTCTTATTCTCCAAATAACGTCTCAAACGTGTAACGGGATTATCAAATTGGGCTCTTTCTTCTACTTCTTTTCTATCACGGTATTTTGTAGAATCATCAGATGTACTATGATGTCCGATACGGTAGGTCATGGCTTCGATTAGAACCGGCTTTTGCTCTTTAATGGCCATTTCTCGAGCTGCTTTAGTAGCATTGTAAATGGCCCAGATGTCATTACCATCGACTCGGATAGTATCAATACCATAGCCAATACCACGACTAGCAATACCATCGCCCTTGTATTGCTCAGTAGATGGAGTGGAAATAGCAAAGCCATTGTTACGACTGGACGATGAAATAGTCAATACACGCGAACAGATCATTCTTTTGTCATCAAGCTTACCAGAAGAAGATAACAGGACTTTTAAGAGTTGCGGCCATGTTTAATCCAGCATGGAAATCACCTTCGGATGCAGCACCTTCACCAAAGAAACATAAGCTGCAAGCATTAGCACCAGACATCTTGAGAGCGTATGCAGCTCCGGATGCTTGAGGAATCTGAGTACCCAAAGGAGATGAGATTGTTTGGAAATTGAGCTTCTTGGAGCCATAATGGATTGGCATTTGACGACCTTTACCATAGTCCAACTCATTTGAAAAGCATTGATTCACAAATTCATCCAAAGTAAATCCACGGTAGACCAGCATGAATGCCTCGCGATATTGACCGAATACAATATCCTCGGGAGATAATGCAGCTGCACTACCGATCATAGCTTCTTCGCCGTAATGAGTCATGTAAAAACTAATGCGGCCTTGACGTTGAGCATCGTAAAGAATACCATCCATAGTGTGCAACAGCAACATGTCTTTATAACACTTGAGCACTTCTTCCTTGGGTAGATTGGGATCATGATCTGCATTCAAAACTGTGCCTGTATGATCCATCACACGATACGCTTCAAGTGTTGGTTGCTTTTGAATAAACTGCATTGTGTTGGTAAAGTTATCTGAAGCTGACCAAGTTCTAGCATTACTCGAGGATGTGATAACATGGCCATCAGGCTTGGGTTCTACAACACTAGTCGAAGCAGCCAAGTTGGATAACTGGGTTTCCTTTTAGTTTCAGATAACGCGCATATTGACGCTCATGTAACCTTACCTTGGAAGAGACTGCAAACAATCTCTTTTGCTGTTGGACAACCGGTTTTCTCAATAATAATCTAGCTCTAAGCATGTCAGACAATAAAGGGAGGTGAGAAGAAGAAGAGTGATTAAAGGAATGGGAAAAGAAGAGGAAGAAAAATTTTGATGCGATATTTGAGCTCTCAACCGTGTGAAAATTTAACTAGGCCTTCCACTTTGAGCTGTTCTCGTGGGAAAAATGAAACTTTTGTACCTTGTTTCCTTCTTGTCACTGATGCCATTACTGATATCTTGATTATCCAGACTACTGCTGCACTACATCACAAAAGATGGCCTGAAAAAGTAAAATCATATTCATTTTCGGACATGAAGCTGGCGAAAAGCCTCTTTTTTTTTTTTTTTTTTCTTTAGCCAACATCTCGAATCAACCCTAATTCAGTCAACCTACATATACAGCCTCTTATAGTCTTTGAATAGTCCATAATCATAACATATAGTTCCTAGACACTTTTACAGCCCTAATATGGAAACTGAGCTGCCAGGCATTTGCCAGGCATTATGGCTCGTATATAATTAGAGATTTTATATTAAATTACTATCAATCGACAATCAAGTTTCTTTTATCAACCAAAGGCCCACGGCAGCGCAAGCCATCTGAACGTAGGTTGGTTTCCACCAAAGCAAAGCGTAGGTCAGGGAACCAACCGAAGAGTCGAAATACTCATCGTAACGTAGCAAATTTATGGTCTCTAGACACTTTCAAAGCCTCAAAAAGGAAAGAAATTGATCTAAAAATTATTTTGATAGACTGGTGTTATTAAATAGAATGCACAAAAAAATAGCATGGCTAAAGATAGTGCTACGTAATTTGCCATCTGCTTTCCATACGCTTCAAAAGTATCTATTACTGCATTGCCTTCATAATGAACAGGGCATTGAGTTTGCCAGCCAGCCCTACCAGCCAAAATTAATTCAAACCCAAAATTTTTGTCCATTCAAGATTGGCCAGATTTTGATAATTTTTCGACTTGATTGAACTATTCAACTAGATTCGACTATAAAAAGGTGATGATCATCCCATGTTGCTTTAAGCTTTCTTGGAGCGCTTTTCAAGGGGCATCCAATGGTACCAAGTAAGATAGGTGGTTTCATTAAACTTGTTGAACAATCTACAATAATATGAAAAAAGGTTCCTGGCCAAAATGTCGAAATTTTGCAAATGAAAACCTCATAAACGTGGTTTCAGAGGTTGCCTTGGATTGATAGAAACATTTTGATTCAAGATATACCATAGTAAAAGTCTTCATTATCAAGGTGAAAAACGCGATCGTTTGATTTTCAAAGAAAACCATGAGGGGTACCTCATGCTTTTTGGTCGATTTTCGGTCATGTTTTTTTGATCTTTAAAAAGTTGAGCAAAGATGTCAGGAAGTAAGTGCTAGATGAGAGCAATTGTTTGATGTTATTCTGACCATCTAAAACGGCTTTTAACGCGAGAAAACATAGCTCAAATGCACCCAAATTTTGGTGTATCAGTGACACTAAGGGCTAAAAAGGGGGGAATACCAGTGTGCTGCTTGCCTGTATATGAAGTAGTTACGTGTATATGGATGTAGAGCATTACATAAGAGTCAGATCCACAGATAATATAATGTGTAAGTGGAGGGTCAAGTTGAAAGTGGCAATATTTTGGAAAGATACGCAAGAGCAATCGGTAGCGCGAAATTCCATTGTGTAGGTTGGCTCTCATCGAAGCGAAGCGAAGGTAGAGAGCCACCCGAAGCATAAACACTCGTATTCTATAAAAATATCCGTTTTGCATAGTATCTAAGCGCAAATCCCTGATTGTTCCACGTTTAAATATTAGGATTTGATCCCAAAAGGAAAATATTCTTATTTCTTGTTCCAGTGAGAGGATGGAGGTAGAAATTGATTGTCTATATCAAAGGTGTTTACAATGCTAATAAAGCCATGGCAAAAAAATTTCGAAAAAAATGAGCAGCAAGGCGACAAATCAGATGTTACATAAAGGATCAAAAAAATTGTAAAAAATATCGTCGCCTGCAGGATTTGAACCTGCGCGGTCAAAGACCATTGGGTTTCGAATCCAACTCCTTAACCACTCGGACAAAGCGACCTGTAGTCTACTGAAGACTTCCTGGGTAAATAGAGCTAAATAAAAGAAAAATTGCGTTCGGCCCGGAGAGAAGCAGCTGCGGTTCGAGCGTCCGTTTCGGGCTGCTTAGTAGCAATCGACTTTCAGGGCATTATGAACGCATCAAGTAGCATCACAAGGTCAAGAAGTATCCCAATTTTCAAATATCTATTGAAACTATGCTAATAGCATGCTAGAAGACTAGTTTTCTTTAGCCCCGGAATATACCTCGCCACAGAAGCCTTCGACTCTTACATGAAATCTTCAATGCTAATGTAATCTCATGAAGACTGGAAAGAAATATGTGGTCCACTGCTTTTGGCTTTGAAGGGCAAATACATTTGAAAAAAAAATTTGTATTTGTTTATTGAGCAGAAGACGACTGTTTCAGTTAATTTCCAGATTAACCTTTGTATGGTTGTTGTAGCTTCTGCGACTGATATCTTGTTAAGACGATAGACTCAAGGCAATATGTTTCAGTAACAGGACCACGATAGCCGCCCTTTCGCAAAAGCGACTTGATGGCTTCTTTTTTGGTCCAGCCTTGCTCCTTCATAACTTCGGGTAAATAGGTAGCTGTTTCTTTTTCACCATGAGCGTTAACGAATTCAATCCAAATGCCATGGGTGCCTACTTCCCAATCAAGGTAATCATTGGCTTTTTCGAAATTTATCAAGAGCGATACTGCGCAGGTTAGCACAGGGATTGCGGATAAAGTAATTGGTGAGAAACGGCGATCTTGAAGAGCACTTGATGATATAAAATGGTGAATATACTAGCATCTGGTATGTGGACTTATTTACTTTACCTGATTAAAGCATACTTTGTAAGGCCGGTGTGAAGAGGCATAGGGTTGAAGTTGCCAATACAGCCTGTCAATTGAAGCTCGTTATCCTTAGTTTTTTTGTGCCAAGTAACAAATAGAGGACTATCCAAGACTAAGGATGAGATAGCTTTATACATGTTGGTTTCCTTACTTACTAGCTCTCATTTGGGAATGCCGGCTTTGGTAGTGGCTCTGTTTTGAGGTGAGCAATCAATACTCTGAAGCAGAATTGTACATGCTCTTCTGATACGACGGATGACATTGTTGTAGAAAGTAGAAGAGAAAGAAGCAAAAAGCCAACATCTGGCATTCAAAGTAAATTTATTCATTCATGATGCGCATGATTTAGTTTATTCCCAATCACTATCGCTATCCTCTTCATCGTCTGATTTCTTCTTTTCTGCCTTGACCCACTCATCCTCAGTTTGTGATGATTTTAGTGGAGGCGATGTGGTGGAAGATGCTGGCTCGGAAATATGACTAAAGTCATCGGTATCTTCAGAATTTGATGTGGATGTTCTAATCTCTGATGTATCTGTCTCTGCTTCTTTCTTGGTAGTCTCATTCTTGACGGTTGTGTTGTCTTCATCGTCAGAATCCCACTTGAAGTCTGCTTCGTCATCTTCTTCTTCTTGCGCTCCTTGGACAATCAGTTGTCTCTTTTGCTCGTCTTGATCAATTTTCCAAGCATGATAAAAGTAGCGTTGCCAGAACAATGTGTAACTCACTTGCACGGGTACTAATCTGTCCATTGTCTCTCTCAAATTGGGATAGTCATTGAGTAGTTGTGCAATTTCGTCAGTATATTCCTCACTATTGAAGCTAGAGTTGAATGTATCCAGAATCTTCTTCTCTTGGTCATAGTCCTTCTTGGAAAGCTCTGGTTCTTGTAGATACGTATTGTCGTTTGTCTGCATCTTGGCTATCAAAGCATCTTTACGAGTGGCACTGTAGATAAACATTAATTATTGGGCTTTGAAACTCAAGGATATACTTTACAAGATACGAGGTGATCTGCTTGTTTCTGTTGTGGCTAAGGCAGAGGCTGCTTGCTCTTCTGGTTCCAACACAGTAACTGTGTTTTTCAATGCAGAGATGACATCTGTGCCAAATTGTTGAAGATAGTGTTCAGCTGATCGTGTGCCGTTAGCCAAACCCTCCTTGAGTTGAGTCAAATCCATGTTTTCTGGTAATCTTACGGAAGTGATTTGATTAGGTAATGATTGATTCAACGTCTGAGTGAGTCCATCACGCAAGCTGCTGAAATTCACAGTGTTGATTTTGCTGAGGCTCTCACGGATAGAGTCAAGCGCAGAATGCTCGTTTTCAGATGTTGCTACTTCTCTGCTAGATCCCGCGTCATCTGCAACCTCATCCTCTTCAGCATCTTCGGTTAATATCTGAGAAAACTCTTGCAAATCTTTCTTGGTTCCTTCAACAAAAGCTTCGCTCTACTGATAGCTTAAGCATGCAGTTCAAAAAGCATGCATTGCTTACTTGTTAAGCAACTCACCTGCTTTTTCACAGTGTCAACTAAGCTGGACCACTTCTTCCCCCAGCCAATGTTATTAAATGCTTTGATGATAACATCATCTTCTTCGGATACTGCTGCTGGGGCTTGCTCTTTGTTGTTGCTATTTACTGCAGAAGCAGCATACTGATACATGTCATCCATGTTGGCTATGAAAATCAACTTTATCAGAAAGAAAAGCAGATGATGTTGCGAGGAGTTTTAAGAAAGGCATGCTGTTGTAATAACGAGTGACTCTGATTTGCTCACATGCACATTCTCTCCTCATTGATCAATGCAGCATTAATGAAACAGGAGACCAAGTCTTGCTAGACAAAAGTCTGTAGGTATTCCTCAATCAGAGCCAGACTCTCCCAGCATCAAGCAAGACTTTGAGCTTGTGTATGGCAGCTTTCGAGTGCTATAGTCATTCATGCATTTACAAAGCCAACTTCTAGCCGCAAGGAACAGAAGCAACCAGTCTTTGTGCTACCGCAAGAATGATAATAGCATTGGATGATCAATATGAATCTCTTGAATTACGTTGCACTACTGTGCATGGCATCTTTTCGCTCTAATACCGTGAAATGGGATTGCTCGTATCTTTTAAACAAATCATGACACACATTTTGGAGCCACAATTTCAATCTTTATTAAATCACATTAAGCAATCTGTGTATTATCTTGTTGCTCCTTTGCTTCTGGTATCTGATCATATTCAGCATAAGCTATACCTGCTTTCAGAATTGCGGTGCAGCCTGTATAGAATACCTCTGCAAAAAATTGATGCACTTCGAAATACTCATCCATTTCGATCGCCTTTGCAATTCCAGCATTTGTAAGATTGCTCGTCCTTTCTCGAATAGAGCATTTCTCATCAATCTTTAAAAAGCCAATCTTTGTTATTTCAAGCAATCTTGACATCATGCCTATCAAAAAACACACATGTCAATATTTGCCATGCACAATTTACATGTATACATCTTGTACCTGGAATCGAGCTCTTTTTCAATGCGACCGCACTCAAAACTGCGGCGTGGATGATCAAGTGAGAGAGACCACCGAGGGCTTCTTTCTGATCAACGTCTGACAAGTTTTTCTTTGCCTGATCGTCATGTAATACAAGTCCACTTCTCCTTTTAAATTCTGTGAGTTTTGCTTCTAGGGATGCTTTCATTGCTGGATCAGAATCAACTAGTAGAAAATACAAGCATTAGACATACACACAGAAAAGACAGGGCCTGATTAACATGCAGATCTACTCACTAGGCAAGGATGCGAGAATCTTGTCCAACCCCATCATGTATAAATCGATAGAAACTTGTTGATTCTTTCCGTTGGGTGCGTTGTTCATTTCAGTTGCCATTTGTATCAATGAAATGCCTTCTGATATTTTTTCCTTGTTGAATGGTTCTTCTTTAGAAGGCACTGCTGTATAGGATGCAGGCACCTGGTTGCTACTGCTGCCACTGTTACTCGAGAAGCTTGCTCTTTTCCAGACGTAATCAGATATTTGAGTCAATCGAGAATGCACAGCAGGCTCGTTTTCATAAGGTGGTGGTGGTGTTTCAAGGTCTGAGCCTTGACTATGGCTCCTCTTACGGTACCAACTTGTGGCATGATTGATGGGAGACCCTACAATCGGCAACTTGTCAGCATTGTTCAAGACAAGTGTAACTAAAGTAGTCATATTTTATATGGTATTGAGAAGAAAGAAAGGGAAAAGTAATGGTCAATGATAAAAATAAAGGGGGGGTTATGAACCTTGTACGCCACCTTGATTCGTTTCATAAATTACAAATGATGCAAGGTACCAGCAGCAAATCTTTACTATTGAGCTGTGTATGCCAACGCACGTGAAAAATACCCAATCGAAGCATCTGATGTGTTGTTTTGAGAGCATTTGATTAAAATTTTGTCTTTTCGGTGGGAGTAGCACATTCAATTTAATTACTGATCAATGTAGCCTGGAACGATACTAGTTGTATCACATCCTATTTATATTGGCGCATATTGTAAGCACCTTCTTGTTTACTATGCGCGCGCCTTTGATACAAATTGTAGTATTAAAAAATCGGATACTACAGCCTTGTTTGTGCTTTTCTGTTTGGTTAGGAAATGGTGCATTCACTTATGTTTATAGTGGGCTAAAGGAATAACTGCAGAGTTTAATTTGCTATTGTTCGGGGAGTGTGGAACGTCAAAATACTTGGTTCAGCCTGTACATGTTTCATACACATCGAATTAACCAGCAGTACCATCGTTTACCATTGCTGATTTGGATAGCAACTTTGTTTGTTGAGCTCCTTACGCGGCTTTGTTTCTATTGGAGATGTTATATTGTCGCAAACTATGGAACAAAAGTATCTGTAGCTTTTGAAGCTATACCTTCTACCGGAACCATCAAAAAGTGCTACATTACACAGAGAAAAATGCATAATACGAACAAAATGCCGTGCTCCAGACACGGACAGTTGTCTTTATAAGATCAAGGCATCTTTTAGGAAGTATCCAAAATGCGTTACCTGGTCTGCTTTCCGATGTTTCATGCAGTTCTTTGAGCAGATACAAACGGTGTCTGTGCGCTACAATAGACGTATAGTCCTACTATTCATACTAAAATGCACTTTAAGGCTGTTTGTTATTACATCAGAGCCCTCTAAGCAATTGGTAACTCTAAGTCTGACTCTTCTACGAATTTCTTTGTCTGGACAAACGAGAAACACTCATAAACAGGTCGACAGCATACCTGCATTATCTCTTCCTGCTCAAAAGTATGCAAACCAGAGCGAAACTCGGGTGTATTTGGGCCGCGATTTCTTGTGGTAAAAGCCGTTTTAGGCCGTCAGAATAGCACCAAACAATTGCTCTCATCTAGCACTTACTTCCTGACACCTTTGCTCAACTTTTTAAGGACCAAAAAAAAACATGACCGAAAATCGACCAAAAAGCATGAGGTACCCCTCATGGTTTTCTTTGAAAATCAAACGATCGCGTTTTTTACCTTGATAATGAAGACTTTTACTATGGTATATCTTGAATCAAAATGTTTCTATCGATCCAAAGCAACCTCTGAAATCATCTTTTTGGAACTTTGATATTTAAAATTTCGACATTTTGACCAGAAACCTCTTTTTATATTTTCATAAATTGCTCAATAAGTTTATTCAAAACATCTATCTTACTTGGTACCATTGGGTGTGCCTTGAAAAGTACTCCAGGAAAGCTTAAGAAAGCATTGGGTGATTATATCATATTATAGAGTCGAATATGGCAAGATAGTTTGTACAAGTCGAAATTGATTAGAAAACTATCAAATCAAGAAAGAAAATATTAAGCTGAATTTGAGTTAATTTGGCTGCTGCCAAGTGTCTTCCTCATGAATGCAATCGATGATTTAGCAGCTTATAATAAGGGAACTGCGAATTGAAAAAGTACTATAGGTTAGCCTCATTGCCTTTTTTTTTTGTTTTATTACGCCTTTTTGCATTTGATGTATTCGATGGTTACATACTACTCATCCAAAAGCGAAATGCAAATCTATACATGACACTTCAAATGTGGGCCCTTGTAATAGGCAACTGATATATGTAACTAAAGTGGGTGGCTCTACCAACATAATATGATTGTGGTCTGCTATTCAGTGGATGCTGTGGATTCCTGCCATACTTACAACATAAGCCTAGTATCATAAACACCACAGTATGTACATTGCCCACCCTAATAGCATTTGCAACATTGCATGGTGATGTATTAGCTACTATCTCGAGAAGCAAGCACATCATGCGGATTCACTATATCCCTTCCACCTTCGATATTAATATCCGTATTGCGCACCCTTCCATTTCATTTGTTAATGGACACTTTGTGTGCGCATGTTTAATATTGTCACATACGATTGACTTTTAATCCAGCTTACACTCCTGATTAACTCTTTTCTTCGTTTTACCAACATATACGCATACAACACTCAATATGAAATCTGTAGGCGGCACGCTTCGTAAAAAGGGCTTGGGAGGAGCTGAGCATTTCATGAAGAAGGATAAGCATAAACAACACTCCAACGCCTCGTCAGCGTCTTCACCTACAGCATCGTCTATCAGTTCACCAAAATCAATTGCGTCTCCACATGTTCCCAAGAGTTTAGCACCATCATCAGTAGCAGGAGGAGGGATAGCACCAGCAACCAGCTCCATCAAAGTAGCTCCTTCAGCGCCGATTACAGTGGATTTACATCGATTTGCAGACGACAATTTACAGCCTGAAGAGTGTGAGTGACTAAACTGTTGCTTTACACATGAACAGCGCTATTGACACACTCGCAAATCTAGTTGTACGTAGAACATTGGGCGATACAAATGAAGAAGGGATTCGAGGATTCTACAAGTCTTTATTGGATGCCAAGCATGTAGTGGGTGGTGATTTACAGCGAAATGTGTATCGAAATTACGCAGAATTTGTATCCATTTCCAAGGAGATTTCTAATTTGGATGCAGACGTGTTGAGTGTCAAAGAGTATCTGAATGAACTCAAATCGATTTGGGAGAGCTTCTTGGCTGCGACCAACTCGTCTGATATCAGCAAAGTGCCAGGTAATTAAGTATTCGTTGAAAAAGAAGCAGAGCAATAGCTGCTGACAGCTTCTTTTTTCCATTAGGATCAGTGGAATCCATCTTTGCATCATCCGCTAATGGGAGAAAGAAAAGCGATTTAATGGCAAACGATCAAACCAGTATTTATAGAGCGCAAATCATGGCATTGTGGGATAATGTAGAGGGATCACAGCGATTTATACCTCATGCACAAAATAAGCACATTGTGCGAGAATGTGTCAACTTTTACGAAATCAACCCCAAGACACTCCAACCTCGACAAGCTGTGCATTTGTTCCTGTTGAGCGATTGTTTACTATTGGCACGTAGAAGAGGAAATAGACTTGTCGCAGATCATTGCTGGGGTATCGAAGATTTAACCATCGTTGATGTAAAGGATTCATCAGGTAGGATGGAAATGAGTGCCTAACGGTATGATATTGACTAGTACTCGTTTTTTTTTTCTGCAGACTTGACCAATGCCTTGAGAATTGTTGTATACCCAGAGACATTCATCTATCGCTCAGAGAGGCCTGAAGACAAGTTGGGTCTTTTGAACGCTTACAAAAGATTAATAGATGACAATGATGATAAACAACTGGATGTACCGCAATCAGGTATGCTGAGAGCAATGCGAGATGGAATCAATGTGATTAACATTCTTGTAAATAGCTGATATTAGAAAGGTAATCCTGAACGCAGCAGATCAATGTGGGTGAGACTAAACAAACGAGTAGCCTCGAGATTCGAATCATCTTCATCCGGATAAAGAGAAATGGCTTGTCGATTTACCAGATCATTTAGAAGTATCCATTGCGCTTCGAGAGTTTGAAAAGAGCGTTGTCTACTTGGAAAAGGGTAAGTTGGCTGGCTCACGGTAGAGAGACTAAGGAACTCAATGTGTAATAGCTCGCCATATTGTCATGTCTTCGTCCAGTTCATTGCCTATCGTGAGAGAAGCAAGAGATCATATCAATCACTACACGGATGCATTGAGTCAGATCATCAGCAGAGACCTGAGCAACACATTGCTGACGAAGATCCAGTTTCAACGCTATGTCAATTGGCTGTTGAGGTTGGACAAGAGCGAAAAGGTAGACTTGAGTGGGATCAAATGGTTAGAGATGGTACTGAATCAGTGTGTGATAGGCAAGACAGGTATTCCTGGGTACACGCACACTGATCATCAAGAAGAGAATCAGGCAGCTGGTATTTGAAGGCGATATTACCACTTACATCAGCGAGCTTGCGCTTGTTGTATTTACACTGATTCGAAACACTTGTGAATGGTACCGAGATTCGTTCAAGCAGAATGAAATGGCGTCTGGATTCGTGACATGGGTGCGTGAACAAACTGAAGTGTACGCAGACATCTACAAACGACAGGTATTTGGACAGAGCCAATTGAGCTGTCAAGTGATTGCAGACTGCTTCAAGTCGACATTGGAGCAATGTTCAGTGGTAATGTACCGTAGATCCTACTCGAGCAATGGAGATGACTGATTATCCTTTTAGCTTCGAAAAGTAGGCCTGGATCTCAAGTTTCTATTGGAAGACTTATTTTTGGAAAACGTAAAAGAAACTGTTATATCATACGAAAGAAGGAACATGGAAAAGATCGGAAAGATTGTGGTCAATGACAACTTCAACGTTGTCTCTGGACAAGGTTTAGGGAATGATGTCAAGGTAACTTCCAGCGTTGTCAGCTTCTACAATTTGCTGGTCAAGTTTTCCAACGACATTTGCCTATTGTCCAAGCTGCAAATGTACTCGACAGTGATAGATAGTGTTTGCCACCTCACAGAGCACTATTTGAGATCCATGATTGCTGAATCTCGCAAGAAAGATTTATCCAAAGAGCAGGTAAAATGACTGTATTTGGGTTACACGCATTTTTTTTTTTTTTATTCACCTAGTTTCAAATAGAGAACCATTGCTTCCATGAACGTATCATTTATATTGGACAATGTTGTACCAAGAGTGTCGTCTCAATTGAATGTAAGTTTGCTCTGTCTATGGGGGAATGTCACTGCGTGAATCTCATCGTATCCTCCCACCAGTATCACTTCAACAGACCTATACCAGAGCTGGACACATTGCGAGCTCGACTTCGAGGTAAAATATTCAGCCTTATCACACTGGAAAAAAAAAAAAAAAAAGCTAATTTTTACCCTTTAAAAGAACTGACTTATATCAACTAATCACCATGTGAAACTTGGTGAAACCCTTCATAAAACGACAAAAACCAAAAGATGAGCATGTTTCTCTGCATTTGCCTCCTTAATAAACTTGCACAAAAGAGAAGCAGACATATCTCTGATCGTACATGTCAATTTGATGCCTTTCTCTCCTTTATAACCTTACTATCTATTTACCACATATAAAACTTTTTTCTTTTTTAATAATTAATATTCTCTTTTCTTCCCCATGATTTCTTCCAGTCTAAAGCGTCTGTTGCTACCCTCCATTCTCATTTTACCATGCTCTTGCGCCTATATTTCAGCAACGTCCAACGGAAAAGAGACAGCATTGTACAAGTTTATAGCATCAAACATTGACATGATGAAGCCATACATTATGGCAGTGCTTATTATGTGGGCTTGTTTGGAAATCGGGTTCTTTGTTTACTTTTCAAATGTACGACAGAGATTGCAACAAACAACAAAACCTAAAAAGCCATTGGATCTGTCAGAGAGAACCAGCCTGTTTTGGAACTGTGTTCAGACCATTGTAGATCTTCCTTCTTGGGCAGAGGGCTGGTTCTATTACAAAAGAGACCACTCGCATCCGACATTCAAAGAGATCAAAAGAGAAAATCTAGCACTGTGGTAAGTTGGGCTGTACAGGGTATATCAAATCAAACATTGACTAGACAGAGAACAGGTTTGCTTGGGCTTTCTGGCATGAAAATCTCGACATTGTCAGGCAAAACAAGGCATGGGCAGATGAAATTGAGTGGATGTTGGCTACAGCAGAGGAATGGTTCCATGTCAAGTTTCCAGAGGGATTGAATCCAGAACTACAGTGCATTAGACTCAATTTGGATCCAGTAGAGGCAGTGCATCGACCGCTGATGGTGTACGTTGGGTTATATGCCCTGACATGGATCTTCAACACATTGTTCCTGGAATGGCATTGGGGGTTCACTCATTCTGGGGCTACTGCACCTGGCATTGAATGGGGCGGCCCGCTCTCTTTTGTCCATGATATCGTCCATCGCCTCAAGAAAGTCATTCTCAACATGACAACCAACAGCAGCACTCGGGACAGAAACATCCATCCTAAAAAACAGCCTCGCCTCAAGCACTTGTCCTATTGGTATCGAGCACCTTCTGCAGAATCCACCACTAGAACACCTCTTGTCTTTATACATGGCATTGGCGCAGGAGTGATGTGTTATACAGAGTTCGTACATCAATTAGCTTATTTCGACCGCCCCATCTTCTTGGTCGAGCTACCCTACGTTGCCATGCGCATGGTAGATCATGTCCCTACCGCCGCGGAAACTGTTCTGGAGGTGACTGAAATGCTAAGCACGTTTGGCTACGACAAGGCTGTGTATGTGTCCCATTCATTGGGTACTGGCGTCTCTAGCTGGATCCTCAATATGGCGCCCGAGACAATAGCTGGTGTAGTCATGATTGATCCCATCTGCTTCCTGCTGCATTATCATAATGTCGCATTTAATTTCGTACATCGCATCCCCAAGACACTGTTTGAGGTATTTATATATGTGCATTCGCTGCATCATGCTACATTAGCAACAGGCAAGCTGACCTCAGTCGTATAGCATATCATGCATTTTGGCGCTGCTAGAGAGCTTTATATCAGCAATTACATCTCTCGTCATTTCCAATGGTTTGAAACTATTTATTTCACTCAACCCACAAACACACAGCAAATCGCCTCATTGCCATCACCATTGGACATGCACTCGCCACTCGCCAATGCCAGCGTGTTCCTGTCTGAGAAGGATGGCATTGTTGGTAGCGCCACTGTCTACAACTACCTGCTAGCAAGAGGTGTTGATGCTCATATCATGGATCATTTGGAGCATGCCATGTTCTTGACCAATACAAGATGGAAAGTGTCTATTACCCAACGAGTAGATTTAATTGCTAGAAAAGCTGATTATGCAGCCTTGATGAATAAACCATTGTAATCATGTCATTTCAAAGTGTTGCTGCTCATCTTCCGCATGATTCAAAGCCAGTGATTATCCACCATGTTCTGGAAAATATTTTCCCTTGCTCCTTTGTAAAGTCTTTACAAGAGAAATGAGTCCCCAACCCTCTCAACCGACAGTGATCTTTGTTCAATCAACAGCGCACTGGGAAGCTATTCAGCAGCAAAGAGCTCAGCTGATTGGAGTGTCTCCACCTAGCACGCCTTTGATGGAATCATCGCAGCAACAGAATAGAATCACTCAAAAGAAGCCAAAGCATCAAGAAACCGCATCCGTTCGAAAGAAGCCTTCTCGCCTGATTGGGAAAGAGGGGAGCCGCAGACGAAACAGATGGACAAACAGTAAAGTACACTCTGTGCAAAAAAAAAAAAAAGATGCAGCATTTCAAAAGCTAACCAACAGACAAAGACACATTTTCAGATCACCCTTCAGCAGTGTTGTATGCCGAGGATTTACGTCCACCTGGATACGAAGCCAAGGCTCCAAAATACGATGTGGGGCTCATTTCTATAGAGCAAGATGGCGATGATTCAGAGGAACAAGAACAAGTGCAAGTGCACGCTTTACCGCACAATCTACCTCGACATGTTCGACATGATTTAAAAAAGGCACACATTTCAAAAGGCCTTGTAACCAACTACGAATCTCAACTGATTCAGTTTATCGACCTGTGGTTGAACGATACGCAATGCCTCGACAATGCATGTTTAGAGATTCAGGTTGTCTCGAATAACCAATTTGAGCGATACGTTGTGCACACAATGAGTCGATACTATGGATTTGCATCCTTTAGTGAGTTGCGATAAAAAAAAACGCTCAAATCACACGCATTGCTTATTCATGCCTGTTCATGTTGTAGGTAAAACCAATGACCAGAACCAACGAGTGACCTACATCTGTCATCCCGCATATTTAAGCTATATTACCAAGCACAGCAGTGGTGATGAAATAGACTATGCTTCGATCCAAGACTGGGACATGCCAGACAAATCGTTCTTTGAGTACCTGTTCCACGCAGTGTAATAAAAGAAATGTGTACAGCCTCATCATGCCATGTTACGCTAGTTTTGTTTGGTCTCTACATACACACAAACAGCAGTTTCACCCAAACGAAGGGCATTGATACGGCGTTCCTGACAGCTTGTTTAACAGTTGTCATCATTAAATCGACATGACGCTGAATGCCCTCTCAAAAAGCAAGTGTGTGTAGGAAAAATGCATGATGCGTATCCTATAGCCAAATGTGCCTCATGCAATCATGTTGCATCTTCTTGTTCTTTTATCATTCATCTGAGCATGTGCGCAGAGATGCTTGAATAAAGTCAAAAGGTTTATCCACGACATGTATTCATGATGATGGTAAAATAAAACGCCTTTTCAATCGTGCTATTTAATTCATGATCAAGTGCAATGCCATTTCTCTCTCTCTCTCTCTCTCTCTCTCTCTTTTCTTCTTCTTCTTTCATTAGAGCCATGTCAAAGGATTCCTTACTAGACCCTCCTTCCTCCAAAAGCCAGCATCAAGGCAGAACAAACAAGAATGGCGTGCCTGAATTCAGGCAAAACGTAACCAAGTTGGATGTCAAAATAGACAATCAGGTCAAGTACGAGTTTGGTGGTCCTGTGGGTGTTACAGCCATGATGCTGGGCTTTCCTTGTTTGATGTATTACTTTTGGGTGTGTCTTGAATTTCACCAAGGTAGGCTCATATACCCATCCGATCTATCCCAATGCAAATCCTGGGTGGCGCATGAACTCTGGGCCAAGATCAAGATGGGAGCCTATCCCTCCAAGTGGGCGGTTCAAATGTACATGGGCTATATCTTGTTTTCATTTGTGTTGGCCTACATTATGCCCGGCCCTGTGGTGGAAGGATTGCCAATCCCATCACTGAATGGAAAGAGGGCAAGTACAGCGACATGAGAGTGGTATACACATTTAACATGACTACAATAGTTAAAATACCTCTGCAATGGTCTTTCCTCTTGGTATCTGACGTTGGCTGTTTCTTTCGTGTGCCATGTTACAGGTGTATTTCGTCTGAGCGGATTAATTGACCATTTTGGAGAGCTCATGACAGTAGCTATTATTTGGGGATTCACTATGTCCACATGGGTGTATGTCATCAGTGTAGCTATGAACAAGACGCATCGCATGTCGGGTAATTTCTTTTACGATTACTTTATGGGCGCATGCTTGAATCCAAGAATTGGTAAGGTGGATCTCAAGATGTGGGCCGAAATTAGACTGCCTTGGCCTGTGCTCTTTTACTTGTCCCTGTCTTGTTTGCTGAAGCAATACGAGACCTATGGTAAAATCACAGCGCCTGCCTTCTTTATGGTGCTGGCTCATTTCTTGTACGTCAATGCCTGTCAAAAGGGAGAAGAGTGTATTCCAACCTCCTGGGACATCTTTTACGAAAAGGATGGATTCATGCTTATTTTCTGGAACATGGCAGGTGTGCCATTCACCTACTGCTATTCCTCCATCTATCTGATGAAGTATCAATTGACTACTGGACATGCCATTACGCATAGCTGGGCCTTTACTACTGCTATTTTCACTTTGTTGTTGGTAGGTTACTACATTTTCGACACTGGCAACTCTCAAAAGAACCGCTTCCGCATGGAGCAAAACGGCTCATTCATTACGCGCAATGCCTTTCCTCAACTACCTTGGGGCCATATCAAGAATCCCTCTTTTATTCGCACAAAGCACGGAAATTTATTGCTGACTTCTGGCTGGTGGGGCATTGCAAGAAAACCACATTACACTGCGGATCTCATGATGGCTATTTCTTGGGGCCTTATCACTGGATTCTCGTCTTTCCTGCCCTACTTTTACTTTTGCTTCTTTTTGTTTGTGCTGGTACATCGCGTGTCGCGAGATATGGAGCGATGCGCAAACAAATATGGCCAAGACTGGGTTGAATACTGTCGCCGAGTTCCATATATCTTCATTCCATATGTGTTTTAAAAGAGCCGTAAACAAAAATGTATATGTTATATAGTTTTTTAATGATATATATATATGATTATATAGTAATAAAAATTTAAATTAATCTAGTTATAATAATGATTTTTTTTCTGTATATATGTGTGTTTGTGTGAATAGAGCAATTTAAGCAACTGTCAAGAAGGGGAGGTCAAGGAGTCTGGTTCCACTAACGGTAGTAGTAACAGTAGCCTCTACTACTTGAGTAGCAAAGTTGGTGACAGTGCCAGTGGCTGCGGTTAAAGTTGCGACTTCAAGAGGTCTAGCAATGACAGTGTGGTAGACAAAGACATTGGGGTTATTCTGATTCAAATTACCATTGGGGCTATTCAGATTCAAGTTACCATTACGGTTGTTCAGATTCGATTCACCATTACGGACATTTTCGCTGCGGTCATCCTTGCGGTCTCCCTTGCGGTCATCCTTGCGGCCATCCTTGTGGTAGTCCTTGTGGTAGTCCTTGCGGTAGTCTTTGCGGTAGTCCTTGCGGTAGTCCTTGTGGTAGTCCTTGTACTCATATTCATCATCATCATATTCATCATCCTCATCCTCATCATCCTTGTCATCATCATCCTTGTCATCATGTTCATCATCATCCTTGTCATCATCGTAGTCCTCATCATCATCATCATCATCATGTTCATCGTCGTCCTTGTCATCGTCCTTGTCATCATCGTCCTTGTCATCATCGTAGTCCTCATCATCATCATCCTCGTCATCCTCGTCCTCGTCCTCATCATCATCGTCCTTGTCCTTGTCATCATCGTCGTGCTTGTCATCATCATCCTTATCGTCATCATCGTGATCAGCATAACGCTTTTGCAAGAAGCTATCGGCAACGACAGAAGCAGAGGCAGCATCAGCAACGGAAGCGGAAGCTACGAGAAGATTGAAATCAGCCATGGCAACCGAGTAAGCGTCATTTTGAGCAGAGGCAGAGGCAGAGACGGTATTTTCAGCATAAGAAACATCAGAGGCAGACATGAGGTTGAGTTCCTCAAACATGGAGGCATCAACCAAACCAGAGCCAGAAACTGAAGCGGGAGCCGCAGAGACAGCAGTAGCCAGCAAAGCAGCAGAGATCATACCGAGAGTGAAACGCATTTTTGAATTAATGGTGTGCTGTTGTTAATGAGAAGAGATGGATTGTTTAAATAAGATGTAGAGTGAAAAAAACTGAATTTGATGGTTATTTCAGCGAGTATTTATACAGAATATGTACATCTTTATTTGATTGTATGTCAACTAGGATCGATTTAAAATATGCTTTGTTTTTCTTTTCTTTACATCGCTCATTCGCCTGGAAACATACTGCAACGGTCTAAGCGAATACTAGGAAACAAACACACAGTGGGAGATGAACTATGCGGTGTTTTTTTTGTTGATAGAGTACACAAATACACAGCTGCTAGCTGTGGGTGTGTGATTTCATTACTGTCTAAAGCGTCGCATGTAGGAAGAATTTTGGACATCGGAAGTAATATCCATTTTGTGATATTGAAATGAACCGAATGTATAGGAATATTTTACCATATTACATTTTTTTAATTCAATAATTTACACTCTCTTTGGTTATACTATGCTAGAAGCCCATTTGACTAGATCCACTTTTTCTGTAGCAGCAGACACGAGATATTGATGATTCTAAGCAGAAGATGAGCCCTCCATTCTTGATCTCATAGTCTCATTCACTTACCATTAAATCATTGGGTGTAGCTCTCAACTTGACATCCTTTGTTAAACTATGACACACACATTAGCGATCCCCTTCATTATCCTACACTTGATTATTTTACCATTTTGCTACAAAGTCAGTTAAATCGGAAGGATATTTCTTGTTGGCGGGGAATACAGGGACAGGTTCGTGGACGATATGTTGCAACAGCTCAAAGATGGACAGCGGCGTGCCTTCAGGTGGAAATGGAAATCTTCCTAACGCCAGTTCCATTAAAGTTATACCCAACGACCATACATCCGATTTTACAGAATAAGGCGATCCCATAATCCTTTCAGGCTACACAAAATGAAACATCAACATCTTGTTGCTCTAAAAGCCAACCTCTCGTACGCTTCACTTACACTCATATAGGAGCTTGTGCCAACAAATGTATCAGCAACTGAATTGATGAGCTGCCCTGAAACACCGAAATCACACAGCTTGATTTGACCTTGCGAATTGACCAGGACATTGGAAGGTTTCAAATCTCTGTGAATGATACGATGCTCATCATAAAGATATATTAAACCATCCACAATCTAGGAGCCCAAATCAGATGCTGCCCAAGGAGCGCTGCCACACCCATTCAACTTACTGCATAGCCAACTTTCTTTAATACGTCCAAAGGAAATGGTCCGTTTTTCTTGTATATCTGATCGAGTGAGCTGTGATTGTAATTAATTTAGCCTACATTGCTTGTTGTATGTAATATGAATTAAAGGAGTTTGAACGTACCCAGCATCCATGTACTCCATACAAATCGAGATATCGCCTCCATTCATAAAAGCACCATAGAAACTGACGATATGTTTCGAATTACAGTCATGCATAAACTGTAATTCACGCATGATTTGCTTTCGAACATTCATATTGGCATCGACATGGACTATCTTTTAGGTGGAGAAAGAGGTTGTAAAAAAAAAAAAAAAAAAAAAAAAAAGAAAAAAAAAAAAGACACGTTGAGACCATGGCATCAACCTATTCTACACACTATACAAAGCTCACCTTTCTAGCCATCACTGTGCTCGTTCTTACGTGTAATACTTTGCATACGGTCCCGCCGTTTCCTCTACCAAGTTCATCTATTGATGTAAAGTCCTCTGGGCGCAAATCTAGTCTCAACTCCAAGCCAATCTCCAGCTCACTCAATTGTTCACATAGTTGTGTGTAATCTGGTGGACCATTGTACCCTCCAATCGTTTGTTTCGTTGTAGTAGATGTTGCAGTGACATTTGCCTTTTCGTTTTCTGGTTTAGTGAGATCATTTGCAGTTGTCGGTTCAGATGGTGGAGACGAGCCAACAACGACTGGTGAATTTTGAAGCGTTAGATTCTTGAAATTGCGTTTCTTTCTCAATGGTACTTTGGAGAGCATATTTGTATGGGGTTCTCTGTTCTAAAGGCTAAATAAAGCAAAGAAGAGAAAGGGCAAAATGAGAGCAAGTGGAAGTGGTTAGAGAAGAATATAAAAAGGAATTGCCCCTCGCTGTCTCTCTCTCCAATGAACATGTATTCAGGAATTGCTTGATTGGTACTCCGTTGAAGTGTGCTATTTGCCTCTCTTCTCTTGATCTTGTATCCTAGCTTTCAGTCTAGATACTAAGATCCACGAGGCAGCCATTGGGAGCATGTATGTTACCCATGAACTAGTGTTTGACTAATCCATGGCATACTTTAGCCAATAATGACAAGATGTCATGTGAAACAAACTCCATGGATCTTTTCCTTCATGCTGTACATCCCAAATGTCAAGCAACAACAGCTTTCAACAAGCAATGCCGCTTGAATATAAGATCAATTAAAAAAACAATGTAACACCATGATATTGCGACTTGATTTCATAAAACTATAGCCGTCTCTAGTTGAGCGTCGCTCATGAATGTAGTAAGGGACCATGATTTAGTCTGGATAATAAAAGGTTCACTGAAAAGAGGGCAGTCGCTGATAGAACTTTAATGATTGCCTGCACGTATATTAGCAGCCGTGGAGTAGCTTCTGGTATTCAAGTGGTTTATTAGATGCTTACAATCTACATGATGGTGAGATGTGCTGCCTCTACTCCATACTGTGCACGCCGAAATCCAAGATGCGAAATGAAGTTTCATTCTTCCTATTGGAAAATCAGTGATTAGTAAGAGAGTGTAATCAAAAGTATTAGCCCTTACTTTTGCACTGCAGCAACACAGCGACGCCCATCAAATGCCACACGCCAAACACCATCGACTTTGGTGATTAAGTCTCTGATAAATCGACCTGTCTGGATATCCCACATCTTGAGTCCACCTTCAGACCCAGAGATCACCTTGTCATTGTCATGCTGAAAGCATGTTATCGAATTACCATGGCCAGATAATGCATGGTGACAAACTCCAGTCTCTGGTGACCACACTCTCAAAATCGAGTCAGCTGCAGCAGAAACGAGGTACTGATTACTGAGACCTAGCAAACCCACCAGCACTGAATGTCCCTCCAGTCTCTTGATGCATTCACCCGTTTCCAAGTCCCAGATACGAACAGATGTGTCCATGCTTCCACTCATGCATCGGTTTCTTTCAGCGTCAATCACCACGGAATATACTTTTTGTGTGTGTCCCTCCAGCAAGTGCATCAATCGGCCAGACTGACTGTTCCATACTCGCACTGTGTTGTCGTAACTACCACTGACAAGCGTATGGCCATGTGCTGCAATGGCTCGTACAGACTGTCGATGTCCTACGAGAGAATGTACAAAATACGGGTTCGTGGCATCGCCATTGTTGTTGCCATGGAAATAGCCTTGTGGGTCTTTGGGGTCTGGTAGCCTCCATACGCGCAAAGTTGCATCGCGAGAGCCAGAGATGATCATGGGCTGCTCTTCTTGGTGGATTGGCTTTGTGATGAGCAAACAGCGAATAGTCGATGTATGGCCCGTAAAGATGTGAGTGCATTTCCCCGTCTCCATATCCCACACACGGACTCTCCTGTCCGTAGAGCCTGTCACCAGCGTATTTCCAACGTACTGCAGAGCCCAGACACCTCCTTCATGACCCTCCAATGTCATCCGCTTCTTGCCTGTAGTCGTGCTGTAGATATTGACATGCGAATCATCTGCACCAGACACAATCTTGTCATCATCAAACTGCAGGCATGTCACTACGAATTTGTCATGTCCACGAAACGATTGCTCCACGGCCCTTCCTTTGCGCCAGTTCTGTTTGAGCGTATGATGTCTTGCATACAGCTTTTTGAAGCTTGTGATGTGGAGAGAAGCGTCTAAGGGGTCATGGAGTGTATAGCCGTCCTGAATAATGAGCCGCTTCCAGGATCGATGATCGGCATCTACAATCGACCTCCATTTCCTACACACGCCAGACGCTTGGCAGAGTGAGTATGCATCCAAATATCGTGTGATTTGTCTGGCTATCTCCAATGGCAAGGTGGACAGAAAGTCATGTTTGAGAACTGGCATGATGACGGAGTTTATAAACTGCAAGGTGTTGGTGGATGATCGCTTCAGCAGTTGGAATAGTAGATACGATTTCAGATTAGGAGAGAGCGAATCAAACGTATGGATCATGGACGGTAATTGCCATATTGCACTCAGCGTACTGGATTCGTCTATGCTGGATAGCAGAAAATCATCCATCTTGACGGTGCGTGCTCGCTTGTGTTCTGCAACTGCATTGGTGGCATCACATGTCACTGATCTCTTTCGAGTGTGTTGAGAGCAAGGTGAATCATCAACAGCATCCATCTGCTACAGAAAGTCCTCTGTGTCAAATTCCCTATTTGCCTTGTGTTTGTGTTTCTGTTACCTCTTTTGGACTATTGTTCTTTGCGTTTGTCGTGGTACGATCGTTGTTGAGAATGGACATGGATGGTTCAAGAGTCAGTTGTATAATGTTGGATACAACATCTGGAGATGTGTCTGGGAGAGGCGATGCTATAGGCGATAAAGCTGGCTCTTGATTCATTTCCAACGGGCCTTTGTTATGAATGATTAAGGAGGAAGGGAAAGAAAGGATGTTCATACTCAAAGAAAAAGCATGAAGCTTTTTTTTTTTTTAAAAAAAAAAAAAAGGGGTTGAGTAGAAAAGGACCCCTCAGTGTGTCTGTATGTATGTGATACTATATGAGCAACGAGTTTGGCAACCCCTCCCCCCTTGGCCATTGCATTCGTGATTCAACAGATTGTAGAGCAAGAGAAATGTGCTCTCAATCAGAGATGAAATAGCCAGTGTAGCAGCTGAAACTGACATTTGCTTTGATCTTGCACATTATACAACGACGGAATTTATATACACATGAACCCTTGGATGTAGACTTCAAGCCGTCAATCATGAAGCGTATCTTGATACATGTTGAATACATGAAACAATGCCAAGTTTTAGTGCTGGCATTGCTGAATAATACATTCGACTTTGTAGTCATCTTACATCTGGGAATAAATCGCAATTACTGCCGATGCCATCGCACCATTGCATAGCAACTTTGATCTTTATCAAGATCGCCATTGTCTTGATGCCTCTCTGCGTGTGTGTGTGTATACGCGAAAAGCCAATAGTGCCACCCAATGCAAATTCTCTCTGATCAGCTACCACCCCACCTTTGACATTCCATCTATATATACGATGGCATTTGAACAGTTACCAGAAAATGCCACTAGTAAAGATGCATTACGTTATATCCACATCTGGATCCTAATTTGCCGTACGTCAGTGAGAACACAAAAAGAGGGACCCTTTCCATTTCAAGCGGCCTCGCTTTGCTTTGTAATGCTAGATTGATTGGCCAATGGCCCAAAATGTTGCATAAAACCTTGTTCTGCGAAAATCGCCATGTGCTACTATTGAAACAGCAAGGGCAGCAGGAGAAAAAAAAGAAGAAAAAAGTATAAAAGCCGAGATATCACACAGTAGGTACCTTTTCCTGTGTTCTGCAACATCTTGTATTAATCTACACTAAAAATGGCCATCTTAACTACTTCCAATGGTAACCCTGTCGACAACGATCAAACTAGCATTACTGCCGGTCCTTGGGGCCCTGTCCTCCTTCAAGACTTTCACTTGATCGACAAGCTCGCTCACTTTGACAGAGAGCGTATTCCTGAGCGTGTTGTCCATGCCAAGGGTGCTGGTGCTCATGGTGAATTTGGTAAGATTGATTGGCATGGCAACAGTAGCAAGGACTAATGTCTATTTCGATTGCAGAGGTCACTCATGATATCACACATCTCACCAAGGCCAAGTTCCTCAGTGAGGTCGGTAAGAAGACTCTCATGTTTGCTCGTTTCTCCACTGTAGGTGGTGAGAGAGGTAGTGCTGATACTGCTCGTGATCCTCGTGGTTTTGCCCTCAAGTTCTACACCGAGGAAGGCAATCTCGACATTGTTGGTAACAATACGCCTGTCTTTTTCATCCGTGATCCCTCCAAGTTTCCTGATTTCATTCACACTCAAAAGCGTAATCCTCGCACCAATCTCAAGGACCCCAATGCCGCTTGGGATTTCTTCTCTCTTTCTCCCGAGACCATTCATCAGCAAACCATCCTCTACTCCAACCACGGTACTCCTGACGGTTTCCGCCACATGCACGGCTTTGGCTCCCATACATTCAAGTTGGTGGACAAGGAAGGCAAGTTCAAGTACATCAAATGGCACTTCAAGACCAAGCAAGGCGTCAAGAACTTGAAGCCTGATGAGGCTGCCAAGTTGGAAGGCACCAACCCTGACTATGCCACTCAAGATCTGTTTGAGGCCATCGAGCGCGGCGATTTCCCTGCTTGGGATGTCTTTATTCAAGTCATGGAGCCCAAGGACGCAAAGACTTATCGTTGGAACCCATTCGATGTAACCAAAGTCTGGCCTCACAAGGTAACTACATATACAAAATAGGCTTGCTGAACCCCACAACTCATATGGTCATAGGACTATCCTCTTCATCCTGTTGGTAAATTCACATTGAACAGGAATCCCGAGAACTATTTTGCCGAAGTCGAACAAGCTGCTTTCTCACCCTCTCATTTGGTGCCTGGTGTTGATACCTCAGCTGATCGCTTGTTACAAGGTCGTCTCTTTTCCTACCCTGACACCCATCGTCATCGTCTCGGTGTCAACTACAAGCAAATCCCTGTCAATGCTCCTAAATGTGAGGTCAACACTTATCAACGCGATGGCTCCATGGTGGTCAATGGCAACTATGGCAGTGCTGCCAACTACGGCCCCAATTCTGTCGGTGGTCCTGCGCAAAACAACATTGTTGGCTCCACGTTTGCTGCCGAGGAAATTGAAGGATTGATTGGTCGATTCAGCTACGATGTTACTGACGATGACTTTACTCAAGCTGGTAATCTGTATCGTCTCATGGACGAGGAGAACAAGGACTATCTCTGCAAGAATATTGCCGGCGATTTGGTCAAGGTCAGAAAGGAGATTGTTGAGCGTCAACTTCCTCACTTTGAGCGTGCCGATCCTGATTATCGCCAACGTGTCGAAAAATTCATGAAGGAGGCTTAAATTAGCTTTCGCCCTATTTATTCTCTGTACAAATGCATTCATTATCGCCATTTATTCATTTATACCTGTAATAAAAACGAGTAGTTCTCTATGTATTCGCTAGTGCTCTCCCAGCGTCGCAATGCCATTGTGTTACATTCATGCGTCGCTTATTTACAAGACGTATCACAATGAATTTGCCCCCAAATTATGCCATGATGGTGAATGGCCTGGTTACTGATCGACTTTTTAATTTGTTTCATTTGCATTAAATGCAAACTCCCCCTTTAAACAGTGTGTAAATTACTAGATGTTTCGTCTCATTTCAGACTTGGGTTTCATTCAGGATCCACAGTGACAAGTGTAACTTCCTAGTATTAAAAAGGTGTTTATTGTGAAATGCGTTGGACATTGGCATCAAGCTAAAAACTAGGCTGTAATTGGTGGTACTGCAATAGCTTCACTTTCAACTTCGGCACTGTCAACCTTGGGCACAAGGTGCACAGGATGGGTGTGTGCCTGCTGACCGGCCAAGAGAGCCTTTGCCACAGCGTCCAGCTGGCGAACATTGCTGGGAGAAGACCTCTTCTCTGCGTTTTCAGTGGCCTCATTCAATGAGCGGGCACAAAACGCAGCGAACTCTTGATCGGATGATTGCAAGATGTGCTTGTCTTGAGGTCTGACGAGTTCTCGGATAAAGTACCAGTCGTGCTCCAGGCTTTCTTTTCTGATACGCACGTTGAACTTTTTGTCTTGCTTGACGGTCTGTGCCAATGCCAGAATATCGTCTCGCATCACCTCTCTTTCGCCTACATACACCATGACATTCTTGGGAGCAAACCGATCAAAATCAGATCTGATGTGAGCCAGCTTCAAAAGATGCAGTTCGTCCGTGTTGGTGGCCTCTGGTAAATTGAGATACTCTTTCAAAACGCGAGATGCCAGCATGGGAGTGACAATGTCCTGCTTGAACTCCCACAGCCAAGAAGAGGTGTTTGCGGATACCAATGGCGATACAAGTAAAAGACCGGCAGGAAGTTCAGCATTGTAATTGGACCGAGGGGCACCAAGGTCTTTCAAGATGTTGGGTGCATAGACTCGAATCAGTGTTTCCAGGCAGAGAGCGCCTCCAGCACTATCGCCAGAAAGAATAATTCTTGACCCAGGTATCTATTTTGGGTATATTAACAGAGCAATCCAAGCAGTATGTTGGTATCTTGCTTACGTGCAGTGTATTGACAAGGTACTCGTACGCAGCTACACACTCCAACACTGGCACAGGATACATATGCTCGGGTGCCAAACCTAATTGTTTGTATGTCAGTTTAAATCTGTTGTCAACGAGTGGGGAGGGGGGGGGGGTGGCATTCATACTGTAATCAACCGATAAAATCAACGCATTGATGTTATGGTGCTCCTTTAACAAATGGATCCAGTTTTGAAATACATCCATATACATGGTGCAATGTCCCACTCGAAAAGCCCCGCCTACCATGCTAAGCGTTAATTTGCATTTTTTACTGCGTCTCATGACAGAACTGTTACCATGCGCTTTATAAATGATCATATCGGCGTCTTTTATTCTCTGCAGCAGTTGATCGTCATCTTGGCATTGAGCCATATCAGGCCCTATCCAGGCTCCTTTCCATTCTGGCTTTTCAATCATTCTGATCCAACTCATCTGCGATTTCTTGGGTGCAGTGAAGTCAGCAATCAAGAAGCGAGCCATTGTCGGTGGCAGAGATAGAATGCCCTGAATGATGGGCACCATGATGGAGGTGGGGACGTTGGTTTTGATCAAGTGACGAATGCTTTCCATATTGCTAATCTTGAGAACAGGCGGTAGAAAGAGAGAGAGAACACGCACAGCATTCTCTCTTTTTATGTGTGTTGCCGAACATCTATCCGATTGACATGTGTGTGTGTGTGTGTGTGTGTGTGTGTGTGCATATGTGATATGCTAATTTCCTCCCCCAAACATCTTAACGTACATTTTCGCTCGTTTTGATCAATTAAGTATGAATAATCGGATTATTGCCGCTTTGGGAGTGGTGTGTTTACTGCAATCCTGCTGTTGATAACAAAGTTTCAAGTGGGCTTGTAAAGGAGAGGTTTTTATTAGAGCAAGAATCAATCACTCCCTTCTGATCTATCATGAGATGGCTCTAATTCTTGAGTGGGAACTGCAGAGTATTCCCCAAATACGTCGCTCTCTATGGCTGCATGACCTTGATGTCGGATTGATTCGTTGTAAGATCTGCTTGGCGTGTTCTTGATGACAATTTGATAATACTGAAATACACATTGGTTAAATCATTGCTATCACAGTGATCTCTGTCTTTCGTTACCCAGAATCCAGTGCATGCCACCATGGATATAATAGCAGAAACATATGGCACTAAAGAGAGTGTGTGTGAGTATACAGTGTGGATATCATACGCTCGTAACACATACGCCAATAAGGATAGTATTGATTTTTTACAGGTATAAACACAAACACAAGTGCATACGCTGTAAAAGCCAGAAACACGTATACGCATACCAAGGGTGCTCGGATAGGTCTGTTGCTGTTTGGCTCTCGTCTTCGCAGAATCAGTACACCTAGTGCTATTAAAAAGTAAAATACCTGGCAAGATGTCAGATCAAACGCGTCCAACATGCATAGAAGCACACTCACATAGACTGGATAGGCAGCAAAAGCAACAATGAATTGGTAAACAGCACCTGGAGGCGGGCCCACAATGAATACAATCGATAGTACATATTGCAGCAAGTATGCATTGACAGGGCTTTTGATACGTGAGTCAACCTTGCCAAATACATGTCCATAAGGCAATAGCCCTTGTCTAGCCACCTCCATAATGACTCTAGAAACGCAGGTATGCAATGTCAAGCTTTTGCAGTGCTATTGTGATATAAAAGATATACCTTCCACCTGTAAAGTTCATTGATGCGGCACATCCAAATGCACTGAGGCCGATAAAGACAGGGAGTATTTTGGTTGCAAAGTTTTCGCCCAAAGACCGAGTAAAGCTATTTGCACCATGAGATGTTTGTGGTGGCCTACGTAACCCTTCAAAAACTTACAACGCTGCTGCTACAATGAACTCGGAGCTCTTCATGGTCTCTAATGGCAATACTACTAAATAGGCAATATTCGTCAAAATATATAATGTTGCAGTGGTGATAACGGCTGCTGCTGATGCTTTTGGTAGATTCCTGATTGGATCCTGCAGATATGGATCAAAGACCATCATCATCTCGTGCGTATGGAGAGCTCTTACCTTCACCTCGTCCACCACAAAATTAAGATTATGCCAGCCACTATAGCTATTCATGACATAGTACAAGGCAGATGCATAAGGCCCCACTGTATTGGATGTGCCAACAAACGACAAATTCAAGCTGGCATCCACGTCAGAAGGAATGGCTTTTGCCAGAACCAAAATACCAATGCAAGCGATCAATAAAAGCACAGAGATCTTTACGACTGTAAAGAACGAAATCATCTTCATGGTCATTCTTGTGGACAGCATGTTCACTGCTGCCAGTAGAGTCGCACTCAACACTAAAAGCAAGCTGTCAATCCACTTGACCTTCTGAAAACAGGACGGATCTTACATGCCCAGCCTCTGTCCACCCACACAGATTTGTATGTTGGTCCAAAAATGGCATAATTCACATATCCACCAAAAACAATGCCTGGAAATTGCATGTCAGTGTCTTGTAATTTTGCAACGCCACGCTACTACACGATCTACCTTGAGATGCAACCCCACTCGACCTGTTCATCAAACTCCAATAGGTAAATAAATAGGCCAGCAGGTATTTTGGCCGTCTGTAACAGTATTCCAGATAGCCCACTTCACCACCACTACAGAAATTTTGCATTATCTATCAAGTGATCGATTCTAAACGATTTCGCTCTTCAAGTATGTATACCTACGAGGAAGCTGATGTTGATGTTAATTGTGCGGGTTTATGCCATTGCTTTGTAACGTTGGCTTACCATTGTTCCTAACTCCATAAAGGTAAATGTACCCGAGAGAGCAACAAGTGCACCTATGAACCATAGAATCAGGTTCATCCCACCTGATCCAACGAGTTGTAAAGTAAGTGCTGGTCCAACAAAGATACCAGCACCGATGATGTAGCTCACATTGACCATTGCACCTTGTATCCAGCCAATCTTACGCTCAAGACGTTGGTCTAAAGTCCAACTGTTTATTGTCGTGATAAAATGAACCAGGCTCTCCTGGTAGAATACATACCACCAACAGCTAGCGGTTCCATATGTTCAATTTGTTCTGTTAGATCATCTTGCCTTAACATGGGCTCATACTGTTCATTTTCTATAGTCATGTTTCTTGTGAAATACAAAAGAGAGAGAGAGAGAGAGAGAGAGAAAAAAAAACAAATAGATTATGCAGCCTGCTCCTTTTCACCGCTACAAACAGTGGATAAACAAAAAGCAACCATCACTCACCTGTGTAACCTCATACTCTGCTCTTATCTGAGGCATGACTTGAGAGTAAGTCTTGGGTATATAGACCTTGACATTGGGTCTACTATGAGGGAATATTGCTTTTGACGCGTAGTTGATTAGTTTGAGAGCCAAATAAACCAAATGCACATAGGAAACGTTGAGAATTTTTAAGCACATACTATTAATGGGTCAGCGCCATTCATTCATGTAGCATTATTGCTTACCAAGCTACTTTTTTACTGACCAACAGCAGCCTGTGTACATCACTTTTAAATGACTGCAAGATCAATACTCTCTTTACAAACACCATTTCTTATGCTAGCGCAGAAATCAAAGCTAAAAATGGTTCATTGCATAGGATAAAAGGAACATGACAGTTTACAAAAGGTTAAAATTAAGCAATTTATTTCAAACGCTAGCAATATAGCACAAAAAATAGATGAGGTGGATATACTGTACACAAATACACTTATATCTGAATAGTAGGATAAATGGAAGCGTTAAATTAATGTTCGTTGTTGTAGTACTCCTTGACTTGCTCTTCAGCATGGCGCTTGGCCTTTTGCTTGTCAATGAAGTCGAGACCCTTGGTTTCAACCAACTTGTCAACCTATCATTAAAAAAAAAAAAAAAAAAAAAAACTCATTAGACCATTATGCTAGCATGTGCTTATATTGCTTCAGTACATACACCAGCAGCGGCAAAGGCAGCAAACAATTGCATGGCGGTAGCGTGGTCATTAGGCTTGCCATTTCTTTCGCAATGTTCGTTGTAAGCCTTGACAGCCTCGTAGGAAGCTAGATGATGTTGAGTGAGCTTATCACCTATCACGAGAATAAATCCACTTACCAGCACCAGCAATGAGCTCGTGGCTCAAATGACCCTTGTGCTCATGAGGAGTTTGTTCGAGCTTGTTGTTATCATCTTGAAACTTATCGAAAAGACCCCTAGTTGACATGACATTTACAATGAGTAACGCGTACTCGGCATCAAATGTCCACCTTCCTACTCGAGACTTACATGTTGACTGATTTAAATTATTTACTAATTGTAAAGAGAGAAAAGAGGACCAGTTTGAGTAGCATGTATTTATACTTTTTCGTTCGTTACGCTAGCCGTTTGTTCCGAGTACCTGATAAATAAAGAACATGGTACAGTAGATGAGAATCCAGTCGGGGTAAGGCCCGTTTATGCTATTTGCCATCCATCTTGGCGTTTTAGCTGTGCCCTATGAAGTCATTTGCGTCAAATAATGCACACATTGATTGGCTGTTGCTTAAATTGATTAAGCTTTTTTAGCCTCTTCATCAATAGAGTCAGCTTAAATTTATAGTTTCTCAGGTACACAGGATTAAATTTGCCTTTTTAATATATATCCCGTGAATTTAAAAGCCTATATGAGGTGAATTTGTTTATTTTAAATATATACTAGCCATATCCTTTCAAAATTTAATAGTATTGAGAGTCAGAACAAAGGTGAATAAAACCACCGGCGAAGCCGGCAATGGGGGAGGGACTCAGCCCCTCCACCAAGAACATAATAATGCATCTAATTCAACACACTTGATAACATTGATTTATAGGGGAGGTTTACCTTACCCAAGCAAAGGTTTAAAGCCTATGACAATTAAGCATCTAATCCAACATTGGGTAACATTGAGTTATGGGGGGGGGGGGTTACCGTAGCAAATCAAAAGTGCAAAGCCATGGTAATCAGGCGTCTAATCCAATATCTGGTAATATTGATCTATATGAGGGCTTGATCGCAGCGAAGCGAAGGTTCAAAACGATAGCATTCAGCAGCAAATTAGGTTTTTTATTTCCATTGTAAATAAGCTTACCAGCAACATATCGCCTTCAAAATTTGCATGAATCAGCTCTACCGAAATCAATATGCCTCCTGTTCGAATCAGAAGTTGCACAGGCTGCACAACTGCCCTTCCAGTAAATTACAGCTACCAAAGATGTGATTTATGCCGTGTAAATAAACTCTATAAAGCAATACATAACCAAATTGGACAGTTTTCGAGCCTTCATATCTTGACATATAGACCTTTCTGAGCCACTGGAATAACGTCAAGCAATTGTACTTGAGTAGTAGTAACTTCCTGACACCTTTGCTCAACTTTTTGGGCCAAAAAAAAATATGGCCAAAAATCGACCTAAAAGCATGAGGTTCCCCTCATGGTTTTCATCGAAAATCAAACGATCGCGTTTTTCACCTTGAAAATGAAGACTTTTGTTATGGTATATATCAAATCAGAATGTTTCTCTCAACCCAAAGCAACTTCTGAAACCATTTTTATGAGGTCTTTATATGCAGAATTTCAACATTTTGGCCAAAGACCTTATTTCATATTTTACCAAATTGCTCAATAAGTTCAGTCAAAACATCTATTTTACTTAGCACCATTAGAAGCGCCTTGAAAAATATTTCAAGGATGCATTAGGAAGCATCGGATGATTACCACAGTTCATATAGTCGAATAACTTAGAACAGATTAAAGAAGTCTACGAAAGACGAAATTTGGCCAATCTTGAACAGAAAAAAACAAGCTGATTTTGAATGAGCTTTGGCGGCGGCGGCGGGCGGCGCTGCTGCTGACTGGCCGAAATACCTTTCTGATGATGCCAATAATGATTGCGATGCTGATTAAATGGGGATTATGGATTCGAAATGACAACCGCTTAGATTGAGTACTTTTTTTTTTATTTGCGTTTGTTGGGAGATTTTCCCTATAAAGGTGTCTTTTGCAATGACAATCTCTCAAAAAAGTCGCTGTAGATCTGATAGAAGACCTGTATTTACACATAGCCAGCTTATGTTGCCATCTTGATAATTCTACTACCAAAAAAATATGGTACGAACAGAGAATGTGTTGTATAAATGTTGCATAAAACTTGAACTCTCTTTCAAATCATTTCAATAGTAGCCTTCTTTTGATATCAGTGTATAAGCAAAGAGAGGTGCTAGGGGAGGAGGAGCTGATATCTCCCTCTCCTGACTCGGATATAACCTTTCTTTTACTATTAATTGTTTGTTCTAAATCTACTTGACATACCAGATTTTTATTATCTTTAATTTAAAATGTCTTTGGCGAGAGCCCGCAGGGCGATGCCGTCATCGAGCATAGGGAGATAGATTGGCTAGTACTCAAATACGCGATAAATAATACTAAATATAAACCGGATAGTGAGTAGATCAACCTGCCCTGTATTTACAGTTGACATGATCCAGCATCTAAATTTTGCTTTCAAATGTCTGATCTGTTCCATAAAAAACAGTCTTTACAAGAGAAGAAGAAGGAGGTAAACCCGAGTAAGATGGAATGCGTCAAGAGGAAATTATTAGAGATGCTATTTTTGATCTAGATCCCTATTATTAGTATTCTGCATGAATCATTCATAATCCCCATCGCTAGAGAAGCGGCATAATTGTCACTGCAACCTTTTGTTTGAATGTTTTTGTGATTTGGTAATTCAATGGTTCATCATTTTGAATCGTAAAGCTGGCAATTTAAATTATCATGCAGGCTATGGCTGATCCACCGTTGAGCTACTTTACAGCGATTAAATATCCGCTCTGAGCTTAAAGCGGCTGCGGCAGTTCTGATCAGAATCGACTTAAATCGACATCGTTTCACCTATTTGGGTAAATTACACACAATTTGCCAAAGTTAATGACCTAACCCCCTTTATGCTTTGATGTTGAGCTTTTCGAGACGAATCGAATGGTGCTACTTCTTCTTCACTTTTTCACCAAAAGTAATGCGTAATTTTGGATAGACTGAAATGGCGTTTTTCGAGAGCATGTCGAGTTTTTACATACCAACTTCATGTGAAACCTAGTTGGCACACTGGACAAGACCTGTAGAAGAATTTTGATATTAGTAATACCATATACAAAAATGCTGTTTTTGATGCGAAAAATGCGATCAATTAAAATTGATGGATTTATCCTTGCTAGACCTCATCCAAAATCTCGAAATTTTGACCATATTTTTTGTCCCAGGGAAAATTGAGAAAAGGCATCAGTCAACAAGTACTGGGTGAAAGCAATCGTTTGGTGCCGTTTTAGCGTTCTAAAACAGCTTCCAACGCAAGAAACTGCCACTGGAACATACCCAATTTTTGCTGTGTTTTGCATAATGCCGAGTGGCAACAAGTAGTGCAAGCGTGCTATCTGACTTCATAGGCATTATTTCCATTGACATAGACGTGGAGCATTCAAGAAGAGCCAACTAGGCACGTAGGTAATACTGATAAGTTTAAAAGTCTAAATTAGAATAATGTTCAATGAGGCTAACTGTGATTTAATGTGATAGATAAAGGCAATTGATTGCAAGAACTGTCGTCGTGTAGTATATCTCTCATCAAAGCAATGCAAAGGTAGAAAAGTGCACAAAGCGTAGAAGTGCTCGTATTTCACATATGAATGCTTCTTTGTTTTTTTTCACGCTAGCATAATTTGTATTTTCATCCTAATAATGAGCACAATTTGGTTCTTACAGAACAGGGTAGTAACTCGAATATAGCTGCTTTCATCTATTAATTTTATTAAATTCGCACACTCTTATAAGAGCTACATTAAATCATTACTGTGATCTACACGTTATCAAAAATAAGGAGGAGGAGGAGGGGGGGGGAATTGTGGTGTTTGTAAATGATGACACTTTAAGAGTAAGGGTATATAAAGGGTGATTCATGATTTATATGCTGAATCGTTTAAGGACTTGAGGTTTAGGTGATTTGCAGTATTTGTTGTACAAGTCATCCGCTGATGGAGAATTGGAACATACTTCTAGTGTATTGTTGAATATAACACTTTTGTTGGATAGATTAGATGAACGACGACGAAGCATTCTTTCTCCTTTGTTGTCGAATGAAACAATAATGGGGTCGACTGGTGTCATGATGCCACTGAGGCTACTGCCATTACCGCTGCTGCTGTTGTTGGTTGTGATGCTCTGATTATCCCAATGAATGACCTCTTCTTGTTGCTGATGATGATGATGATTTGTAGGCAGCTGAACCAAGCATTCCGTGCGTTGAGCATCTCGATACCATTTCTGTCTTCTAGTACAAATGCCTAATCCGATGGATTGAACAGCCCATTGTTTCCAGTGCCAATTTCCATATTCCCAACCACCCTTGTCTGTGGTCGCATCTTGATATCTCGACCATTCGGGATCTACCCAAGTCCATGATACAATCTTTTGTTGATTGGTGTCTGGTAATGTGCTTGTTGTCTTTGGTGGCAAACAAAAATTGTTGATAGAAGGTGCTGCTTCTAAATGAGCATCCGTCCTGATAAAAAAAAAAGATACAATAAGAATATAAACAAAAAAAAAACATAAGCACATCATCTGTGTAAATACATAAACACATACCAAACTGCACGGTCTTGTGGTAGTAAAAGGTTGCTCCAGCCAGTAGGAAACCACCAACGTTGATGGTGATATAGTTCAAACCGATATCGCCTTTGGTTTTCTGCTGGCTCCTCTTTCATGCAATGGTTGGCATCGGTGGTAGTGGTGTTCTTGGCCATGGCGTACGAAATCAGGGGTAAAATAGCACGGACACAGGCCATTTGAATTGGCTGTACCCACGGACTATGAGCACACATGATCATCACCAAAGCAAACCATATCAATGAACTCAAATGGATTTGTTGTTGCTGCAAAAGAATGATCCATCCCGCATACACTATCGTAAATAAACATGACACACCGACACAAATAAACGAGCGTGTCTTTTCGGAAGCCATAGAGTAGTAGAAATGATATACACTGCATAGAGCATCACTTTGTTGCATCCGATTTTTCATAGTTGTCAGAAAGCAGATTGTATCACGGATCTCCATCAGATCATACACCAGTGCCAATTCGTCTTTATTGTGTTGCTGTGAGTGCTGGTTGTCTACTAGTCGTCGCTGCAGGTATATTTCAAGCATGAAGAGTATGCATGGCAAGCTGTAGAGTAAGTAGTGTTGTATTGATCTGACCAGGATGAGTGATATCAAGCATACGAAAGAGTATGTTTTCTCGTTGCCTTTCCATTGCAGAACCCTCAGAAGCACTGCAATAGAATGTATTATTGGTTGTAGGTCTATTAAGAGGTCAATGTGTTGTAGACGTGTTGATGACATTGGGTGTGTTGCTGACGAAACAGCAGCAGAAAAAGTAGACGAAAAGACAAAAGAAAGAGACATGATTGCCATGATATCAGCACCTTTTTAAATAACTGCTCATCTCACGTGGGGTTTACTGTACAAGTAAACAAAGATCCAAACGAACCAGAGCCCTTAATTTGCACCATCAGTTTAAGGATGTTCATGTACGTTGATGTCAATATCAGATATGAAAGGCTGGAGGATATGTCTTTTTACGCTGAAGCTACTTTCATATCACTTCATGGTATACAGCAGCACTCTTCTATCTAAACGAAACATCAATTAAACTAAATATAATCGTTATTGTCATTGACTGATCATTCAGAGCAAGATGTGTTATGCTGGTGTGTGTGTGTGTGTGTGTGTTACAAACACTGCGACTTGATGAGATGCTGCTGATGAACAGCATCTCCTTCCAACAGAAAAGTCTTTTTAAGCTTCTCTTGATGAATATAAACAAACCATATCGTTACGTTGGCAACGGGACATTCTTCAAGTGTAGAAGATAAAGGGCACACAGTATGTAGAATACAATGCGCATCACACACCTAAATTCCTAGCAGTGTCGCATTTGAAAGATCCACATCCTGAGTTCCAAATCAAAGAAGAAAGAGGCATCACCCTCGCACATGGAAACATTCCTTTTCCTCGTCTCCACATTCACACTCAATGACAGCACTGCTTCGATTCAAACAATCGATAGCAAAGCAGCTTTCAAAGCAAACTGCATGTAGCCCACAAAAGCTGTTGACATTCATGCGACCTACAAAATCCAGGAGAGATGGCCATATATCCATATCTCTCCCCAAGCTGAACACATCGCTTGCCACACCCGTTGCCACCGAACAGTTAGACGCATGGTCAAAAGTGATAGCAGACAAGGTAAGCAAACCCAATCCGTGCTGGCAACAACTGCTGTATTCAGATACTAACTGGGAATTTCAGTTTGTACCTAACGAATACATTCAACAAGCCAGCCAGAAAGGATCGAGCCTCTATTTTAAATTTGATGAAACCAACTTTATCAAGCACGTACTGCAGCAAGTGTACCAGGAGAAGGAGACGTATGGATGGTCTCACATAGTAAAGCCTGCAGACAAGACAGTGTTGATTGACTACAGTTCGCCAAACATTGCAAAGCCATTTCATGCAGGCCATTTACGAAGCACCATCATTGGCAACTTTACGAAAAGGATACACGAGGCATTAGGATATCATGTTATTGGCATCAATTATTTGGGCGACTGGGGCAAACAATATGGTAAGCAGCAGTGCTGCTTGTTTACGCTATTTTGCTAACGTACACAAAAATCGTTAGGGCTGCTGGCAGTGGGGTTTGAGAAATATGGAGATCAAGCCAAATTGAGATCAGATCCCATTCATCATTTATACCAAGTCTATGTCAAGATCAATGCAGAAGCAAAGTTAGACAAAGAGATTGACAGGCAGGCAAACGAATACTTTAGAAGGATGGAGCAAGGGGATGCAGACGCATTGAAGCAGTGGAAGCAATTTCGAGATTTGAGCATTCAGTCATACGCATCGATATACAAGAGACTCAACGTGCAATTCGAAGTCTATTCAGGGGAGTCACAGGTGAATCCGTATATTGCTAAAGCACACAATCAATTGAGCAGCTCGCACCTATTGATGCGCACAGAGGACGGCGCATTGGCTGTGGACCTGGAAAAATACGACTTGGGGACGGCCGTGGTGCAGAGAGCAGACGGCACCTCACTGTACATGACGCGAGACCTGGCTAGCATTCTGATGAGACGAGAGAAATACCCCTTCCAGAAAGCAATCTACGTGGTGGGGAGTGAGCAAGCAGGCTACTTTAAGCAGCTGTTCCAAATCTCCAATCTCATGATACACACACATCAAGATTTGCAGCATGTGGGCTTTGGAAGGATCAAGGGCATGTCCACACGAAAGGGTACCGTCGTGTTTCTGCAGGATATCTTGGACACGGCCAAGGAAAAGATCATGGATTACATGAAGCAAAGCAAAGAAAAGAGCCAATTGAGCGATATAGATACAGTGGCAGATCAGCTGGCCATGTCTGCCATTCTCATTCAAGACATGAAGTCCAAGCGAAGCAAGGATTACGAGTTTTCATGGGATCGCATGACGGATGCCAGAGGTGATACGGGTGTGTTTTTGCAGTATGCACATGCTAGAGCGTGTGGCATTGAACGGAAATCAGGCATTGCAATCGATCCACACTGCGATTTTAGCATCTTGAAAGAAAAGGAAGCTGTTCAACTGGCGCAATCCATTGCACAATTTCCTGACATAGTGGAATCAGCGTTTGCCACTTTGGAGCCATGCACCATTGTCAACTACCTGTTCAAATTATCGCATGCAACCAGTGCTGCCAGTGCTTCTTTGAGAGTGAAGGACATGGATACAGATGTCTCTAAGGCGCGCATGCTGCTGTTCTGGTCTGCTAGAGCTACATTAAAGAACGGATTGCATTTGCTAGGCATCCAGCCTATAGAACACATGTAGAATAAAGCCCACTCTTCATAGACATCTTTCGCCAACGCGCGCGACTGCCTATTGTGACCTTGTGGATGCGTTTGATTCAATTTTTTTCTCGGTCAAATGTGCAAACGCGTTACAGTTTTTTTTCTTCTTTCACCTCTAGATATTAGAAAATGGCCAGTTTAGGTTGGGATCAAGGACAAGTGTACTCTACATCAGTGCTTCCCGGAGAAGAACAGGTTGATTCCTTCTCTGAGACCACTGCTCTGTTTTTTGACTTTATTCAGACATTCCGTCTCGGCAACAATTACATTTACAGGTGCGTTATGTGTGTGCCTGAAATTTGGCAGTGCCATCTTATTGAATCCAACCTGTAGAGAACAATTGTCGCAGAACCTGTTGACAAAGCAATACTACATTGAAGTCGATATCAACCATCTCATCAGTTTTAATGCCGATCTCGCCAACAAGCTCACCACCACACCAGCAGATTACCTGCCAAGAGTAAGATAGCCTCCTTTCCATTGTATGGCATGCCACGTTGTCAATTAACAAGGGTTGTGTTAGTTTGAAACTGCTGTCAAAGACAGTGCAAAGAGAATCCTGTTTTCCAATCCCAATACTGTCAGCAACCTGGATGTGCCTGATTGCCAAGTAACTCTCAAATCCACAGCCAATGTCATCCAAATCCGTGATTTAAATGTAAGAAAGTGCGTTGCGTCTCTTGGACTACATCTTGTATTGACGCTTCCTCATAGTCTGATTACATTGGAAAACTGGTTCGTATCCCCGGTATCGTCATTGGTGCCTCTACCCTCAGTTCAAGAGCCACTCAAGTCACTGCCATGTGTAGATCTTGTCGCAGCATCAAAATCATCCCCGTAACTGGTGGTTTTTCATCCATTGTTCTGCCTAGAACATGTGACAGTATGGGCGTCAATGGCGAACGCAATGATTGCCCTATGGATCCTTTTGTGATTATGCATGACAAGTGTAAGTTTGTGGATTCTCAAGTCATCAAGTTGCAAGAAGCCCCTGATATGGTGCCTGTTGGTGACCTTCCTCGCCACACCATCTTGAATGCGGATCGTTGGTTGACAAACCGTGTTGTGCCTGGTATGAGAGCTGTGGTCATGGGTATCTATTCCATCTTCCAGAGCAAATCTGCTGTAAGTTTGGTGATCGCTTGCATTGCTACATGTCAAAATGGTCCTAACATTGTACTAGAAATCAACCGGCGCTGCTGCTGTCAGAACACCTTATATCAGAATTGTCGGTCTTCAAGTAGATCAGCACAACAACGGACGTGGTAAACCTCATTTCACAGACGCAGAGGAGGAGGAATATATCAGAATGTCTCGTCAGCCTGATTTATACGAAACATTTGCTCGTAGTTTGGCACCGTCTATCTTTGGCAACATGGGTAAAGTAGAGGAGAAAGGACACATAGAATGATTCAGCCACTCACCGTGCAATACATACGATAGATATCAAAAAGGCCATTACTTGTTTGCTGTTCAGTGGATCCAAAAAGATTTTACCCGATGGCATGCGATTGAGAGGTGACATCAGTGTGCTGTTGTTGGGTGATCCAGGTACCGCCAAATCACAACTGCTTAAATTCACAGAAAAAGTGGCACCCATTGCTGTCTATACGTCTGGTAAGGGTAGTAGTGCTGCCGGTTTAACTGCTTCGGTTATTCGTGATCCTGCCTCTGTAAGTAGACATTAGCCCCAGTATGGCTGTAGACTCATAGCATTGGATTAGCGTGATTTTTACTTGGAAGGTGGTGCCATGGTTTTGGCAGATGGCGGTGTCGTATGTATTGATGAGTTTGACAAGATGCGTGATGAGGATCGTGTTGCTATTCACGAAGCTATGGAACAGCAGACCATTTCTATTGCCAAAGCAGGAATCACCACTATTCTCAATTCTCGTACTTCTGTGCTTGCTGCTGCCAATCCAGTGTTTGGTCGTTATGATGACATGAAGAGTGCTGGTGAGAATATCGATTTCCAAACCACTATTTTGTCTCGTTTCGATATGATTTTCATCGTCAAGGATGACCATAATGAGAGCCGTGATATGGTAAGTCGTTGGGAACGAGGGATGCACTAAGAATGTGAGTATTCAATGATCCATTAGTCCATCGCCAGACATGTTCTGAATGTCCACATGAACAGACAAACACAGGACGCTGTGATGGGAGAAATCGATTTGGAAAAGATGAAGGCATACATCAACTATTGTAAAGCGTGAGTAGCCCGTGTTGGATCATTAGCAACCACAAATACTCAATGTTTTCCATAGTAAATGTGCACCTCGTTTGACAGCAGCAGCAGCCACTAAATTAAGTAGTCATTTTGTCTCTATTCGCAAGGAAATGAAGGACACAGAAAGAGACACAGAAGTGAGATCCACTATTCCCATCACCATCAGACAGTTGGAAGCCATTATCCGTATTTCCGAATCATTAGCAAAGATGACCCTGTCTCCCTACGCCAATGAACAGCACGTCGATGAAGCCATTCGTCTTTTCAAGTACTCTACTTTGGATGCCATCTCCAACGGTGGTGCTGACGGTATGACGCGTAGCGACATCATGTCTGAAGTGCAGCTCATTGAAAAGGATATTCAAAAACGTTTGCCTGTGGGTTCTCAAGTGCCCTATGCTAAACTCAAGGATCATTATCTGCGTGATGGCTTCTCTGAAGCTGCATTCTCCAGAGCAATGACCATTCTTGCCCGTAGAGACATGTTGGCTCTTAGAGCTCAAGGCAAAATGGTTCTTCGACAAGGTTTCTAAACTACACTATTATACGCATTATATTTCATTCTCTTTTCTTTCTTTTATCTGTGAATACTCTCTTTCTTTCTCTTTTTAATTATTTTTACACCCATTTAAACCATAATAAATTTATCATGTTATGATATTGATTTCTTTACACCTTACTCGCTTAATTATTTAACAATCTACATGGCAACTGAAAATCTATCAAGTCTCTAAAGTAGGCATGTATGAATCCTGAAAAAAAAAAAAAAAAAAAAAAAAAAAAAAAAAGGTCTTCTGCTCGAAATTGTCTTATTTCCAAAATTATCCATCGCTTCTAATCAATATCACGCCTTCCAATCTAAAATACAACTACACTATCGTTTCCCTCGTAAAAATTCGTTATACTAGCTTGCTACTTTCAAAGCTCTAGCATTTATATTTCAAAACTTGATGTTGGATGATGGCCAAAGCTTTGTAATCGGCAATACTTTTGTACATCCAGGGTTTGACATGTGTTAAAAGATAGCAACCCATAAAATTGAAACATGTTGAAAATCAATGATAAATAACGCATTTTTGGCAGGGCAATGGGTGCTGGGACAACCTGGTACTTAATTTACTGCTGTACTATTATACAAGTTTTCTTACATGATGGATATAAAAGACATTCTCACATGAATTTGTTTAATTGATGCTAAATCAAATAATCGCACCTTATCTTATACTTTTGAATAAAGAAGGGCTTGAATTGTATCTACTTGAATACCTTTTTATTACAAACACACAATCATTATAAATGACAGATCAATAGGAAATCAACTAGTTGTTGTAACCCTTTGCTGTTTCGACCCCTGACCCAATCAAAACGCTTGAAAACTAAGTGCTAGAAATTTGACCGCTTGCTACAAGGCAGCAAAGGCATGATGAGAGTTAGCAATTTTCACTACAAGGTTCACCAACATCTTCCTTATTGATCTGTCACTTGCCATTAAGAAGTTGTACTTAACAAAAGTAGCAAATTTTGCGTTCCAATTGAGCCTCCCACTAAAGCAACGGTATTTAAAGTTCGAATAGCCCAGTTTTCATACTGCTCTGGATGAGAATCCATAATTATCTGAACTCGTGCAATCTCAAAGTCCAGCAATTCTGATGGTAACGCTGCTTTCCGGCTAAATCAAACTTGGGGAAGAATTTGAAGGAGAATCTAATGATACCAGTTTCAAGTGTGTTGGTCTAATCTATTAAATTGATTTCCGATGGAATAGTTTCTATTTTTTGGTTGCTTTTGACAGATTACGAAGCTTTTGTCATCAGAACTCTACTTGTAATACCTTTTATAGTATAGAGCAAACAAAATACTATCGAACGAGTTTTTGGTCGAAGCTTTGGCATGATTCTATCATGAGATATTGACAATTTGATGCTCACCACAAAATTGTCACTCATATTTTTCCTTTGCTATCACAGAACACTTTGTATTATCTGTGAAACTAACTCTTATGCGATGCTCCACATTCGTATACAAGTAGATAGTTCATATACGGGCAGGTAGTATACTGGTATTACCCCTTTCTAGTCAAAAGTGTGCTGAATACAGCAAAATCTGAGTGCATTTGAGCAGTGATTTCTCGCGTTCAAGGTCGTTTTACATAGTCAGAATAGCACCAAACAACTGAACTCATTTAGGAGTTACTTGCTGACATCTTTGCTCAACTTTTTGGGGACCAAAAAAAAACATGGCCAAAAATCGACCAAAAAGCACGAGGTACCCCTCATGGTTTTCATCGAAAATCAAACGATCGCATTTTTCATCGCGATAACAAAGACTTTTACTATGGTATGTATTAAATCAAATGTTTCTGTCTATCTAACGTAACCACTGAAATCATCTTTGTGGGATCTTGATATGTAAAATCTCGACTTTTTGGCTAGAAACCTCTTTTTGTATTTTCATAATTTATTCAAGAATTTTATTCAAAACATATAACTTACTTGGTACCATTGGATGCGCCTTGAAAAGCACTCCAAGAAAGATTAAAGAAGCATGGGATGATCATTGTACTTATATAGTCGAATCTGACAGAATAGTTCAATCGAGTCGAAAGTCATCCAGATTTGGCCAATCTGGAACAGTCTATGAGTCTGAGCTAGAATTAATTTTGGCGGCTGGTGGTGTAGCCTGACAAACTCAATGTCCCTCTAATCATGAACGCAATACTAATAGATGCTTTTTGAAGCTAATAGAGAGTAGGTGGCAAATTGCATAGTACGATGCCTAGCTATACTATTTTCTCTTGAAGCCTTGCAACTGACAACGCCAGCCTACCGAAATATAAGCACAATTTCTTTTTTGAGGCGTCGAAAGGGTCTAGGGATGATAAATTTATTATGTTATAATTTTTTATACCTATTATTACTGTTGTTGTTATTCTACTGTATATACAAAAGACAGTGATAAGCATTAGGTTGTCAGAGAAAGATCGGTACTATTATACATTTCTACAAGCTTTGGATATACGCTGTTAAATATGTTCCAGCATACTTCAATACGCGCTGGTTCAAACATGTAGAAATTCAGTTCAACGGGTGGATCCATGTGGATATGATGGGACACCTGAATACGGTCTCCACTTGGTTTTTCGACTGTGATACCCAGCCCTTCTTCGTCGTCAACATCTTCCTCATCATTCAGGTAGAAAGAGTTAGTATTTGCATAAGTGGTGATGTTTCCCTCTTTGGGCCGCAATTCTGGGTGCCTTTGGTATAATACATGGAAGGCTTCATCAATGGTATGTCTTGCCCTGAACGAAATATTGACTTGAATAGGTGCGTCTTCCTTGATGAAAACTTCGTACAGTCGAATGACATCAGGGTACAGTTTGTAGGGAATAGGAATCGACATGAATTTGTGATACATCACTTGGTTCTTGTTGTTGGCAAAGTTATCGTCCTCCTTTTCAGAGGCATCATCGCTGTCTTCTTTATTACCGTTGTGAACGAGAGGCGTTGACATGTGCGCAATAAGTGGTATCGTAGGCGACTTTTTAGCCAAGGAGTTTATCCAGTTCTTGGAAGAGCTGCTGTGGTTTGGATTGTCCATATGTAGCACAAATTCATTCTTGAACTTCTCTTCTAATTTAAGGTACTTTTCGTAAAATATCACATTTTCAGAGCTGAAATCACGGATAGCCAAGTCTTGCAGTTGATGCATCATTTCTGGATTAGCCAGCGTTCGCTCCAGTGATTCCATAGAGAGTTCGGGTATAATCGACGCAGCTGTCATGGCTTCCTCCCTGTCCATTTGTTTCGTTAATGATTCACAGTGCAGTAACCGCTGTAGCCTACACATTGTCTTTCTGTACTTGCACTGGCATCGAATCCAACACTTGTTTTCCATAAGGATGTAGACAACAATGGGGAACACAACAGAGCAAAAGTGGGCAGTGATGGTGAAAAGGATGACCCAGTTGGCTGGCCCAAATGACTTGCTGACATAGATGGAAAGTGCTTCATAATCGTAAGCGTTGAGTACAAACCACACGAGATACAATACGAAGAAGGGTATCCCCACAAAGGCATCCACCCATAATTCTGTGCGAATGCCATGCGAGTCCGAGTTGTTTCTGAGATACCACAGCATGAAGGGAACCATGATAGCGATAAAGAAACCATACAATGTCACCAATAACGTAGAGCCCCATCGGACATAACACACGCCGTACGCCTGCATGGCCGTCAATTCAGATGGAATTGTGATTATCAGGATGACAAGTACGGACAACAGATAGATGCAGTAGGGCCACACCATAAGGTACTTATTTTTTCGAGTTCTCTTGAGATACCACTGATAATCAGCATCATTGATGCATGTCAATCTCTCTGCAGTCGTCATCCGCAGGTACTTGACCTTCAGCTGATTGAATCGAAACAAGTATCGCAGACGATAAGCTCTTACTGTGAAAGCAAAGATCCAAGTATAGAATCCGCAAACAACACCCCACAGCACCAATTGACAGCCCACATCATTGTTAAATGCTTGCGTGAGGAACATGCAGGTACTGAACACGAGATGGCCAAAGGCACCCAGTGTCGTTGCTGAGACTGACCGCTTCTTAATGGACTGACGCTTCCGTATTTTTCGAAGCTCATTGGGGGACAAGTCGTCATTGCAAACAACGGTTGTTGGTCCAGCAGCACAATAGATGAATATCACTGTGGTCACAATGACAAAGAAGGCATTGAACACTGCAGCACCCAAGTAGATACGGGATGCAATGCGTCTCCTTCTGTCAAAGCTACACTGTTCAAGGCCATCTTCTGTAGTGTTGTAGTAGTGAATCAGAATGTCTTGATCTTGACAGTCGTATAACGGCTCTGTACAATAGTACATGTTGGTAGAAAATGACAGCAATATCCTATGAATAGAAATTAGTTGGCCTGCTGTGATTTAAGGTTAATAGTACTGCTGCTACACATTACTGCTCAAACTAGGATATATAGGATTGACGGATGATAAAAGAAAGGAAAGACAAAGATAATACCCGATAAGAGGGAAAAATGAGCATCCTTCAAATCGCATAAAGAGACTCTTCCATTGGATCAGTCTTTTTGGCCCCCAATGCAAAACGTGCCCGATCTCTCACGGACATGGTGCTCTAATGAGCATATGCTTACCTAACCAGCTCGCTGTATTTAGCAAGAGATCCAATGGAAATGTCCCTGACATTCCATTTGACATGTTTACTATACAAATCTATGATATCGAGATCTGCTGTTGCTCAGCTGGTGCAAAATAATGATGGCTTTAACTGCCTTTGGGAACAATCGAATACGTCTGTTGGTATATCAACGACTTTCCAAGTGTCAATATGTTTCAAATCAATATCTATATAGTGGTGAATTCCAAGCGACTTCTCTTGTGTAATGCTTATTTACGGATGAGCAATTTACTACTGCATGTTCTTTCTCATCCACCATGAGTTTGTGACTCGGCAGAGAGGCTACCTACTTGATGGAAAGCACCATTTCAGAGCATTTTGATCTTTTGATAAAACTCCCACTACATTTATTATGGCTTACATTACACACTGCATCTTTGACATGGTAATATCCATAACGAGTACTAGCAACAGGCACTAACAAGCAATGCAACAATGCAGGATGGCCTTTTGTTAGACACTGAACGTGTCTATACTGAAGTTACGCAACAAATTCTAGACAAGTATGCAGACGGCGTCAAGTTTACTTGGGAAGTCAAGAGCCAACTCATGGGCCGTTCTGGAAATGAATCAGCTACCATGGTGGTCGAGACATACAAACTGCCCATGTCTGTCAAAGAGTACTTGGAAATTACAGCCATCATTCAAGAAGACTTGTTCCCTCATGCCAAGCTGCTTCCTGGCGTTGAAAAGCTGATTCGTCATTTACATGCTCACGATATTCCTATCGCAGTAGCTACTTCATCGACTCGCGCCAAGTTTGAACTAAAGACATCTTTAAATAAGGAACTCTTTGAGTTGTTCGATGTCATTATCTGTGGCGATGATGCTGATATCAAGAATGCCAAACCCTCGCCTGACTTGTTCTTGGCTGCTCAAAAGCACTTTGGAAACCCTCCTGCCGAGAATTGCCTAGTGTTTGAGGATGCTGTCAACGGTGTTGAAGCAGCTTTGAATGCCCAGATGAATGCAAGTAGTGTGTGTATATGCGTATGGATTGTGTTGACTGATGTTTTATTATGTAGGTGGTTTGGATTCCTGATGAGAATATCAAGGCTCTCACTGGGGACAAGGATCATGGTGCTACTTTGGTCATTAGCTCCATGGCTGATTTCGTTCCTGAAGCCTTTTCGCTTCCATCTTACAAATAAAGTATGTGATTTTATTACAAAAAGATGCTATCAAAGGTAGTGGCCGTGGTGTTTGGATGGTTATCCGATGCTGTTGTCGTTGTTGATGATACTGTGGGAGATCCAAACAGAGCAGCTAGATCATCTTTGATGGAATGATTTGGCTGAGAAGCTTTGTTACTAGTATCGTCTTCAATGGATAACGCATCAAACACAGTGATATCAAATCCATATTTAGCGATGGCTTTGCTCTGTGTGGGAGACACTGGAGGAAGTTTTGCTTGATTATTCAATCCTTGGTTCATCCTTTTGAAGCCTGCAAATGGGTCCAACGTCGTTGTGTAGTCACTGCGAGGAGATACGACAGAATTACTACTACCAGAGAAGATGGATGTCGTTCTTGTCAGTTCAGGTAAATTTGAAGTGAGAGGAGAGTCGAATCTTTGCTCCGCCGATGAGTAACTTGATTCAAGAGATGAAATTCCTGTGAGCTCTCTGTTTTTCTTTTGTTCGACATTAAGCAATCTCTCGGCGACCTCTGCGGATTGTTTAGCAGCACTCAACTCTGACTTGAGAGCAGCTATTTCGTTATTGAGTTGCTCAATGCATTCTTGTTCCTGTCTGTATTGAGCTTGAGACTGGGACAATCTCTTGGCTTCATGGTTTATTTGCTGCTTTAATTCAATAAGCTGATTCTCCAACTCATACCGTTGATTCAGATTTGCTTGACTCTGCAAGGTTTGATTTGATATGTCAGGCGTTAATGGAGCATGGTCATCTATGTTTGGAGGTGATCAGAGCAGGATTTTTAAATTTGTGGGTAATTCTTACACTTGTCTATACTTTCACCTCGCTTACACATATTGATCAGATGCATCGCAATACAGAAATCATGCAAATCCAATTTACCCAAACGTCGACTGTCTGCAATCTCCCAAATTCTGCCCAATTCAGAATTAGGTAATCGCGAGTGACTAAAGAAATAGACTGCCTCATCTGCATCAATAAACCCTGAGCCATCCGTATCCAATTGTTGAAAGTAAGCTGAATATTTCTCCTTTTCTTGCGCTGCCAGTGCGATATCTCCTGCTATACTGGTGCTATTCACTGTACTCGCAGTAGCAGTGGGTCCTGACATCATATGACTGATAACAGGCGAAGTGTATCCTGCCATGGATGCATTGGAACTTGCTCGACTCCTACTTGCAATGGTAGTAGTGTGATGCCTACGGATAGACGAAGCAAATCGACCTGTAGCTTCGGCGTACACTTGCGATGGCAATTTAGGTGGTAATACAACGGTCGGGTCCTTCATAAGTCGAGATATATAATGCATGGCAATGATGAATTCCGTCTTGTTGAGTGTGCCTGAATTTCGAGTGTCTGCAAGTGTCCAAATGTCAGCTAGTTTCTCGGAAGGAAGGCCCGATCTGTTGAATATTTCAATCGCCTGTTCGCCTACAAAATGCCGCTTGTGAATCGAGTGCAGGGACGCATATCTTTGCTTGCTGCATACCATATAGTAAACCATCAATAGGGTTGCATGAATGAAAGATTCCTATGTAGGCATCTCGCTCTTGTGCAGTGATTGGTGCAATTTCTCCAGCGGATTTCGATCCAACTGTGATATCTTTGAAATGAGGTACAGGCACTGTGTAATGGAATCAGTATCTTGCTAGATTTCACTCTGTATCATTTTCATTGCATATACCTAAAGTAGATAGAATATCATCATTTGCTTCAGAACCATTCTGTGCACAAGCAATAAGCTTGAGAGCAATGTAAAATTCCATCTCTGTAATGTAGTCCTTCTGTTCTTGGTCTGCTCTTTCCCAGATCTCGTGGTTTTTATATGAGCATCGTATTTTTGGAGTCAACAACATGGAATGGATATCTACCTCTTCTAAAAATGCGTCGGGAATTCCAGTTTTTGAAAAGAATAACATTGCTTCTTTCTTTGTGAGAAAACTTTTTCGTTCAGCATCTGCTATAACAAATAATTCTCGATAGGCTGATCTGTCCTGCGTAAGCAAACTCATGGACTCTATTGCAATGGTTTTTGTCAGTTGCGTTGAAGCAAGACACCGGTTTGATCAAGATGTACCTGACATTTATTTTGAATTTATCGATTGTATGATATATGGATAAAGAGAAGAAAAAGAAGGGATTTCTTTTAAAAGAAAATTATATATTGTAATATAGAGGTCATGAATAGCACAAAAGGACACAGAGCAAGGAGAGCACGTGCATTGTCTTTACCAGTACTCAACGACTTTTTTGGTGTAATAAGCTCCAGTGACAACTGAACACACAGCTAAAGCGACAGGAAATGGTTTTCCCGTTTTGATTGCTTTGGGTACCATACTACTTGCCAGGATGACAGACGCTGCCACGCCAGTTTCATGTCCATAATATCTATTTTCCTTGATCAAGTAACTGGCTACACCATACATGGCTCCAACACCTAATCCAGCGACCAACGACGGTACTGAACGCGAGCGTGCATAACCAGCAATTCCACTGTTGTTGCAATATCAAGTCAGTTATTATACTTGCGACAGATATTACATGGTATTTGTTACTATACCCTGCTGAGCATAATGCTGCCATGGCGTAACTAGGATGCTGAGACATTTTTTTTTTTAGTAATTATCAACGAAAAAGAAAAGAAATTATAATTACCTGGATGCCACAGCTTAATCAATGTGAAAATATTCTGTTTCTGAAATGAACTTATATACGGTTTCATTCCCGAGACATTGAATGAGACGTTCTAAGGAGAGCGACATTCAGTTTATCTATAGAGACTACAGTCTTGTAATTACTGACAGATGATTTTTCTGCATGATGAGATATAAGCAGAGAGTACAAGTTATCAGTTGTTTACGTGCAAACCTTCTTTTTTTTGCTATGGACATTGAACGTATAATGATAGCCATAACACTCGCTACTTATGATAGACAAACCAATTATATTTCTTCCATTGACAATGATAATGTTTCTATACTACCTGCTACGAGAAAATTACTGAAAAAAAACAACTCTTTAATGTTGCCAATCAACTGAAAGTAGCAACGTTTCAATATTAAAACTTACTTTTTGGCTTGAAGGCACATATTCTATGGTCATAATAATAGAAGCAATATTAAAAGTAAACCCAATGTCTAATGTGTCAGAGCATTTTTAGTAGGTATAAATATTAAACTAATTTGCAAAATAATAAAGGATTATATTCTATCTCATTTATCTAAATCCATTATCTGTACTCACGACAAATGAAGTGTTCAATTGAGGCTATTACCTGTCATATTTCGAAAGATCTGACCAGCTAACATCTACGCTATGCGCACTACTTGACAAAAAAGTAGGTAAAAAATGCTCATTAACAGGGTCGAACTGTTGACCTTGGCGTTATTAGCACCACGCTCTAACCAACTGAGCTAAACGAGCACCTTTCTTTCCGCTAACCAATTTTTTTAATACATTGAAGCCCAGTAATATTGAAAAAATTGACCCAACTCTACAATTCCATACAATACATAGCAAGAACATCATTCCAGACGACACCAAAGTAAACCAGGCATTAAGCTCTGCGTCCTCTCTTTCTCCAGGTCAAAAACGGCCAAGTTCCTCAAGATCTCCACCTTTTTTCGCTGTAGATTTCACTCAACAGTTGAAAACAAAGAAAATGACATTCACTCCAACCTCTCATCAGCACCATCATCCACAAACATCAGTTGATATCATCAACATTTCTACTGATTTTGGACCAACAACTCCTCCATCTGCCTCTCCAGCGAGTGAACAGCAACTTTCAACCTTTATGATTGAGGTTCGAAATCGCTTAGCTCGTCTGGAAACCGCCCATGTCGAAATTGAGCGGTTAAAAACAGCCCTGGCAGAGTCTGAAGCTGCTCGTCACGCTCTCGAAGCCCAACTTGCAGCTGCTACTGGTACTACAACTAGCCTGGCTCCCAAACCATCATCATCCCACCCACCTCCTGCCACTACTACCACCACAACAGCACCAACATCAACTACATGCACCAATGCTACCTCTGCCACCTCTTCGTCTCCAGGAAATCAACCATCTTTTGCTGCCGTCGTTGCATCTAATACAGGTGCAAAGCGTAAGAAGAAGCCTGCTGCTCGTCCTCCTCCTCCATCTGCCACCAAGGCATCCGCTACTCTTGCTCGTCTTTTTGCTCCTCAAAGTGATATACCATCTGGTTATCAATTTGTGTACTATGCTACTCCTGTCCGCCGTCGTCTTTCTGAGCTGCGTCGCCTTGTTCAAGGCGTAGGATTGAATAACTCTCGTGTGCTGGATATTCAATATCCTGTACAGAATGTGATTTCTTTCCTTGTTCACAACGACTATGTTCTCACCCTCACCAAAGCCATGCATCTCCATGGTCGTGGCTCTTCTCCGTTGATTGACTTTGATCCATGTGATCCAGTCAATCTCAAAGATCCCAAATTTGCTTCTCTCTCTCGTGATCTGCGTGTCCAAAAGGCCATTGAGGTCGAAAACCTTCGCTGCCTTCGTTCGCTGTCTTTTGTCCGTCGCTCTGTCCGTGTTTCTGTTGCTCGTTCTTTTCTTTTGTATGATCGCATCAACCAAGCCCAATTTGATGCCATTTTGAAAGAAGAAATGCTTGCTCGTTCCTCCTCCTCTGCTGCTGCTAAACCACCATCCCGATCCTCTGATCAAGAGCGTTTAGCCAAGAAACAACGTTTGAGTTATCTTGGCTACCTCTTGCATCATGATGCTGAAACTGCCTCTCTTTTGGCTTATGCTGTCTCCCCCACTCTCTCTGCTACCAAGGATCTTGAAATGTCAGAGCCTTCTGATAACTGATTGACACCTTGCTGTTGAAATCGTTTTGCTCTCTCATTCCCACTCTCGTTGTTTCTGTTTCTGCTGCCTTTATGGTAGTGTCTGTATTTACTTTGTCCTCCTTCTCTGCTTCTTTCTCGTTTGGTCTTTGTCTCTCTGCTCATTTTGCTATATGCAAATGCCTCGTTTTCTCCTTTTTTTCTTGCTTTTTTTGTGCCACTGAGGTCTGTGGGTTTATTTTGTCTGTGCTGCTGTCTGAACATCGAGGTATCCTCAATTGCATGTCTCATACACCATAGCTTCTTATTCTCTACCCTTTTATCTCACTTGTTTTACTCCTTTTTCCTGCCTGTACTTCTTTTTTACCAGTTTAATTTTTAGTTTAGGACCTTTTTTCCCTTTTCTGGACACTTGCATGTTGTTCCTGCATGGAGATCAAACTATCAATTTAAGCTTTTTTGCTGTACGTCGCTTCTCAGGACTTGCAACTAATGATCCAAAGATCGCATGCATATAAGTCTATATTTTTTACTTTGCTAATTCATTGTAATCAATAAACAACCATAAATTTTCGCCTGAGCTAAACGAGCATCTCTTTCCGTTTTTCAACACTTTTTGCCACCGTTTTCGGAAAAAAGTTGTTCCAGACTAGAAAAAACGTATTTCCTCGATAACTACCAACTCCAACAACTCGAAATTACACAACTTTGCTTGCCTTTGGTAACAGTTTATTGTGTTATAGTTTCAAATTTGTCGAACACCTCCTTGATATTTTTTTAAAAATTTTCAAATTTATAAAAAAATATTCTCCGTCATGGCCACCAATCTACAGGGTATGGATATGAATCAGCTTCAAATGATTCTTAATCAGCTCCAAGAACAACTTACCTCGGTTACTGCTCGCGTCAACGAACATGATGGTCTTCTTGCTCGTTTAGATACTCTGGAAAAAGAGAATTCAGAGTTGAAAAAACTTTTACAGGACAAGGACCTTGCAATTCAAAAATTGCAGGGTGCAGTCTCCGGTCACGTGGTCCCCTCTGGTTCGAGTCGGCCCACGGCGGTAGAGGGGTCAACCCTCAAAACTACTACTGGCTCTATGAATACTAAGGCTACTAAATCACCTAGCTATGCAAATGTCGCAAAGGCTGCTGCTACTCTTCCTGATCCTGCTACTGAAGCTAAGCAAGCTAAGAAGCGTCTTGCTATTGGTCGCGCCTTTACAACTGCTGCTCGTAAAGGTCCTCAAGGTTACCAATATGTTTATATTGGTAGATCTAAGAAGATTGCACGCTCTGAAGTTCGCTCTCTCTTGCGCAAAGCCGGCGTTGATTTGGGTCGTGTGCTTGACATCTGTTTCCCAGCATCCGATGTTATTGGCATCCTGGTGCATGTGCAATATGTTCAGGATTTTACTGCACTTTTGGAGGCTTGTGAGGCTGAATTCTTCTTCGACTTTGACCCTTTGGACCCTGCTAACATAGCTGATCCTAAGTATGACTCTTTGACTCTGGATCAACGTACTGCTTTGATCATGGAATTTACTGCTGCTCGGTGTCTGCAAACCTTAGCTTTCCTACGTCCTCTGAATGTCAGTGGTGTTGGTAAGTACTTTGTTGAGCAAGGCTGGATTTGTGACGAAGACCTTTCTGTTTCTGTTGGTGATGCCATTCAACGCTTTGCAAAGAAGGAACCCAAGAGGGCTAACTTCTTGTTCCGTCGCAAGATTAATGCTGACTCTGCCAATGAAGATTCTGCTATGGAACAATAATGTGTTCCACCACTGAGTCCTCGATACTGTATACCCAAAATGATAACCCTGTCCACTCCTTATTTGTCTCTCTCTCTCTTTGGAATGCCAATGGTCTTCGTCAATCAGTGATTCACGATGTTCTCTCTCATGTCCTGGATACTCATGTCTTGCTGGTTACTGAAACCTGGCTAACTTCTGGCTCTTTTCCTACAGATTGGTCCCAATACCATCTTTACGGTTCGAAAGTACCTGGTGCCTTCAACCGTGGTTCTGGTGGTATTACTGCTTTTGTCTCTCCTTCCTGTCCTTACTCTGTCTATCAACTCCCATCCTATAATCCGCATACTTTGTCCCTTAAGGTTGGCTCCCTTACGGTCCATTGTGTATACTTACCTCCACCCTTATCATCTGATAAGGTGCTCTCGGCCCTTAGTTCATTACCTATGACTAGGGATACTATTCTATGTGGCGATTTCAATGCTCGGTTGGGTTCTCTCACTGGTGATGCTATCTCTAATGCTCGTGGTAATGCTCTCAAACCTTGGTTTGATGAACACTGCTTGTCTGTACTCAATGCGTCTTTGGCTTTTGGTGTTACGACGTACTCTTCTTTTCGGCAGCAACAAGAATTGAGTAGTATCATTGATTTGTTTTTGACAAATATTGGTGATGTTGCTTTGGTGAATCCTCAACTGGTGGTTGAGTCTGATCTGTCTCTTGGTTCTGACCATCGATTGATGTCACTTACTTTCGGGTATGTGCCACCTCTCGATGACACTGTGGCTCCTGGTGATTCTGTTCTGGCTCCTCGGCGTCAATGGAAGCTCTCGAAATTGACGAAAGAGAAGCCTTTGGGCTTACTCCGTGAATCCTTTCGATCTTCTGTTGCTCCTCTGGTTGGTACTCTTTCTGGTTTGGTGTCTGCTCCTCCTGGTGTTCGTCCAGATATTGATGCACTCAACGATTCTTTGAATCAATGTTTGTATGAATCTCTGGATAGTTCTATTGGTGTGAAATCTGGTCGTCCTGGCCATTGGAAGA